TTCTAAAAGAAACATAACAATATTGTTTTATGTACTTTCACTTTTCACGTATAGTATAACTACTCTTTAAGATTAAGTACTGTGTATCTCAAAAACCAGAGCTAATAAAAATTTTTCATTGTTATTTTCGTTTTTATCACCCCAAAATTAGTAGAAATTGACTAATTTAGTGTAGGAAACATTCAAAAAATATTTTTTTGTTGTGTTGTGAATTCCAAATAAATCAACTGTAATCTTCTACTATAAACTCAGTTTTTGGAACTTTTTCAGGGTAAAACTTGAGAGAATTTTGGAGAAAATCAAAATAGCACGTTACGTATTAATATTATATCTAACATTTAGGTAGAAAAAAAGTATCATTGTGCAATACGTTTACAAAATTTGACTGATTGCACTTGATATAAACTATGACAATGTATATTCCATAAATCATTTAACAGTAGCCTATTACAAGCAGAATAATTCATGTCCTAGAATCACCTGCGTATTTTTTACTTTACATACAATAAGCCTATCGCAAGTAGGTCTCACGATTTCTGCAAAAATTCAAGTTGAATGTGAATATAACTTTCTTTGAAAAAAAAAAAACTTTAGAATTTACGTCAAATTTATCCTTGGGAAATAAGGAATACGGTCAAAAGATCATTTACCATTTATAAATGATCAGAATTAGAAAAAGTTCTCAGAAAAGTGAATATTGTTGAACATTTTGGCTTTTGAAGAGGTATTTTGAACTCCTAGAAATAATGAAAGCTATTGGCTTGACATCAAAAACCCTGGTTGAAGTGATGAATCTGTTTTCATTCCTAGACACATAGATCACAATATACTCTATTTCTTTTACTTTAAATGAATACTACTACAAAACTCTGGCATTTTCAGGCATTTTAGAAAATATTGAATACTATCGAATTTTTATTCAATTATACAGAAAAGTCTGCCACAACGAAAATTGCTCCAATTTTTTTGGACCATCAGCCAGAAGTACCTCAGGGTTGAATTTTGGGTCCTCTGCTCTTCACCGTTTATTCTTCGAATATCTCAAGTTATTTTAAATCGATTTTCATGCGAATGCACTTGGCTCTATTACATTTTTATTACTCAGTCTGTAGAAAATGCTTATAACCTCATTGTGCCTCTTCCAAGTACTCTGGTAAATCATTTTATAAGAGCAGTGAGTAATTTACCCCATTTGAATTATTTGGAAGAAATACTGCTCCTGTTAAATTATTATTCATAGTGCCTACCCAAACATTGACTTTGAAAGTATCTTGGTGATGAGTCATTTTTTTGCGTGAGAGTTTTCTTTGACCCATATTAGTGCGTTATGGCGATTCTTAAATAAAANCAACATTTGGTATGATTCCCTTTCCTTTTTAGAGGTGGAATGATTTCTTAGAGATCTATATCTGTCACGATCAAACTGTTCCGTTATAATTATTATGCGAGTATAAAACTTTCTCTAGGCTTCACTAGTTAACGAAATTGTAGTTTTTGTATTTTATGTTTTCATATAAATAGTTTACTGCGAAATACGTACGTCAACGATATACAGGGTGGGCCATCGAAAACTTGACATGGAGGTTTTGGGTACTAATCTTGCAAATCCTAAAAAACGCTCAGGCAGGTCGATTTTTATTGGGAGGGGGACAGTTCTTTTCCCCATTCACAGCGTCGTCACTTCAACCCCGGGGCAATAATTTGTGATTAGTTACCGTAAATCTTCGAGTGATGTAGGAGGGTTCAGTAAATTCTGCTTTTCAAATGACCCCACAGAAAGAAATCTAACGGCGAAAGTTCTGGTGATCGTGGTGGCCATTCGATAGTGCCCCGCCTCCCAATCCAGTGATCCGGAAAAGTCTGATCTAAATACTGCCGAACAGGCAGAGCATAGTTGGAATATTAACAGATCTTCCAGATAATTGTGGTCATTTTCAATAATATCAGTGAGAAGGGTATCAATAGTATCTTCCAGAAGCTCCAGATAAATTTGTACAGATAAATTGCCTTCTAAAAACAATGTGGACGTTGAGTATGCACTTCATGAAAAATGTGAAGATTTGAATCAGAACAATAGCGACAATTATGGCGATTAACTGTGCCATTTAGAAAAAAATAAGGATTTGCAAGATTAGTACCCAAAACCTCCATGTCAAGTTTTCGATGGCCCACCCTGTATAAAGAAGCAAGTATCAAATTATAATTTCGATTATTTGAAAATTGCTACTAAAAGTTATATTGAATTACGTTTACCTACTTTTTTAACCACTAAAATATTGATTTCTTCAACTGTAGTGAGAATATTGTGTATCGAATCCAATTTGGGAAGCCGTCAAAGTCTTGAAATTCTATATTCCTGAAGTTGGTAATTGATAGTTTCAGTTTATGAAGTATGTAAAGTTTCAACACACAATTTTGTTTGAAACCGATTATCCAAGTTGGGTACCCCTAGTTTATAAAAACGCAAGGTAACAAGTAAAGGTAATAAAGTTGAAACATTGAGAAAACACACTTGCGTTCTAGATAAAAAGTAAGGTTAGGTAACTTCGATAACGCAAGATAACGCAAGATAACAAGTTGGCTATTTTCAATTTTCTGCGTTGCGTTCTTACCTCAGACCAATCAGAAAGCGCCATACTACGAATTTTGACGGATATATCCGAATGGTGTAAAGGTAATGTCACCAGATGAACTTAAACGTCACATTGTGAAATTTGATTTTTCTTTTGATGGATATAAATACAAAAATTGCCGCGACTGTGTCAATAATCTTTCACTCAAGAGAAAGAAACGAAAAAGGAGGAGGTTTAATTTTAGACCCATTCTGAGAAGCAGAAAGAATCAGAGGCAATTTCAGTTATTTAAAAGAATGAAAAATGATGAAGATGAATTTTTTGTGTACACAAGAATGAACAAAATATGTTTTGAACATTTAGTGAAATTGTTAGCGCCTTCATTGTTAAAAAACAGATATGGATCGATATCTCCAGAAGAGAAATTGGCTATAACACTCCAATAAAGTGAATTGTTGAAATTGAAACAATGTATCTAACATAAAAATTTTCAGCATGGGCATACCATTTGGGAAAGTCCACAATCCATAAAATTATCAAGGAAATTTGCGGTGTTCAGTGGAAAATTTTAGCCCCAATATATCTTAAACCACCAACGACTGAAGTCGAGTGGCTGAACATTGAAAAAGGATATCGGGAAAATGGAATATACCGCATTGTGTCGGTGTTCTAGATGGAAAACATATGGCAATAAAAAACTTGCATATTCAGGTTCAATGTTCAATTTTCTATCAGTTCAACTTCTAACCGAGAGCCTTCATTTTCTTGTGCTTCACTAGCATGGGAATCAACAATAATGGGGAGTGGATCCCGAGTTGTTTCGTGGTTTTTAATTAACTTCTGCTATTCGATGCACAGCTTATCTGCGAACTACTGCACATCTATTGGCAGTAGTTCGCTCCTACAAAAAAATAAACTTTAAAATTACAATTCTGATCAGTATTCAATATACATATACATTTTTGGGAAAGAAAGTTTTTGGCTTTCTACTACTCCATCTTGATACAAAAAAAGATGTGGAAATCTTCCAAAGAAAGGAAGGAAGTAATCAATTTGGAAGATATCAAGATGGAGTAGTAGAAAGCCAAAAACTTTCTTTCCCGAAAACTAATCACTCCTAAAAATATAACCCCTTCAATTCACATATACATTCTTCTGGGTTCTCTCCTATCAGTTGCTTCTGTGCCAGATTTTCCTAACTGAGCCACTTCTTTTTTATCTTTGGTATATATGTCTTTTAAAACTTTATATCGCCTTTGGCAATCACCTGCCATGCCTTCTCCTTCATTAATTTGTTTTTAAAATTGTTATCTTTTTTATCATAAATTATTGGGTATTGTTCTAATAATGATATGAAATATGCATCTTCCATAATATTAGGAAGTTGTTATTTATTTCATATGAATGATTGCTGCTGCCAAGATTATGGAAATGGAATGTCAATATTTGTTTATGCATTCTTGCCAACCCAAAAATTACCAAAACCTATAGTTACTATGGCAATTCTTTATACTCTACTTTTTTGTGAACGTCAAAAAATGGATACCTCACCTTACCTTGCATTATTGTAAACCAGGGGATATATTGTTTCACCCTAATCAAAGGGCACTTCATTATTTTAATAAACATAACAGTAGGAATGTTTATTGGGATGTGTTCAATAGAAGTGGTGAAAAACATAGAAAATTTCATTTCTCAAGAGAAAGTTCTCAAAAATCCCAAAAAAATATTTGATCTCTTGAGACAGAAGCTCAGAGTCATCATAATTATTGTCCTAATACCAGGTAAACAATCGTGTTTATTATGCAGTGTCTAATGAAATATTCAATTGAATTTACTTTTGCGAACAAACTAGTTTTTCATGATAAACTATATAGATTTTGGACAAGTTCTTTTTCTCTTTTTAATATGTGATTCCTGCCAGGATCATGATTGATATATGGGAATCTGTTTAAAACTATTTATCTTGACTCAACCACATGCCTTCCATAAATATATCGTTATCAGTGACATGCATCCTATTTCAATAAACATCATTTTTGTTTCAGGGTTAAATTCAAAATTGTGATAACACCGGCGTAGAACATTCTGGAAAACGCATTTACCAATATGGTAAGTATTCCATAGTTACATTTGACTCAAATTCCACCCATGACAAAATTGATTATTTCTCTAATCCTATCAAATAAATTGATTCATCAATTTTTGCAGGCGTCTACTAACCCTCAAAATGGTTTAACCGAGTTGGAGAGTTTCCTACCTCAAGATAACTCAATAGAAAATGGAGTCAAAAAGTAAGTATTTATTTTTAGTAGCTCCTCAAAGCTCCTTATTACCATGTATATGTGTACAACATGGGCCAACTACGAACTGCCTTATAAAGTACCGTTTTCGAGTAGAGAAGACTGGATCCTCCGGGAGAAGGAAATATTAGGAGCAGATAGTTGTTCACTATGGTGGTTCACAGATGGATCAAAAACACCTTCCGGTTCTGGTGCAGGTGTTTTCAGTCGCAGACCCAGGACACAGATATCAACCTGCTTAGGAACCTATGCGACTGTAGTTCAAGCGGAAATTTACGCTATTGAATTGTGTGCGGAGAGATTGGATAAATCCAACCTCACACACAAGTCAATAAAATATTCTTGGACAGTCAAGCGACATTGGAACATTTTGAATCCTACCGAGAAACGTCTAAATTGGTAGCAAATTGCCAAAACAACTCTCCTCGATACGAAGACTTAACAGGATTGTATCTGGATTCCTGGTCATACTGGCCTGGAAGGTAATGAAGCTGCCGACTCCCTTGCAAAGAGGGTGCTGCAAACAGCTTTATCGGACCAGAACCTGTCATTGGCATCGCTTTATGCTTTGCCAAACATTGAACACCTGGGTGGTAAGAAGATTAGTAGATCACCAAAGCCGATTCTAGTACACAAACCAATGAGAGCGCGGTATAGTTTGGTGTTGCGCAGTTACGCTTTGCGCAGTATGCCTTGGTTCGGCGTACTATGTATCATTTTCGCCCGAATCGTTATATTTTAAGGTCACGCGTACGGTTGAGAATCGAGCAGCGTTATCGCGGCTTGAAAGATAACGATTCGAGCGAAACTTATCGGCTTCGTTGAGAAGCTGGGTTTATTTGGTCTATGTTAATAGGTGTGAGCCATAATAAGCCCTTGCGGGTTGCAGTGGAGGGCACGTCAAGTTCGATCAAATGTCAAGCTTTTACTCACTGTTTTCTTCGATTACCGTGGAATCAGGAGTTCTTGCAACATAGTCGTACGGTTAATAAGGAGTATTATCTTGAAGTTATGCGCCGCTTGCAAGAAGCAATACGAAGAAAACGTCCGGTATTGTGGAAAACCAATTCATGGCTTTTACATCACGATAATGCACCTGGTCACTCATTGCTTTTTCGTTATTTTTTGGACAAAAACAACACCTTAATCATGCCTCGGCCACCGCCTTCACCAGATTTGGTCGCTTGTGACTTTTTCCTGTTCCCAAGATTGAACAGACTCATGAAAGGAAGGCGTTTTGCGACGATTGAGGAGATAAAAATCGAACCGCTGAAAGATCTCAAGGACATACCTAAATGTGCATATCAGAACTTCTTCGAGAACTGTAAAAAACGGTGGCACAAATGTATTATATCTGAGGGGGGCTACTTTGAAAGAAACGTAATAGAAATTGATGAATAAATAAATATTTTTTGGGAAAAAACAATGAAAATTCGCCTTATTTTTTGAACGGACAGTTCCATTTTCAACAGTATTTTACGTACAATTTTTGTTTGGCTAGTAGCTCCAAAAATGCTATTTCAAAATCTTCCTGAAATATAATAAAGAAATCAACAAATATATTTTCCTATATATTATATGGACATATTCTTATTTCCAGGTACAAAATAACCAAAGCAAATGACTTGGAAACTGCAAATTTGAACGTTGATCCATTCAAATCAAGAAACTCAAAAAATTCAGTTTCGTAAGTATTGTCCGAACTGTGACTCATTTATTTATACGCGCAAATTTTTATAACAATAATAATATCAAGTGGTAGCGAACCCACTTGCGAAAGATATTTTTTCTAGTTGAGGTTAGGTTTATTCTGTTACTTTACATGGCTTCCGGAACAGCAAATATCCAAGACGCTCCCTAGGTGGTACGGGAAGTTATTAACATTACCAAACCATAGCAGTCGATAGGGCTTGACACCGAAAAAAATAAAATCGTCAAGTTTTTAAATATAAGCACGTCTTCAGTAGGTACGCTTTGAAAATATGATTTGCTTAGTTCTCTTCTTTACGCTTATTGTTGTTGCCTTCACCTCAGTAGTTTAATAAAACCCGTAGATTCAGGAACGACTTCAACAGAGTAGTATCAAAATGTAATTTATCTTCTCACCACAACAAAATGAGTATTCTATTTTTTATCAAAAATGGATTGATATCACATCAACAACACATTCTCTCCAAAGCTACAGAATGAATTGGATGGAAAAGTAGATCATATTTTCAGAAATTGAATCTACAGTTGAAAATTTTTATATTCTGCAAAATACGTTTAATTACAGCAATTGTTCATAATGGCGTAACAAATTAATAAATTAACTGTCTTAAACTTTATTTCCAACAATATTTCACTAATCACAAACTAATTCATTCACAACACTTAGCAAAGCTGAATGTATTTCCACTATTTGCATTTCTTGTTTAGCCGCTCGATTCACTTTCTGAACTACCCTCTTGGTTCGGAAAGCCGGACTTATATATGTAACGGTTCGTTACTCGACTAGAGTTTTACCGGCGGTTGCCGGTTGCCGCGGTGATGTCATGTTTTTGTTCGCTGGCCGGCATATCGGGTCAGGTGCGATTTCACATTCGTTACAATGAATTTATTGCTTTTTTTTTATATTTCAAAATCATGCGAGACACGTTTACAGAAAAAAAAATAGAAAAGTTTGACCCATTTTTCAAGACAATCCTGACGTCAGGATTTTCATTGTTTAAATGTATAAAGTGGTCAGTGAATTCCCCCAAAAGAGAAACTTATGAAAGCCACATTGTTTGCGACTTTTGAAAATTATGATTAGATTCCGAAATTTCATCACATTTCTATATTATATTTCGAAATGCGACTAGATCTTGACACCATTTTTCATAATATATTTGAAATATGACAAAAAATATGCAATACGGTACAGTAAAACAAGTTAAAATTTTGTAAGCATGCTAATTATTATCTGAAGAGGGAGATAAGTAAAATAATATATAAAAATAATGTTATTCAAACGATTCTTCAGTCTGAAATGGAAGGAAACAACCAGACTGTACAGGAATTTAACGGATTTTATATCCTTTCAGAGACGCTGCCACACTTACCCATCTCCTTAAGGCATCGTTAGGGTCTGGGATATTATCAATGCCAGCAGCATTTTTCGGGTCAGGATTAGTTTTAGGAATTTTCGCGTCCATTGCAATATCCATCATATGTACCCATTGCGCCTATATATTGGTAAGTACCTACGTAAGTCAAAGTTATAATCAGTATGAGTTGTTACAATTACATGAGCAGAAATTTATCAAAATATGTGTTGTATGTTGTTTATTGACCTTCTCCATTCCTACCCAAGGTGACAGGGATAAAAAAGATTAAGGTTAATGCTGTCTTGCTGAGTCGACATCCGGTGATACGCAATTCTCAAAACAACGACACAAAGACTCTTCATTTTGTTTCATTTTAGAATAGGTCATCACTTATTTTTCTATAAATACCATTCTGCGTGGCGAAACGAGATATATGTAGTTACATTTTACAGTTAGTTATGTTCAGACTCTGTTACTTTCAATTTGTAATTGAAGCTGTATTTAAACTCAGTTTATGTTCAAATTGTTAGTCAGGGAAATTCAGAGTTGTTTCCTCTTTTTCAAAATGAATAATTTTTAAAAACTTATATTTCCAAAGTGAGATATAGCATATGTATTTGTATTGTTGAAGTTGTACTTATCAATATATATAATAAAAGTGTAACTGATTTGCTGTCTGTACATAGAAGATATTTGAGAAAAACTATTATTGGGGGGGTCTTTATTAACGCAATAGAAAACGAAAAATGAGAAATAATTCTTTCTATGTTTTCACCACTTCACCAAGGCCGTAGCCAGAAAAAAATTTCAGGGGTGGGGGTTTGGTTTGGCGGAACAATAGAAAAACATGAAATATAAAAACAACGAAAGAAAAGGAAGAAAAAAAAAAGAAAAATTGTGTTACATGATAATATATATTTATTAGAAAAAGTGGTTGGATGGCCGTTGCTTGTTGAACTTTCGGGGGCATCAATCCCCCTTGTTCCCCCCTAGCTACGGACTTGCACTTTACCACAAATAAAAGTGGTAAAAAAATATAGCAAGTATTATTTCTCTGTTTATTTGTACGTTTAGGTGTAGCTTTCACTAAGCCTAGAAAATTGACTTTCACAAATGATAACGAAACTAAAAAATTTGTATTATAGGTTACTTCAGCCCATGAACTCTATAGAAAAACAGGTAAGCCTCAAATGACTTTTCCTGAAGTAGCGGAAGAGGCTTGCTTGAATGGACCTCCATGGGCACATAAATTTGCTAGTTCTGCAAGGTGAGGTCCAACTTTTTATATAATTTACTAGTATTCGAAACGGGGATGTCTGGTCATTTGGGCCAAATCTAATAAACATTTTCATCAAAATAGCTTAACGTGCCTTCCCTGCAACTGCATGGAGAGAATGATAACTGAGGAACTAAATACTTTTTTCTTAGAGACTAGACTTAAAGAACTAATGTAATTCACTAGAGATTTATTCCAACACCAAACCTTTATTTTCAACACCTCGACACGTGTTTCAGTCACCAAGTGATCATCTTCAAGAGGAAGATTAAACTGTTTGATCTTTCTAGATCACAAAATATAAAAGAAAGATATATACTAGCTGTGTGTCGTCTGCATAAATATGGTTTATCAGTTTCTCAGATGAAGAGAGGAGTTGCTTGTGTAGATAGTGCATAGTAACGGTCCCAGAATACTTCCCTGTGGAACGCCCCGACATATGTCCAAAGAATCCAAGATATGATCAGCCTAATTTACCTGTGGTGACCTATCAGATAGATGAGTTATTTTTTCCTAAAAAAATGGGGCAACTCTTATCCAAAAACTTGAAAATTTTCAACATTTTGTGCGCTTTTTAGCACTGTATTTTTTTTTCAGGAAAATTATACTTGCTGGACTTTTTGTAACGTACTTCATGATAGCTAGCTGTTATTCTGTTATAATGTCGGAGAATTTTAATTACGTTATCAACTACCATTTGGGATACACGATTGAAATAAGGATAACTATCGCCATAATGATGGTTCCACTCATACTGTTGGCATATGTGCCAAATCTGAAATACTTAGTACCATTTTCAATGGTAGCGAATATTTTCATGGCAATTGGATTGGGAATTACACTGTACTACCTCGCCATAGATGTACCCTCAATTTCAGAACGGAACCTGATCACTCAGGACATTACTACATTTCCAGTATTCATCAGTATTACCATATTTGCTTTGGAAGCTATTGGAGTGGTAAGTGAAACTATCTTTTTGCATATACAGTGCATTTCTTTAATGTCCCCCCCCTTTTATTTTTTGAACGGGTCAACTCAAAAAACTGAAATTTGGAACAGTGAAATTAATGCATGAATGCTTTATTTTGATGTGAAATTGAGATGGCGACTGGGCGCCATCCGGGAAAAAAATTAAATGGAAAGGGGGGGTCTTATGACACATTTTGAAGCTCCTGACGAATACTTCACAATTCTAGAATATGAAGTCAATATCTTCACCTATTTAATTTTTTTCACAGATGGCGCCCCTTTCATTAAAGAAATTCACTGTATCAATCAAGTAGAATATGCTTGGATATTTACTACCAACGTCTGGTTACACTTATTTCAACAGTTACAAATAAAATTTCACTTTTTCATTTATATCAAATTTATTAAATTACGTAAGTAATGAAGTTACAGTGCTGTTAACAATTCAAGAATTGTATATGATGTTTTTCCATTTTGATGTCATGTGTTTTTGTAGCTTCATTTCTCAATAAATATTTTTAGTCTACTGTGTCTTGGTATAAATTCATTGATGAAAAACTTCATAAGTTTTAATTTTTTCCCTCTTTTCGGCTTATTACTTTATGATATCCTTAAGCGATTTGCGGTCAATTATTCTCTACGAATTCAAATTGAACCGAAGCGTTGCCGAAACAACCAGAAACCAAGCATTTGGCAATGATAGTGTTAATGAACGACGATGGTTTGCGAAGCATCAACGATCAGCCCCGAAGTGGTCGATCTACAGTAATCCGGGACGCAGATTTGAGGACCCGAATGGAGAATGACCAATCACAAACGGTGCATACTTCAAACAGTATGATGTGGTGTTTCGCTACTACCGATTTGTCTATTTGACCTAATCTACATTTATAGACAAATCAACAGCGAAACACGCGCTTTGTGATAACAGCCATAGAAATCCATAAACATATAGAGAGAACTACGACAGAAAAGAGGAGGCGGTAACGCTTAACCGGATTTGGAATCCCATACTCAAAGATGCTAAACTGGCAACAGCGCAATGCAATGTTGCGGCTCTCAGAGACGACAGATCACTCACTAATAAGTCAAGTAACAACCCGCTAACAGGTACGGTGGAAATAGATACGTCATTAACAAGTAATAACACCGGCCAATAGTAACACATCAGCAGGAGAGGCGGACTATTTGAGTCAACATAAATACAACCTACTGACACACCAATCAACCATAGATTTCAGGAACTCCGAGGACGATATGCGACCAGGACGATGAGCAGCAACAACACCGATGCCATCGACACGCTCACATCGCCATGGATCTCCCGTGGTGGATCCCGAAGGAAACCTAGGAAAAAGCTCCCCTTTCCCCCAGTCAGACTCCTGGGCGCGATGGAAGACCCACCGGAGCCGATCCAGGACATCCTAGAGGATTTACCACTGGGATACAGATAGCGGATACCTGACAGCAGCGCCACGGAAAGTACCGATATTCTAAAACACACACAACCCCGGCCCAAAAACCCGTACTGAATCATAACATCTGGACCACCGACCACCGCAATGAACCCGGACTACCACATGGACCAACATTAAAACCAACCAAGAAAACTGGAACACAAAACACCACAACACAAACACCAACATAAAACACAAAACACACACATAACTCACTCACCCTGAAGAGGCATAAGCCTATAGCAGGGTCCTACACAAACACATACACACACAAATTGTAACAACAACTGTAAATAATTTGTAAATATACGATTCATACAACCTACTGACTAGAAATCGTAGTCATCGGTGAATCATCAAGATGGATAAACCTCTGAATGCAGTTCCAAACTACGACGGCCTTCAAGCCCGAATGAAGATAATAAAACTGAAAATCCAGGCCGCGAAAGCCTTACCCAAATTATTATTTACTGAGATATTAAGCTTCAATATAGAATCATAAAAATGGATAAAACTTTTAAAACAACCTATATTTTCTTTGTTTGGGAGCAATGGATTAATAATTGATAAATAAAACGAAAGTAATTACAGGGACTAGAATATCAGATGAATGTATATAATTTTCAAAATGGTTTCTATTTATTTTCACAGAGTAACTGTGTTTTTAGAAACTAGTTTCTACAAAACACATGGAAGTTACTGAAACAAACCCTCGAATGATTGCTGTTATGTGATTGGTTTTTTTCTCTCTTATTCCTCAGTATAAATAAATATACAAATGTTTTATAGATTATGCCACTGGAAAACAATATGAAAACACCTCAGCATTTTACTGGTTTATGCGGTGTTTTGAATCAAGGCATGGGTGGTGTGACTCTAGCCTACATAATCGTGGGATTCTTTGGATATCTCAAATATGGTCCAGAAGTCCAAGGAGCTATCACCTTGAACCTACCAATTGAAGATTAGTGAGTATTTTTCAAATTGTAGGGGTTAATATATTCTCCTGTTCTTGATATATTTCGCATTTTGAATTTAATGATATAAGTGTTGACAATCGCCAATCGCTGTTATCAATGCGATCTCCAACAACGTATTCAGTAACTAACTAACAATAACAGTCCATTGACAGGTCAAAAGTTTTTTTATTGTTTCATAGCAACTTCCCCGAGTACCTTAATGAAATCTATAGGGGTTAGGTCGGGTGATCTTGCAGACCACCAGACACAACCATATGGATATAGGGTGTTTCATTCAAAAATCAAACTTCGATATCATTTCCAGAAAAACCAGAAATTGCAAAAATCCCCCGTTACGTCAAAAAGTACCTATTCGTGAGCAAATTTAGTATTTCCAATTTTGTGAAAATAACCTGAGAAATAAAGAAAAAACTGGGGTGAACGATGTTTCTGTGTCACCCTATATATGAGAATTTTCAATTATTTACATAATGTTTGCTCTTGATTAATAGTAATAATAATAAATGGCCTTTATTTTGCTTGGCGGAATTTACCATACATTGCTATTCTCAACCAAGCATACATAATTAGATATACATACAAATAAAATTAATTTTAAGATAATTTTCAGGAAACTGGTAAACAAAAACTGAAATGGGAAATATTCTGAAGAACTTTTTTTTTGTTTACTTGCTTTTAAGATCATTGTTTATTTAGGCTTTTTTTTTTAAATCTATATCTGAATCTAAAGCTGTTTCATATTTTCTTCGATATTATTATAGATAGCAACTGCCTAATAAGAGTAGGATCGGGCATAAGCATTCAGCCAATTTTTGGATAGCTAAGTAAGAAAGTTAATATATTATAGTAGTAACCAATCCCTCGGCTTTAATTTTTTCGAAAGTTGGGAAATTTTGCTGGTAGGGTTGGAAAAATTTAGATTCCTTACCTCCCTGGTTTTTCTTTTCGTTACGGCCCTTTATACATGCATTCTGAACTTTCTGTATTCATGATGACGTAATTTGGTCGAGACAAGGAACATAGGTGATATCGCAGTGGATGAATATAGATAAAATTAAAGTATTGCATAAGATGTTTGGACTGAAAAAAATGTAGGTTCGAATAGTTTTCTTAACAAGCCATAAGGTTTACGTATTAGTGAGTTGACACGTGATTGACAGCTTAATATTTAGTCATTAATAAGTCCCAAACATATAATTTCATCGCTACATTGAATCTCGTGATTGTCGATCCTAATTTAGATACATACTGTCTATGGCCCTGTGTTTGCCTTTGGAATTTCCGAAAACGATACAAGATGATTTGTTGGGTTTTTTGGGAATAAATGGGCAATTGTTAGGCAATGAACGTCATATATTATTATTTTTTTTTTACCATTGTATGCGCTGGTCAGGATCTATCCCCCGAAGCTTCGATATATTTAGGAGGGCGCGCCAGCATTATCAACCAACGACCACTTCCCACACCGTGGGGTGGATGATCATTGGGTCCGAGAATCATGTGCCTTGAGCAAGGGCAGTGAGCCAAGAATGACAGCCTTCTGCATCTGTCCGGATAAGATTTCTGCCTTAGTGCGGCAGGCCGGTATGATTTTAAGATTCGAGAGTTGACAGGCCATCATTCCACCAAGGACTCCAATAATCATAACAACCATCTTGACAGAGTGATCTGGATAGAGTCTGCGGAGTTCGAAGAGAAAATCTCGATATTTTTTTCCACCCCGAGGTAAGTATACGTCTCTCCGGCATCCAGATGGTGCAGGATGCTTCCATCTACGAGCTGCACATCTTCTCCGTAGTCCCCGCATCGTTCTCTTTTGAGATGGTTCATTGCACATTTGTCTATCCCAAATTTCATACCGATAGCATGCTTGTACTCTTCCACCACCCTCAAGGAATGGTGGAGATCCTTCTCTCCAGAGGCATACAGTTTAAGATCATCCATATAAAACAAAAGGCTGACCTTGCGCCTCTGGTTTCTGGGGATGCCACAGTTATACCCTCGAGTATTTATGAGCGCATTATTATTATTATTATAATTCCATTTCAATAAGTATACTATAATTCTCTCTAGAAATTTTTCTCCTTCAGATTTTTGTGCAAGTAAAACTTTGGTCATCTTCAATGTCGATGAAACTTTCAGCAGCATTTACCGTTCATAAAACGAAGAATAAGTTTGTCAATCCTTCTGATTATCGTATTTATCTACACACGTTTCAAAGTATGATAAATGAACTGCATGACCCGTCTCATTTTTCAGTTGTATGAATCTTATGATTTTTATTTTTTCAGTGCTGCCCAAACTGTCAACATTCTCATCGGTGCAGCTGTTTTCTGCACATTTGGGCTGCAGTTCTATGTCTGTCTTGAGATAGGATGGAATGCTGTGAAAGACCGTTACACGAACAATCCCACGATGGCACAATATATCCTGCGGACCGTAATGGTGGTGTCGTGCGTTTCCATTGCAATAGCTGTGCCAAGAATCGTTCCATTCGTTTCTTTGATTGGGGCTTTCTGTTTTTCACTGCTTGGATTAGTAGCTCCTATATTGATTGAAATCGTTACATTTTGGGATAAGGGTTTTGGAAAATTTTACTGGAAAATTGTTAAAAATGTGATCGTTATCTTAACAGCAGTTCTAGCTTTAATATTCGGGTCGAAAGGAGCAATTGAAGATATTGTTAAAATATATACAACAGATAATATAGCAGTCAATAGTACAGGTACTTAGATTTTGACGCTTTAGATTCCAAATTTTCACACTTGAGAATATATAGAATTGAGTTTTCATTCTCAATTTCAGTTTCGAGTAATCTAAAGCAGTCGGCAGCAAGGTTTGTTTGTTGCTTACTGCGGCACCGAAATTAAAAATCTCTTGATTGAAATTATCTCAAAATATAAGGCAAAGAAGTTTATTACTTGAAATTATAATTACTAAAATTCCTAACCTATATGAGGAAAGCAATGTTGAATTCATTATCATGCTATATATTTGTATATGAATATTGCGGACACACTGAATATCCTGTGGAGATCCTATTCATGTCCAATTGGAGGTGGAATATTCTTCGAGGTGAACTGGATGTCCGTGAGATGTCCCTCTATGGATTTGGAATGGATATCCTGCGGTGGATATCCTATGGTCATCCTTTTGAAGATGAATTGGACTCTAAGTTGTATAATAATAAGTTGTTATTATTTGAGTGACTAAATCTTATGAACGTTGTCTTCTCCATGTTCAAAACTAATCCATTTGAAGGCAACCATTCCTCAAATATTTTGATTTCTTCATTGGCCTTCAACTTTAATGGATATTCATCGGACGTAAGTGTATTGTCTATGCTATTAATTGTACAAAATCAATTATTTTGATATGAAGTAACACCATAGGATTTCCATTTCCTCAAATTTTCTCTCAATATTTATTTAAGCTATCTTCCTACCTAGGTTTTTAATCTCAAACAATATACGTTCAAGATGATATGATTGAAAACGTCGTTTCATAAATAATTTTTATTGTTTTCAATGATTATCATTTCGGAAATTGATAGGTTTGTAATTAAATGAGAAGGCTTTGTTACTTAATCACTACCAAAATTAATTTTTCTCATATTCATGATTTCATTCTTCATTTCATTAATTACTCATTAAGATTACTATGATTTTTTCAAATAAAATTCCTTGACATTAAAATAAATAGTGTAATTGATGACTTATTTTGTGTAGTAATTATTTTGAGCTGAATTAGCTGAGAATTGGTCAGAATTTTTTCATAAATTGTTTTGTTACTTTTTTATTGAAATTAAATGAGAATATGATAAGTATTGTTTCATTTCTTTAATTTTACCTCAAGAGTTCTAGGATTTCAACAGAAGCAACAGGAAAATAACGGACCAAATGGAGTACCTATGATGGTTATGAAGTGCAATTTGAATATATGTATTAATTGAATATCAAAAGCCACGATTTCAAAGTGTTGGTTATCAAATGCTTCAACTGTAGTATCTCTTTTTTTTTGCTGTTTGCGCCATCTGACTATTCCATTTCTTGCGGTTCTTTGGAAGCAGGCACGATACGTTTTTTCTTCTATGTCTTCATGATGCCCATTCTAACAATCTTGCTCCCTGTCCTAGTAATTTGTACCAGTTCTCTCTTGAATGTTAGTCATAGTCTTTTGGAACTGCTTTTGGTTCAACCGCAACAGCTCTTGTTGAAGCGGCCATCACTTTATTAAGAAACTCCACCTGTCCTGATGTTCATGATTTAAACAGCCGAATTATTGAAGCAGTGAGTGACATAATTGTTGAGCCTTTGACTGATCTAATCAATTTGATGTTTGTAACAGGAAAATTCCTTGATATTTTCAAATTTTCTAAAATAATCCCTGATTTCAAAAAGGGTGATAGAACACAAACTGGCACTTATCGATCCATCTCAAGTATTTGCATTTTTTCAAAAATAATTGAAATAATAATAAAAAAAAGATTGACCAATTATTTTGAAGACAATAAGTTAATGAATCACAATTTGACTTTCGCTTAAATCGCTCAACTACTAGTGCAGCTTCAAGGGTTGTCGAGAGGCTGGTTGAGGGTCTTGAACAAGGTCACCATATGGGTATTACTCTCTGTGACTTGTCTAGGGTCTTTGATTGTGTTTCCCATGATATACTTGTAGAGAAACTAAATTATTATTAGTCCAGCTCACTTTTCAATTTACGACAACTTCGCCTTATTACCAACACTAATACTCTTAGAATCACTTACTTCTCTCTTTTTGAAACCCATCTTAATTATGGAATATTGCTTTGGGGTAGCTCATCTGCTGCATGTAGTGTATTTCAACAAAAAAAGCTATAAGGATCTTGGCTAATGCCAAATATAGAGAGACTGCCCAACCACTGTTCAAAAAGTTGAAGATCATGACTCTTCCTTACCTATTCATTTTAAGTACTCTTGTGGAGATCCATAAGAATCTACCAAACTTAGTTACACAGTCTGATATTCATCAACATAATACTAGAGAAGCATACAATATCAGAATATCCAGATATAGACTTACCAATTAGGCAAATAATTCTTTAAATTTTAGCTTATATAATATCCTTCCAAATGATCTAAAATGGCCAACATGTTCTGTTGCCTTATAAATAGTTACATACGATAGAACGTCGCCTGTTGATGTTTGTTTTCGAAAGCCATATTGACGATCGCTCAAGATGTTAAAGCCTTCCAAATATTTAAATATATGGTGGCGATGACCAGAACTAGAATCCTTGTTGATATTAAGCTGTTTTGAACAATAACCATTCGGAATGATGCATTTTAACAAAATGAATTGTCTATTGCGGAAACAATTTCATATATTTTATTAATAACTTTTTATAACGTGTTGAAGCTATCTAAGCATATATTTTTTCCATTTGTATAAATTAATTCTATACAGTGCTTTTCAGATAAAAGTATCCACCTTTAATAACTTTTGTAATACTGGTATTTAGGAAAAATCCAAAAACACGTCAATTTATGTTGGAAGGGGCATGCATTATGGCTTATTTAAACTTACTGGAAAAGCCACCCCCTCACCCCTAGCATCATCCCTTTTTTTAAAAATTACTTCTCATATTTTTTATGTAAAATTTGGATACTCCTCTTTGAGCTGATTTTAAAAATGTATAATACTTGTAGGTTAAAGTGGTTAGTTTATGAGATAAACAATTTTTCTTTTAATAGCACAAATTTTACTCATTTTTTTCTTTCACCTTATTTGCCTGTACTAAAATGGGTTGTACAACAGTTCAAACTCTTTAATATGTTTAACTGTGCTATTTATTCTACTTCAAAAATCCAAACTCTACTTTTTGTTAAAGTTTGACATTGTCAACTAGAATTTGTAGTCACTATTGATAGTGTACTTTGATACATTATTTATTTTGTTTCGCTGAAATGGTTTACTCTTTGCAAGAAAGAATTGAAATTGTAGGTTTATACTACCAAAATAATAATTGTGCAAGAGCTGCTGCTAGAATATTTAACAAATTACATGACGGAAGACATGCAACTCATAAGTATGTAATTCAACTGATGGAGAAATTTACCACAACAGGGTCTGTTTGCAATAAATATTTGCTTTTCTGATGAATGCTCATTTTCATTAAATGGCTTAGTAAATAGGCATAATTGTAGATATTGGGCTGAAAGTGATCCACATATTATGCGTGAATTCCATACACAACATCCCCAAAAGTTAAACGTTTGGTGTGGTATCCTAGGTGACCACATTATCGGACCTTTCTTCATCAACGGAAATTTAAATGTTGAATCATATCTTGAGTTACTCAGGGAAGGGGTTGACCCACGTATTACAACAATAATAGAAAATGATGTTAACCTTTCCGAAGATTTACTGGTATTTCAACAAGACGGAGGCATAGCACACTATGCTATGCCTGTCCGACAATTTTTAAACGAAACATTCCCCGCTCGTTGGATAGGTAGAAGAGGGCAGATGATGGAGTGGCCACCTAGGTCAGCGGATTTAACACCCCTAAATCCAGCCGTATTAATTAATGTCAGAGAGGCATTTCAAAATAGATTATACCATTGTATGGAAGTGAATGGTACTCATTTTGAACACATATTATAACTTCATAATAAATAGCACAGTTAAAAAGATTAAAGAGTTTGAACTGTTGTACAACCCATTTTATTACAGGCAAATAAGGTGAAAGTAAAAAATAAGTAAAATTTGTGCTATTAAAAAAAATTGTTTATCTCATAAACTAACCACTTTAACCTATAAGTATTATTCATTTTTGAAATCAGCTCAAAGAGGAGTATCCAAATTTTACATAAAAAATATGAGAAGAAATTTAAAAAAAGGGATGATGCTAGGGGTGAGGGGGTGGCTTTTCCAGTAAGTTTAAATAAGCCATAATGCTTGCCCCTTCCAACATAAATTGACGTGTTTTTGAATTTTTCCTAAATACCAGTATTACAAAAGTTATTAAAGGTGGATACTTTTATCTGAAAAGCACTGTATATGTTTTCTACTTTATGCATTCTGTAAACATTTACTCTCATATTCTTAACTTGATTGAGGAAAGTGAAAATTTTAATGCTTTTCATCAACCACATCTATATGAATCCTGGATCCACCCCTGGATAAAATTCAAGTTTCTTAGGTTATCACCAAAGAGTACTTCAAGTTGGTGTACTCTTTGGTTATCACACTGTAGGATGATGGTCAAATTTCACAAACTTGCAAACTAGGTATATTTGACAACTGTTGTCAAGTTGATTGATCAAGTTCAGATTTGTTTTGGAAGTTGAAACCTATAAAAGGTACTTTTTACAACGACCTATTATTTTATATGGCGACGAGAGAGGCAAAAGTAAGGTAATGTTATGACTTACATATCACCGAAATTTTCTGATCGATTAGGCCGTTACTTGATGAAGATCCATAGTAATTTCAAAAACTACACCTCACGAATTTGATATCCACAAACTTTATTTGAAAAATCAATATCACAACATGTTTCGCTAACACAGTAGCTTTAGTGATTTGAATTCAAATCACTTGAAAATGTAATGAAAAATTCAGTGGTAAGTTGAGGTTATTTAACAATTTCTCAATTAGTTTCAAGTCAGTATTTATATTCAAAGAATTATAATTTTTTCTGAATAGAACACTGCAAGATTGTCTGCAAATAAGAAGTCCACACCGATTAAACCTAAATTTTTAATGGTATCAACATAGAGCAAATAGAAACTAGAACATTGGGGCCAAAACCGAACCTTGTGGGACACAAAAAGTTGAAACTGTTTCAAAACTTTTACAATTATTCATCACTATATATTGATTTCGAATTTCCAATAATTTGAAAGAATGACCCTTATTACTCCTGAGTTATATGAAAAATTTGGAGTACTCTTCACTGTCCATTAGATCTTGCAATAATTTGTATGTTTTTTCAGTGATTATGCGGCACTTATCCATCTTCTGAAAGCAGCTTTAGGAACAGGTATATTAGCAATGCCAGTAGCGTTTCACGGATCAGGGTTAGTTTTAGGAATTTTTGGAACCATTGCAGTATCCGTCGTATGTACCCACTGCACCTATATATTGGTAGGTACGAATACGTATTAGATTCTTTCGAAAGTTTTGTCAGTTTTTATGAATACTAATTCAGTTCAACTGAAATAAGCGTCATTTGAATCAGTGAGAACCGATGAGAAAGTAATCGAAGAGCTTGAAAAGATGGAAGTCTGTTGGCGAGAGATCTGGGGAGTGTGGTGGACGAGCCAGAACTTCGACGCTAAATTCGTTACACACTGGGATAACTATAGCTGGTTAGGGGTTAATATATGGAGCTGATGATCCACACACTAATCAAGATAGGTCTAGTACGTCCTTACGTCTCATATTTACGGAGAAAGGTTTAGAACTGTGTGCTTCCATAATTTGTGTCAGTTCTTCCTCAGATCAGGTGCTGAGCTGTGATCAATCTGCTTGGAAAACCCATTCTAGCTCTTCCATATCCCTGGTGGGGATATGGAAGAGCTGTTCAGTTCCCAGAAAAATGTTTTCTGCATTCATTTAGCCCCCTTCACGTTGTTGATAGTTGATAAGGTCCAGTACCGTTCATCCTTCAACAAGGGCCTCAAAACATCACTGGGTTAACCTCATACAACGATCAAGGGATACCATGGACATTCCAACTATCTGTTTTATACTATAGGTGTTTTATTCTATAGATACTTTCATGGGAAGTTTTCAACAGACTCAACCTGCTTATCTGCCCATTTCAATATGCTTTGAACTATACTTCGTAAGAGTTTTTCATTTGATTTTCTTTATATTAGTATTTCGAAATAGAGAGTGACCTTTGAACAAAATGTTGCTTGGTGAGTGGAATCTGCAACCTCCGGCGTGAAATTATTCTAAATTTGTCTTCACTAGAACAAAGTTGCTGCCTCTCAGTGCGCGTTTCGCCAACCAAGTGAGCATCATCAGGTGATGAGGGGGAAGTGTTTTCGATAGAAAATGTTCCTTTATTGTATGAGCTAACGGTATCTAGGGATATTACAACAATACATGGTCCAAATAATCTGTATCATTTTCATTTCAGGCTACTTCAGCATATCGAATGCGTATGATAACCGGTAAGGAAGAAATAACCTTCTCTGAGGTAGCAGAGGAAGCTTGTTTGAATGGACCCCCGTGGGCACAAAAATTTGCGACTACTGCAAGGTGAGCATCGACTATTCATTTCATCTAGAACAGTGGTCGCCAACCTGTCGATCGCGAGCTACCGGTAGCTCGCGGAGGCAATTCTGGTAGCTCTCACAACGATTTTAATTTAAAAAATACAAACTGCAAAAATCAGAGAAGCTTCCGAAAATTCCACAAAAAAATCTAATTGTCATAATATTAAACATAAACAGCGTAAATGATAAAACAGGCGTTTTTAGAAGCTGCTGATTCGTTATTTGCCAACTTTAGAAATAAAGACGAGATAGTAGTTTCAGCTATAAAATCTATGCAACTTTCCGCTAATACAGTGATGAGACGTGTAGAAGTAATGAGCAATTATATTTTTTTACAGTTAAGAACCGACTTAGATAACTGTGTTTATTTTTCACTTCAACTGAATGAATCAACAGATGTCGTTCACACTGCCCAGATGGCCGTGTTCGTCAGGATGGTTTTTAGTGATTTTACGATTAAAGAAGATCTTTTGAAGTTCATTCCACTGAAAGGACACACTACTGGACATGAGTTGTTTTCTCATTTAAAAAATATTATTTCTTCCGAGAAAATTCCAATATCGAAAATGGTAGGCTTGACAACCGATGGCGCTCCAGGTGGCGTTATGTGCGCAATTTCTCTGTTACAACTGCATTATCCATCAGCAAACATTATGTGGAAATTTCCTGAAACTAAACAACGTTATGAAACTGGTGGTAAAAATTGTGAACAAGATTAGAGCTCAAGCGTTACAAAGAAGATTATTCAGAACCTTGGCCGATGAAGTTGACTGTCAATACGGGGACCTAGTCCTTCACTCTGTAGTCCGATGGTTAAGTAGAGGACGGGTGCTGAAACGTTTTAATGATGTTCTATCTGGCATAGTTCAATTCTTCAAACAACACGATGAACCGACTCCGTAACTAGAAAATTCAATCTGGCTTAGAGATTTTGGTTTTCTCATGGACATTACAGAGAAATTAAACGAACTTAATTTGCAGCTTCAGGGGAGAGACAAAGAACTAGCGGAAATGATTTCTGATATAAAAGCATTTATCAAAAAGCTGGAGTTTTGGGAACAAAACCTAATTAACAGCGATGCCAAGTATTTTCCTATTATTTCAGAAAAAATATCTCAAAATCCATTAGAACCCTATGACAAGAAATATCATGTAGAAATAATTTCTACCCTGAAGAATAACTTCAAAAATCGTTTTAAGGATTTCAATGAAATGGCTTTAGTAGCGCAGTTTGTTTTTTCACCCTTTATGGAAATTGATATCCAACAGTTTGTAACTTGTGTTATGCAGAACTTTGGCGAAGACATCGCTGCAACAGAAATGGAAGTCATTGAGTTTCAAAATGATTTAGCATTAAAATTGTTAGTCTCAAGTACTGAATGTATCTGGCCTATTGTAAGTAAAGACAAATATTCAGTTCTATGCCGTGTTGCTTTGAAAGTGAAAGCATTATTCAGTTCAACCTATTTGTGTGAATCTTCTTTTTCCAATATGCAGTTTTGAACTTCGCCTTTTGGATGTATATTGTATTTCACCCAATAAAGACCATTATTATTATTATTAATTATATCAAGGTTACGTACTGCGCCATCTGCCCGCGAATAGATCAAGCAATAATGTCGATAATTCTGTCAAATACAGATCCCGTATGAAATGAAAAGGAGAGTTACAAACAAACATACATACAGGTAGCTAATATAAAGAGTGTAAAAAAAATACGTCCGATAATTACATAGGTAGAATGTCTTACTTCAAACTGTCATCCAAAACCAACAGAATCCTTATTGAAAATTTAGAAAGCTGAATATTAATGTTACACTAATTTTGCAGGATAATCATTCTGGTTGGACTTTTCATATCGTACTTCATGTTGGCCAGCTGTTACTGTGTTATAATGTCGGAGAATTTCAATTACGTTGTCAATTACCATTTGGGATACACAATTGAAATAAGAATAACCATTGCCATAATGCTGGTTCCTCTCATACTACTGGTGTACGTGCCAAATTTGAAATACCTAGTACCATTTTCAATGGTGGCGAATATTTTCATGGCGATTGGTTTATTAATTACAATGTACTACATCGTTGTAGATCTACCACCAATTTCCGAAAGATACCTCATAACTGCCGACATCACTAGATTACCAGTATTTCTTGGCATTACCATATTTGCCATGCAGGTCATTGGAGTGGTAAGTGAAGCTACAATTTTTAAAGTATAAGGAATATTCAACGAGTAAATATTAATTATAAATCCCAATGTGTTCAAAATATAATTTACCGGTATAACACAATGTTCTAAGTAAAGTGGAGAAAGAGCAAGAAACATAACAATGACATCTGTCATGGAATTCAGTTTAAAATATGTTACAAGCAAAAGCCATGGAACAATTAGAACACACTTGCACCAAAACTGTTCTGATTGGCACAATAATTGCGTGCTAAGAACTTTAGCACATGGTCATCTACCTGTTGTAAATATAATTTAAATACATTAAAATGTTCTATTACGATTTTAATGATTGGCACAAATATTATTTTAATGATTGACACAATAATTACGTGCTAGGTACCTTAGCACATGGCCATCTACCTGTTGTAAATATGATTTAAATACATTCAAATGTTCTATTTCCATTTAATGATTGGCACAGTACGTTAGCACATGGTCATCTACCTGTTGTAAATATAATTTAAATACATTCAAATGTTCTATTACCATTTAATGATTGGCACAAATATTATTTTAATGATTGGCACAATAATTACGTGCTGAGTACTTTAGCACATGGTCATCTACCTGTTGTAAATATAATTTAAATACATTCAAATGTTCTATTACCATTTAATGATTGGCACAATAATTACGTGCTAAGTACTTTAGCACATTCTCATCTACCTGTTGTAAATATAATTAAAATACATTCAAATGTTTTAGTACGATTTCAATGATTGGCACAAATATGATTTTAATGATTGGCACAATAATTACGTGCTAAGTACCTTAGCACATGGTCATCTACCTATGATTTTAATAAATGGCACAATAATTACGTGCTAAGTACTTTAGCACATGGTCATCTACCTGTTGTAAATATAATTTAAATACATTCAAATGTTCTATTACGATTTTAATTCATGTAACCTCTGCCTTCTTTCATTATAAATACTGTAATATTTTATAGATCATGCCATTGGTGAACAGTATGGCAACACCTGAACACTTCACTGGTTTATTTGGTGTTTTGAATCAAGGCATGTGTGGTGTGACAATAATCTACATAATCATGGGGTTCATGGGATATCTTAAATATGGTCCAGAAGTCCATGGAGCTGTCACTTTGAATCTTCCCATTGGAGATTAGTGAGTATTTTTAAGATACTGAGGGAAATATATTCTCCTGCTATTGACGCTTTTTTAATTTAAATGATTCATAAGGCTTGTGACTTTCAAAATGTCTCTACAACCAGGCGTCGTCCTAGGGTCTCTACTTATCTGAGTACGACAGACTGAAATTACTGAATCAAATAATTTTGCATGTTCGTTGACTGACAAAACCATCTTCTTAAACCAACTGAAACGTACAGCTATAAATTTTGTACACAACATGGTAGCAAAATTATCAAGAATTTAGAGATTAAATTGACCATCTCACTTGATATCTTAATTCCCGAATCAAAACACATGAAATTTCAATACATGGATGACCCGTTTTACGTTCTGATTATATGATTTCCAATAATTTTTATTCTTTCAGTGCTCCTCAAGCTGTCAATATCCTCATTGGCGCATCCATTTTCTTCACATTTGGATTGCAGTTCTATGTCTGTCTCGAGATAGGATGGAATGCTGTGAAAGACCGTTACCAAAACAATCCCCTAGTGGCAAATTACATACTACGAACTGTTATGACGATACTGTGTGTCTTACTTTCAATAGCTGTGCCAAAAATTGTTCCATTCGTTGGCTTGATTGGGGCCTTCTGTTTTTCACTACTTGGATTAATAGCACCAATATTGATTGAAATAATAGCGTTTTGGGACGACGGTTTTGGAAAATTTTACTGGAAAATTGTTAAAGATGTATTTGTTATTGTAACAGCAATAGCAGCTATAATTTTCGGTTCCAAAAGTGCTATTGAACATATAATTGAAATGTATAAGGGAGATAATAAAGCCAGGAATGATACAAAAAGTTAGATGTTAACAAAAAGTTTTTCGAATTCCAATCCCGATTTCAGAAAATCAACTAAAGCCAACAGAAAAGTTTGTCAGTGGCTTTCAGAGTTTATGATACTGAAACACTTCTCGAAGTGCAAGAAGTTTAGAGTTAACGGATAGTTCATTGTCGGCATATTGTTTGGTGCCGACATGAATACTTTATATTCGTACATTGGTATTGTAAGTACACTATATACAATGGAAAGAAAGTTTTTGGCTTTCTACTACTCCATCTTGATACAAAAAAAAGGATGAGGGAATCTTCCAAAGAAAGGAAGAAAGTAATCAATTTGAAAATAAGTAAGTATACATGGATGTGTAGATCATGCAAAGAAGTAACTTTCAGATACAAACTGAAAGAAGTCCTCCTGAAACAGCTACTTCTTCTATATAAACACTGAATTATATGGAAGAGTAATATAGTGGAGTAACACTGGCCCAATTGCCGCGAACGGCGGCGAATCGACATTTCACGGTCATCACGAACACTGGCGGATACTGCCGCAATATTTTCTTCGATCCTCACTCTACGTATGCGTGTTGGTAGTTTAATGTCCAATAATGTAAACCGGGTTCGAAATTTAGCCACAAGCTTCCGAATAGCTCCCCAAAACTGCCCATAAACTGGAAGAAGTACATGATGCACTTTCTTCACCGAGCATGAATTTTGATAACAAAATTCAATAATTTGCAAGCGTTGTTAATTCGTAAGTTGATTCATGGTTAAATTATAGACCAAACTGAACAAGTTTGACAATGACACAAGACACGATTCACGCGTGATCTGTTAAAAACACTGTTGCCAAAAAGATATCAGCAAAAAAATCACTCATTACATTGCCCTTACTTCAAACCACACTTTCAATTAGACTTCTCCGATCTGCTTGTTGGTAGTGTTTATATATCGTAATGGAAGTCTCTGGAAGCATATAGGAATATTCTTGAAGCGACGCGACCTTGGCCAAGTCACAGTCGATTGACGGAGACCAGCGGCGGCCGGCGCAATTTTTTTAGGGGATAATTTACAACAATATTTATACTATATAACTAAATTTGATTCATTCGATATATTATTATACCTACCTTTTTATCGCTTATTGTAGTTGTTCTGATAGTGTTAGGAACCGCGAGAATAAAACACAATCGAGCCATTTCGGGCCCTCTTAGAAGAGAACATACTTGAAATACCTAAATTCTAAACTGTTCTGAAACATCACCCGGCAAATAAAAAATCAGCTGGATTTATTTGGTTGATTTTGAGTTGGTGTGAGCCACAACAAACCATCGTGTGTTGCAGTGGAAGATCAAATAGATCCACTGACTTGAACCCACCTATTACTTAGTTGATTATGACTTTCTCACTAGAGAAGAATAATACTCAAGAAAATACATTCATTATGTAGTAAGTATAGAGCAAAGGTTCTCAAACTCATTTTGTCTCAAAAATGCCGAAGTAAAAAATCAAGTATTAAAAACTTGATAATGCCACTATTCACAGTATTTACCACCGCATGTACAGCACTTTACCTAGCTAGTCGCTAACTAAATTCACATGTTTTCGTAATATCGTCGAATGACTTTACTGGCTGAATGGCGTGCGCGCTTTTATATGAGACAGCAGGCGGGCCTAGTACTTTCGAGAATGGAGGCTTGAAACTTCTCCCTTCGCACTGAAGCTTACCGCCATCTATTGTACAGTTTGACAACTATCGGACAGGAAATAGTTACTGCCTAGTCCCTTAGATGGCATTGAAACGTTCATTAAGCGTAAAGGAGCGGTAAAGTTTGTTTAAAAGCAAAAAATATCGCCCCCTAAACCGCTTTAACGCCCCCAATCTTCTCTGGGCCCTTCATTGCCCCCTCCTCCAGCGTCTACAAGGGGGCCTTATCGCGAATTGTTTCAAAAGTTACAGTTTCTGTTCATTGAGAATCAAGTCATTTGGTGTGAACTATGATCGAGCTTTCTATAATGTCATTATGGATCATCTGCATACAATATAGTTTCTATGTCTGCCGAGTTCATCGCGTGAGGCAGGTCGTTGATATACATTATAAACAGAAGTAGCCCTAATATTGACCCTTGTGGCACACCTCTTGATATTTTTCTTTTTTCACCTTTGGTATTTCCCAGATCAACAATTTGATATATTTCGTTAAGGCATGACTTCATCATGTCCAGGCAGGCACCTCTCACTCCTTAGAAATCTAATTTGGCCAATAAAATCGAGTGATTTACAGAATCGAATGCTGAAGTAAGGTCTGTAAAAACGCTCACATATTTTTCTTGGTTATCAAAGGCATCTTTTATACTATTTGTGAGAAAGTGTATTGCATCAGACGTCGATTTTCCTTTCTGAAATCCAAATTGATGAAGACTCAGATTATTTATATCTAAATATTTTACTAGTTGTTCGTAAATCTTTGAAAAGGTTGGCACTATTGCTATCTGTCGAAAAATGTTTAATTGTTGAGGGAAGTAGCCTTCACTTCGAGTCGCTCACATATTTTTGAGTGGAAAAGTGAAAACATGAATCTCAACTATTGTTTATACGAGGAACAATACCTCATTGAAACAAATATTGAATTATGAAAATTTTATTAGAACCAAGACAAATGGAAACGAAATTTTTCAATAACAATATGTGAATGTTTAAAAAAGTTATATAATAATGCCTAGGCACTGGATGACGAGTGTACATTTTAAGTAAAATATTATAATGTGCCATTGAAAAATCAGCCACAATCTCAAACACTGGTCTATGAACATTCAATCCTAAAATTCATATCATTTCTTTGATCTGGGAATAAAAAACGAGAATGTACAAAAACAATATATGGAATGAATATTATGAAAATGTTCTTATTGATAGGCTTGCTTTCTTAACACTGATAAAAATAGTTCCTTGTCAAATCAATAAAAAACTTCGGTAACACGTCTTTTCAGAAAACCAATAGACCAGCAGATCACAGGATTTATAATTGTGAAATACCTAAATTCTACACAAAAAAATACAACATATTTCATGCTAATAAAGTAACAAATTGGTCATATATGAAAACTATTTGTACTCTCATCTGTACAAGTAATAACTATCCAAGAGTGTATATAAACAATAATTCGAATATTAACTTAAGCGACCCTTCAATGTTCAACATCAAAGTAAATATATGAACGGGTCTTTTTAATACACGTTTTCGATGAATACACTTCTTAAAGTTGCATAACTTGTATTTCTGATTGCAATTACAGGCACAATAAAGTAACTAATACACTAAGTTCCTCAACGAATTCGTTCATATCACATTACTGAAACAGATTTCATGTCGGAAGCTCTTCCACGAAATCCATTCATATTTTACTAGCATGAGTGTCACTTGCAGAATGCATAAAAATCGTGAACAGAGGTATTATCAGGAAGACTATCTGTTCATGTTTCCATGAAACTTATATTCATACTATGATTTATCAATGGTTGAGTTCCTTATTGGAATGGACTATGAGATAATTGAATTGTTTGGGCACACAAAATTTCGACACAAAAATATTATTGGCTATCAGAATGAAGGAGATTTTCATTCAGTCGATTGCAAGCTTTAGCACTGCCTTTTTCAAGTGATTCACATATAATAGGAAACAAAATAAGTTTCTTGATATGTCAGAAATATATCCAATTTTTATATCAAACCGTCTTTCTGCTATCCTCAATGACACCATGCTTTAGGAGTAAAACCGTATTGCACTCCTTGCTAAGAGATCGTTTTACAAACATGTCGAGCTTGAAGCAATTTAATTCAACTATAAATATTTTATAACCAGTATAATATGACCAGAACCCCCAAGAATAACAATTTCAAATTATTTAGAAATAATTACATGGAAAGTAAAATTTTGAGACAGATTTACAGACACACAATCTTTTCAAATATTGCTATCATTGCCAGAAAACAACAGTGAAGTTTCAGCAAACCAACAATTGGGTTAGTATAAAAAAAAAGTTTTACTTTTTAGGGGTGCTTCTTCCACGTAACGGCAAATAAATATACTACAGTATCAAGAACCGGCTCATATATTGATAAATAAATAAAGTCAGCCTTCAAAAATCCCAATCCTGTCACCATTGTTGTGAGGCAGTCATTATTGTTCTAGATATGAAAGTGTAATTAAAGAAAGTTAGTACAGAATACTTCACGATGTCTTTACGGCGTAGACTCGATATAACGTTCCCATTTGATATGTAGGGGGATTGCTCAAACTTTTTCTTTTTTCACTTTTTCCTGTTCCGCAGACCCTGATAGCGTATTACAGTCACCTTCTTGTATACTTCTATGGAAAAAATATGCAATGCTCACTTCTAATTAGAATAAGAAATTTATGCAGTCCTTGATAGATTTACTCAAGTACATGTTAGACTGAATGTTTATCTAGTTCGATCCAAACTCTATGTGATCGAGGAAATTCAGTCCTAAAATAAAAGCCAAAAGGTGTTTCCAGATAGTACAAATTCATAAAGGGGAATGTTCCTCAATTTGGGTTACTACAGCAAATGCAAGTTTGAACTAGATAAAACTGAGTTTAATTCATGAGTTTTTCAAATTCACTTCAAAAAGTATCAAACTGATGTTTCAAATGTTGGGTTTTAATTTTTAATGGGATTTGTTTCTAATTCATATATTGGCAACAGCGCCTATATCAAGTTGAAATACTTTATATGTGCCTAGATATTCTACTTTGAAAAAGGAAAATTATCTTTATAAATCAACAATTAAGGCAAAATATAAATTATAGTTCAATACCACCTCCACAAGCCACATAAACAACAGTTGTTTTGTTATTTATTTATATAGAGGAAGTTAGGTTAGATGCACAAAATGTCACATGTCACAGAATGTCTCGGAACTCGGAACATAAGTAAACAGAACAGCACGCCTCTGAAGTATGTCATCTTTGTTTGTCTCATACAGGCAACAGATTAATTGTCCTTTATTAGCTATAACCGATGTTGCCAAATGGTGAAATAGAAACGAATCCCTTTAAATGTTGAATGCATTATTTCATTCCTCTTTTTTAAGCATGTAAATAATTTTTTAAAGAAAAAGGTTGAAATGATAAGTTTAAAATGCGTTGTTTTAGAGCTGTTTTATGAAAACTACTTGATTTTCGTCAGAAGGAACATTCCCCATTCTTGTTTTACAGAAGTATCAATGAAATTTAACGTTCAACTGTGGAAAAAACGGCGAAAGCTAAATAATCCAAGGAGTAATAAAACAGAATTTTTGTAATAACATTCGCGAACACAACAAAAAAGTGTCAAAGCTCATAACTTTGAGATAACCTGCTGGAAAAACTACTAAATATACTTTGAACGACATTTTTTTTAATATAATATCGAACGACACAGCATAAAATATATTCAAACTTACTTGGACGGTTCAGCAACTGTTCCTGCCGCTCTCTGATCAGACGGCAACGGTTCATCCCCCCGATCCCCAGCCACATTGGGTTTCACTCCATCCGTTTGAGCAATACTGTTAATACTATCGGTTAATGTGTTTTTGGGCATATTCGCTTCATCCTCGACATTTTCCAATTTTAAGTCTTTTTCTTCCGCAGGCTCCTTACTTACATCTTTTTTGTTCGCATCATCATTAACGCCAACACAATCATTTACGAAAAGCACGGAACTGAAATCAGCCCATTCCCCTATTGTTGTATCCGAGCTGGTAAATTCAGGATTCCAAGGATCCGATCCAATTACCGGCGCGATAGAGCTGGTTTTGGGGGATTCCCAAGCTGAAAGCACAATATATCAATTGGAAAAATACATTTCCCAAGACCACAATGCAAAAAAATAGTGTTCAGTGTATGTCCACAACGAAAACGTCGGTTTCTTGTTTAAATTGAAAGGGTTATAGTTTTAGAGTTATTTCTTTGGAAGATTCCCACATTTTTTGTATCAAGATGGAGTAGTAATTGATCACTCTTGAAAATATAACCCTCTCCATTTCATTTTAGTTGTTTTAATAATCGTTACTGCATTCAAAAAATCAAAGAATTCAATAATAAAGTACCTGGGGTACCACAAGGTTCTAATCTTGGACCTCTTTCATTTTTTATATTTGAAATTTTTTCAATATTCCTAGCCTACTATTTGCAGACGACCTGAAACTATATTATAAAATCGACGACATTACTGACTGCCAAAGTGTACAACATGAATTAGATGTAACCAAACTTTGGTGTAATAATAATCGTCTACAAATGAACGTATCCGAATATAAAATAATATCATTTACAACAAAAATGTACGATTATTCAATCAACAATACTACAATCTACCCTGTACATGGGATAAAAGATCTTGGTATAATATACGACAGTAAATTAACATTTACAACACATATAAGGAATATGACTGCTGATGCAACTAGGATGCATGGATTCATTTACAGAAATTGCAAAAACTTCAAAAGTATTGCCACCTTACAATTGCTATATTTTGCCTAAGCCAGATCTAAGTTAAAGGTCAATACCCCCACAAGAGGCATCGATCATAACAATTTGTTGACACGATTTGATATGACATCTTTGGAAAATAGGAGAGTTATCCTCGGTATAAAATTCCTGCATAAATTACTAAACAACAATATTGACAGTACCGTTCTTTTACCGATAACGCAAACTCATTTCCAAGACTGATCGTCTTTTAATGTATGGGTAGGCATAATTGGGGATTATTTAATTGGGCCCTATTTTATTTATTTATTTATTTGACACTTTGGTACATTGAGTACATGTGCTAAGTCATAATTAAAAAACAAAAATAAAACTACAGAAGTTGAACAATACAAAAACAATAAATATGGTTCACGTCCACAAACTTTCACAACATAGAAGTATTATATAAAAAATCGCAGAAGCTCTAGCAAATACTCTCAAAATGTCATGAAAAAGTGTCGTGCAAGAATTCCTCAAGACTGTAGTAACACTTCTGTAAGAGAAGTTTNACAAAGTAAAGATATCTGTCTGTAGTTGTCTACCTCAGTTTTGTCGCCTTTTTTATATAGAGGAAATATGAGAGCCGTTTTAAATACATTTGGAAAACAACCTACAAAAAATGACTGATTCATCAAAAACAATAGTGGCTCGATTATAAGGTCTACAATTTTTTTCACAGTAACTATTGAGATACCATCAGTACCTGCGGAGTTTTTATTTGCCATTGATTCCAGAGTACCTAGAATTTCTGTCTTTGTGAATGGGGATGTATCGAAGGGATACTGACTATAACAGTATTCTTCGAATAGGTACAGGGAAGTAATACATTTTGACCAAAGTGCTCTGAGATGAGCAATTCAGCAGAAGATGAAAAATGTTCAACGAAAAGGTTTGAAATTTCTTGTGGATTGTTAATTTCCTCCTTTAATTCATTTTTTAGAGTAATAGGTTTGTTTCCCTCCCCTCACGTTTGAATGGAGATGCTTACCTACATTTTTTGGAACACGAGCTTCCCCAACTTATGGAAGATGTTCCATTGGTCTCTCTTGGTTTATGCACGATGGTCCTGCTCATTTTAGTGTGATAGCAAGAAATTTTTTAGACGTAGCATATCCACAACGATGGATAGGAAGAGGAGGCACTGAGCATTGGCCATCGAGGTCACCGGACCTCAATCCCGTCGATTTTTTGTTTTCGGGACAACTAAAATTACTAGTTCATGCTAGCTCCATTGAAAACGAGGAAATGTTGAGGGATCGCATCATAGCTTGCTGCGAAACGATAAGAAACACTCCGGGCATTTTTCAACGGGTGCGGAATTCTTTAATGAGGAGAGCAGAAGCTTGTATTACTGTTGGGGGGTTGTCACTTTGAACAGTTGTTGTAATAGTTGTTTCGTTCAATTTTTATATGTTTATTTTCCTAATAAATAACATAGTACTTCTCCTAATTGTTTTTTTACAAACTCCGAAATGTAGCACTTTCTAATTTCTTCATACTTAGTTTTTGTAATGTTCTTATACTATACATCCACGATAATTTAACAAAATATATCACAAATTCTTCTTACCACAGTTACTCAACCAGAAATGGAAAATTGTTAAGTATTCCTAGACACAGATCCTCTAAATTTGAACAGTCATCTAAATATGTGGGAATAAAATTATTCAATCACCTACCTGATCACTTTGAAACCATGAGTTTGACGTCATTTGAAAGAGAAGTTAAAAATTTGCTCCTGTCTAAGGTTCATTACAGTGTCAGTGAATTCCTTTTAGATGACTTTACCTCAGGGTTTCTTAAAGTGGGGTCCATGGACCCCTAGGGGGTCCGTAGCACGTATACCAGGGGTCCGCAGTAGGTCAGTTAAATAATAGTCACAAAACATGAGTTAATTGAAAAAAAGATTAAACTGGGCAGGGTTTCTTAGCAGCGCAGTTGTTTTATGTTTGTTTCTGATTGTTTATTTACTATCGCTTGCCAACTGGGATCGGTCACCGACTATATATTTATCTATGGTCACCGATCGTCGATGAAGGGAAGGCGGCGAGAGACGGCGCGCCGCGCCGCACGCACCGATGGATGGTGTGAGAAGTGCGGGGGACGCGCGGTGCGCAGGCTCTCTGCCGCTCTCCCTCACCCNAAGATAGGGTTTTTATTTCCCAAAAAAAAATTATCAGAAAATTATTTGATATCCCATGGAGAGAATCGTGCAAACAGCACTTCATATCATATCAAATCCTGCCATTCCCTTGTATTTACATATTTAAATGCTTATTATACATCCACGATAATTTAACAAAATATAACACAAATTCTTCTTACCACAGTTACTCAACCAGAAATGGAAAATTGTTAAGTATTCCTAGACACAGATCCTCTAAATTTGAACAGTCACCCAAATATATGGGAATAAAATTATTCAATCACCTACCTGATCACTTTAAAACCATGAGTTTGATGTCATTTAAAAGAGAAGTTAAAAATTTGCTCCTGTCTAAGGCTTATTACAGTGTCAGTGAATTCCTTTTAGACGACTTTAGCTGATTGCGGTCCAGACTTTCATCCAGATTTTATTATTTTATTATACATCCAATTTTGACTAATCTTGTTTTTTTTTCTTTATATTTTATACATTTTTATACTTCAAAACTACTGAGATATTTTATCTTTATGTATGTTTATTTTCTTTATACTATTTTAACGTGTTGAACTGACATGTCCTATACGTTGTTAACGTCTCAAAGGATAAATAAATATCTCGAAAACGATCACCTCCAGCGTTGTTTTTACTTGGAAAAGGTGTGGGAATTAGGTTTTTTCGTGAAAAGTACCAAAAGTTTACTGTCAAAAAAATTAGGGCAATTTCAAATAAATAATGACAGTGTACGCAGCGCCCTCTAGATGTTACATGAAAATTAATAAGAAATTATGATTTCCCACGTCAAATAAACCCTGGGTACCGAATTTCGTGCAAATAACTTACTTTTTGCAAGAGTTATTTTCAAAAAGCGAACAATAACATTAAATTTCAACACCCTGTATCTCCGAAACGAAACATTTTCGGACACAAGTTCATATAGACTTGTTTTCTTAAAATTGTCTCAGGAATACGTCACTTGAATATTTTAACGTACTTATGTTACACCCTGTATACTTTGTTTTAGCATTTACTTTAATACATTTCTATATTCCATTATTTTTAATATTTATTTCATATATACCGTGTAATAATAGCATTTCCTTTAACCGGGTACTCCTGTTGGAAATTAATCGCTTTTTTTTTCATATTATACTTACGATCAGCATCCATTGTATCTTCTCCGGGCTCATCATCACTGTCACTGCTGTAAGCAGTTTCGTTTCTGTCGTGCTTCTCGATGACAGTTTGAAAAGTATGTTCCCTTTCTTCGAAGATTTGATCATCAGCGTCATCCAAAGTATTGATATTCTGGGCACAAACTTGCTTGAATATCTCTTGCTGCTGAATCAAATCACTCTCGGAGACATCAAAATTCATTTGAGTCCGATGATCGATATTCCTATAAAAAATTTAGTAAAAGAAACGTTTGATATATAAATAACTTGGAATTTTTGCTTGGGTAAGATTTTCTCACCAAAAAATATTCGACACAAGTATAATTGTTTATTAAGATTGAATAGACAAACTTTACAAAAACAGAACAGCAGAACTGTATGATTAAACTTTTTGTGATGTTAAACAATGCCTTTTTTTCAAAAATATAAAGGTTATGTCATGGGTATTACAAATGAAGAAACATTAAGAAACAATAATAATAATAATAATAGAATTTATTCATCAATCAAAGGTTCTTGCTACAAAATTAATTGTGTTACGTTGGCAAAAGTGTACTGATTCAAATGACACTTATTTCGATTGAATTGAGTAGGTATTCACAGAGATATTGCAATTAAAAGTAGACTCATAAAAAAAGCCAAAACTTTTGAAAAAACCTAAAATCTATCTATTAGTCCTAGTACTTTTTTTCTGTATAAACTATTAGTGTTCTCCACTCACTTGGGGTTCTTTCCAAGATTGGATTCTATGGATGCTGTTTCAGTGGCATAATTAAAGCAAAAATCTTGCTGACAGAGTGGTTATGTTACTACCACATGTTGAATAGTTTCATATTTGGTTTCCATTACCTATACAGGGTGTAACTGAATAAGGGTAAAACATTTAAGGAGGTGATTCCTCATCGAAAAAAAGATAGGATCTTTCATATAAAGAAACTTCATTGGAGCATCCCTTGTTAAGATACAGCCCCTTAAAGGGGGTACATACAATTTTTATAACAATTTTTTTCACAAGCACTGAAAAAGTTACAATATTGAAATTAACCTGACGTTTTGTACTACCAAAAAGACACTTAGCCAGTAATTTATTTGGTTTACCCATGGTTGTAAGGGGTGGAAAACGCAACCCCTGAAATTTATTTCAAATGTAACTTTTTGTCTTATTATTTGTTAACCATTTAAAATTAATTTCCGATAGCATGTTTCATTCTAAACAAAAAATGTCTTTTGGGTTTTTGCCCAAAATAAACCAGTTCTCAGCAAAAAATTGTTTTACGAACAACTACAGAGATACACCTTACACTTATTTAGTTACACCCTGTATATTTTTTTATTTGTACACATTTGTACCATAATTTTAGCTACTACTTTAAAAAATCCCACTATAAATATCATGTGACTGGTTTGATATGTATTGAAAAGAACGGAATACAAATTTTACTTACTGTAGAGTATCTTCACCATCGGTAAACTCATCATCATTAAACCCACTGTAACCATCAATATACTGCGGTGAGAGATTCTGCATTTGATATTGTGAAAAGACCTGAAAATATTGAACCAGATAAAAATACACTAGATAAATATACAACCAAGCCACAGTATTTCTGGTATTTAATCATCATTTTCATTTTGCAGAAGGCGATTCAGAAAATTGATTGGATCGAACTGAATTTCAGAAACTAAACTCAAACAATGTACCTGTTGCTGCACGGCGCTTGATTGAGGGAACGGTATATCTTCAAAATTGTTGAATGTTGTAGTTGAAACTTGCGGAGGAGCATCTCCCTTCAGATAAAAAATACCGAATTAATGAAGATAATCATTTATTTCCATGATTAATCGATTGCAATCAAGGAGTTTGGTCTTACCAACATAGTGTCCTGTATTCTATTCACTTCTTTCAAAGTGGATTCTTTGAATTCTTCTAATGATTTGGCAACTTCAGGAAGATTTTTCGTGAGATACTGTCCTAGAGAAGTATTTGAACACACATCTACTATTTCATTAATTATATTTATCAAATGACCCATATAACCCTTTCGGCCACCATTCTCTTGTTTCCTAGAGAATTAGAGTTTTCAATTAATATTTTCGAATCATCTTTAATTTACGGGATGATTAAAAACATTAGTTTATTATAGAAGAACACATTCGATAGTCACTCGAATATTGGTTTCTGATCCATTAAAGGCGCTTTTTTCGTTAGATTCCATTTGAAACCTAGCTAATTCACAAAAGAATCATTATAGGAAATTCACTGAATGAAGATTGAAGTTTGTACTGCCTTTCACGGCCAGAGCAACGACAATCAGTCGTTGCTGAGACTTCGAGATATAGCCTTCGTTCTCGCAGTCAACGCACATAATACTGATGATGTGTGCCACAGTAGCAGACGAAACGTTTAGTATATTCAGGTTCCATTTGACCGCGGCCTACCAGCCCACATTTTATTCTCTGTTCTGTAGCCAGAAAAATAATTTTGTCCAGATTTTCATCTGTTCAGTTGCCAGAAATATAATTTTATCCAGATTTTGTTCTCTGTTCAGTTGCCAGAAAAATAATTTTGCCCAAATTTTGTTCTATGTAGAGTAGCCAGAAAAATAATTTTGTACAGATTTTGTTCTTTGTTCAGTAGCCAGAAAAATATATTTGCACACATTTTATTCAGTAGCCAGAAAACAATGTTGAACAGATTTTGTTCTGTAGCCAGAAAAATAATTTTGCCCAGATTTTGTTCTCTGTTTTGTAGCCATAAATATAATTTTGTCCAGATTTTCTTCACTGTTTAGTACCCAGAAAAATAATTTTGCCCAAATTTTGTTCTCTGTTTCCTAGCCAGAAATATACTTTTGTTCAGATTTTGTTTTCTGTTCAGTAGTCAGAAAAATAATTTTGCTCTCTGTTGAGTAGTCAGAAAAATAATTTTGCCCAAATTTTGTTCTATGTAGAGTAGCCAGAAAAATAATTTTGTACAGAAAAATATCTTTGCACACATTTTGTTCAGTAGCCAGAAAAATAATGCTGAACAGATTTTGTTCTGTAGCCAGAAAAATAATTTTGCCCAGATTTTGTTCTGTTTTGTAGCCATAAATATAATTTTGTCCAGATTTTCTTCACTGTTAAGTAGCCAGAAATATAATTTTGGACAGATTTTGTTCTCTGTTCCGTAGCCAGAAGTATAATTTTGCCCAAATTTTGTTCTCTATTCTGTAGCCAGAAATATACATTTGTCCAGATTTTGTTCTCCGTTTAGTAGCCAGAAAAATTATTTTGCCCAAATTTTGTTCTCTGTTTCCTAGCCAGAAATATACTTTTGTTCAGATTTTGTTTTCTGTTCAGTAGCCAGAAAAATAATTTTGCACTCTGTTGAGTAGTCAGAAAAATAATTTTGCCCAAATTTTGTTCTATGTAGATAGAGTAGCCAGAAAAATAATTTTGTACAGATTTTGTTCTTTGTTCAGTAGCCAGAAAAATATTTTTGCACACATTTTGTTCAGTAGCCAGAAAAATAATTTTGTACGGATTTTGTTCTGTAGCCAGAAAAATAATTTTGCCCAGATTTTGTTCTCTGTTCTGTAGCCATAAATATAATTTTGTCCAGATTTTCTTCACTGTTTAGTAGCCAGAAATATAATTTTGGCCAGATTTTGTTCTCTGTTCCGTAGTCAGAAGTATAATTTTGTCCAGATATTATTCTCTTTTCAGTAGCCAGAAAAATAATTTTGCCCAAATTTTGTTCTCTGTTCTGTAGCCAGAAATATACATTTGTCCAGATTTTGTTCTCCGTTCAGTAGTCAGAAAAATAATTTTGTCCAGATTGTGTTCTCTGTTCAGTAGCCAGAAAAATAATTTTGCTTGTATTGCTTCTTCCTATTAGATTTAAATAGGTTGGTGCCAGGAAATAAGGGAGTTAAGAGATGGTTGTCAATATAAATGAGAGCTAAGATCGTGGCAGAATGTATGTTATCAATTATATATAGTAGTGTTTTTTGAAGTTTTAGTGTGTCATCCAGGTGAGCAAAAGCGAACATTCCCTCCGAAAAACTTTCATATTAGAATTCCATTCAAGACGTATACTACAAAATTCAAGTTTCACAAGATGAATTACTGGAAACCGTTTAAAAAATAGTAGGCATTCAACAGAAAATATAACCATGTGCATCATAAGAGAGTCTTATGTTTGATTTCAACAAATTGGCTTGGTCTGAGTCTCGAAAATCTTGAAGAACAAATATTCAAAAAGAATAATATTTCGATGAATAAAAAGAAACAAAAATCCAGGCTGGTTTCGTCCGCTACTGCAGCAGATATCATCAGTGGTATGCGCTTCGACTGCGAGGACAAAGGTTATATATATTTCAAAGCCTTAGCAAGTCGTTGTGAGACTAAATTTTTTGCGTTATTTCGTATAAAATGACATCCTAACTTTGAACTATGTAAAGTCGTGGGGAAGAGATATAACATCAAAGAACAACCATTTTCGAAGTTTTTCAATAAAATTCTGTTTCAGATTTTCACTGGCCAGAAACTTCTTTAAAAAACTCAAGTGCCTAAGCCCAAGCAGATTAAAATACTTACTGATGCTCGTCATTTTCTTTCCAAGCGCTCAAAATTGTCTCTATCAACTTACAATCCACAAATAACTGAAAAAAAAACACTCAATGAAAATCGAACATACGTGGGATGTTGAAAAAATAAGGTGAATATTCAAATTTTGTGAGCCACGTACATTCGTTCGCAGTCACAAGTGTGTTACATATGAGGGGGACTATTTTGAAAGGGACAAAATGAAAACTGAAGAATGAATAAATATTTTTTGAGAAAAATGAACATTCACCTCATTTTTTTAACAGAGTAGCACATTTTTTTTCTGTCTTACATGTTTAATTAAGGCATTTGAACTGTCGTCACTGTCATCGGATGCAAGTGTCTTCAGTGCGGACACAAAACATGCTTCTACTTGTGAATGTAAAATATTATTCCACTGATATTTGAAAAATAGCTCCAATAGTACAGGAAAGGTCCCAGCCAACTCAAGCTCGTTCAATATTTCTTCTTTATCAGACGGGATCAGAGTAGCAAACAACTTGATAATTTGGATCCGAGCATAACCTAATGGCGGATTTAATGTTCCTGCAGTGGTCTGTATAGGGGAAAGCTGAAAGATGATATAACAAAATAAATCAATCAATCAATTAATCACTGTACTTTATTGTCTAAGAAAAAAATCTTATTGACAACACATATATGCACATATATACACACACATATATATATGAAATACACGTTATCAAGTAATTATAAAGAAAAATAAAAATAACAGGTGCAGACAAAATAAAAATATAATAAAATATAATAGTTGAAGTTATGTAAAATTTCCAGAACTGTAAAAAGTTCAAAAAATAAACCTAAATCAGAAGCCGGTCTCAAAGCCTGTCTTCAAAATATTCGACCAAGCTGTAATACGCGTTTAAGAGCAAAAGTTCTTTTACACGGTTATGGAATACCTTGTAGTTCACTATACTTTTCATTTCGGTAGGTAAATGGTTGAAAATCTTCTGACTCTCAAACAAAACAGAATGTTTTGTTAACGTTGTTATTGGAATAGGCAGAGGTATGTCGTGAATTTGACGGGTAAAGTAGGTATTTTCTGATCTATAGCATTCTCTTCTTTTAAATATGAGACTTACTGTTTCCAAGATAAAAATGCAGTGTACAGTCAGTAATTTATTATTGATAAATAGGGGTTTGCAATGGTCCCTAATATTGGCTTTGTAGATGAATTTCACTGCTCTTTTTTGCAAAACGAAAACAGACTGTAGTAACTGTTTGCTACAAAACCCCCAGAAGGCGACACCATATCTCAAGTGAGATTCGATTAAAGCGTAGTACGCAGTTTTACCAGCAGTTGCTCCCAGTTCTTTAGTGATAACTCTAATGGCATAACAGCTAGATGAAAGTTTTTTGTTCAGATATTTTATATGATCTTCAAATTTCAGAAAGCTATCAATCCAAAAATCCCAAGAATTTAGCAGATTGTTTATTTTCTATCATATGAGTTTGAAGGCAGAAATTTCCATGCACAAATTTAAATGATAGAATGTTAGTTTTGCTGAAGTTAAAACATAGTGAGTTTGAGTCACACCAATACTTGATTTTTTCTAAATCAGCTTTAATGGTACTCTTCAAAGAAACCAAATCCTTTCCACGCCACAATAAAGTGGTGTCATCTGCAAATAGTGTAATTTTACCATCAATATTGACGTTAGGAAGATCATTCACATATAGGAGAAATAAGATAGGACCTAGAACAGATCCTTGAGGAACTCCACGGCATATTTTGTAGAGACTGGATGTTTTATTTCCTACCTTGACAATTTGATTTCTGTCAGAGAGAAAAGAGCTGAACCATTCGAGGGTTGGCCCTCTGAAACCATAAAGAAATAATTTCTTCAGCAATATTCTGTGATCTACACAGTCAAAGGCCTTAGAAAAATCACAGAATACTGCAGCGGCCGCCTCGCCTTGATTTAGGCCTAAATATAGCTCTTCCAAGAAGTCAAAGATAGCATCGCTAGTATTCTTACATTATTGAAAGCCAAATTGGGCATTATTTATTATATTATCTTTTGTAAAGAAGAATATTATTCTTTTCTTGACAAGTTTCTCTAAAAGTTTCGATAGAGATGGTATAAGAGAAATGGAAAGATGGAAAAGAGAAAAATTGTTGAGAGAATTTGGATCAATCTCCAATTGAACTGGGAGTATGTTTGTCTTTCCCCTTAGCTCATTGACTATGGCCCAGTTTTCTTTAGATTTGTTTGACGATGTAGAAATTCTTTCACAGTAATATTTTTCTTTCGCTCTTTTAATGATTAATCTGTACAGTTTGCGGTAATTATTAAAATATTGTTGGAAGACTTCACTGGAAGTATATTTTCTAATCATGTGCAGTGCTCTCATGTTCATGGCAGATATTTTAATTCCTTTAGTGATCCAGCTCTTTTTGTTTTTCTCTTTGATTTTTTGTATGGGAGTATGTCTGGGGGTAATAATAATAATAATGATATGCTTTATAATCATAAGACATAATTTTGTAGACAAAGCTTGGGTAGTAAATACTTAAAAAAGAATGGAATACATACCAAATGAAAATAAAAATGGTGCATGGGTACAAACTATGTTAAAATGGAGGATATAAAAGTTTTGTATATATAAAAAGTATAAATGGTATCTGTACTATAGTACAGATACCATTAAAATGATATATCTAAGATACCTGGTGAAGCAGAAAAAATTAGCCCACAAAAATTGTATGCTTAGCAGGAGTGATCAAGATTATCAAGTTTTCTCTGACTTGAGAAGTGCTTGCAAAATTCATTCAAAAATTTGTTATGAAAATTACAAACAAGGAGTTTTTTTTTTATTTTTTATCCATTCGAGCAAATACAGCTATAGGACAAGTCAAAAAACATATAGACATACAACAAAGTACAGTGAGTGAAATGATAAAATAAAATAAATTATGTACATGCATAACAAGGATTACAGACAAAATACAATTAACATAGGATAGTGAAATAATACACGTTTACAGGTTGTTCTTTAAAAAACTAATTCATAATAATCTTCTAGGTAGTAGGGACACAGATCAGTCAATATCTTTTTCACTTCAATAAGAAATTTCCGGTTTGAAAAGGATCTATATCTTTGTGGAAGTCGATTATAGAGTCTCAAGCCAAGTACAGTAGGTGAATTTTAGCTAATATTTAAGTGTCTGAAGGGAACGCAATATTTGCCTTTCTGTCTAGTATCATAATTGTGTAGTTCATCTACATGCATATGGTCGTCACGAGCTTTGTGTATATTCTTCAAAAGTTCTAAAATGAAAATACCACTAACTGTTAAAATCCTCATGTTTTTGAAAAGATCACGACAACTAAGGTTGAATGAGACTCTAGCAATACATCTAATAATGCGCTTTTGAGCCAGAAAAACATTTTGTGCATATGCTGATCCACCCCAGACTGCAATACCATAGTTTATTCTTGATTGAACTTCTGCAAAATAGAATGAAGGGAGATGATTCAAATTCAATGTATATCTAAGATTTCTGATTTGGTAACATTTTGAGTTCAGTGTCTTGGAAAGCTGTAGACAGTGAGTTCGAAATGATAAGCCTTCATCCAAAAAAATTCCAAGAAATTCAACACTTTCCGTACTATAAATGCATGTGTTATTAATGTTGATATTTAATGGCGGTACGTTTTTGTTTTGATGAGTATGAAAAGTTACACAATTTGTTCTAGACAATTTTATTGTCCTACTGGAAATAAAGAATTATTATTATTAGATGGATGCCATATACACTGACTTTTCCAAGGCATTTGACAGAATAAATCACAATATTCTATTGAAGAAGATTGGAAATTTCGGTTTTACAGAACATTTGGTAAATTCGTTGGGTAGTTTTTTGACTGGTCATTCACAACAGGTTAAAATTGGTGGATGCAAATCGAGTGATATATTAGTAATATCTGGAGTGCCACAAGGATCACATTGTTCACCCCTATTATTCAATATTTTTGTGAATGACGTAGGATGCTGTTTTGAGAACAGTGAATTTTTAATGTTTGCAGATGACCTGAAGCTTTTCAAACTGATGAAGTCATACAATGACCAAATTCTACTTCAAGATGATCTAGAATGGTGTGTTACAAATAACTTATTTCTTAATGTAAATAAATGCCATTTTATTACTTTCTCAAGAGTTGGTAGGAAATTCGATACATCATACAACATAAATGATCAGCACTCAGAATACACTTCCTCCATAAAAGATTTGGAGGTCATTTGACAAACAAGTCAAATTTGTAAACACTATTAACCAAGTAAGTGTGAAATCATCCAAAACACTGGGTCTTATTTTACGTTACAGGATTTTCCATTGAAGCATTAAAAAGGATTTATTTAGCTCTAGTGGTGTCTAAGTTAGAATATGCATGTCTCATTTGGTCTCCATTTTACAATGTGCACTGTGTGTCTCTAGAAAGAGTGCAAAACAAACTTTTGAGATTTTTGTTGTTTCAAGCTGGGTCTTCAAATACAGTACCATGACTATTCGAGTATATTACAAGAAATGGGGCTGAAACTATTGCAAACCAGAAGAATTCATGCAGATCTATGCTATGCATTCAAGCTGCTCAATGGACTAATAACTTGTCCTGAATTACTTGAATCTGTCAACATTCATGTTCCGAACTGGAATCTTAGACACAGCCATTTATTTCATATACCCTTCCATCATACAAATTATGGCAAACATACACCCTTGGAAAGAACCCTAAAGTTAGTAGATGACAAAAACATCAGTACTTTTGGTGTCTCTTATGGTCGTTTTGAACAATCATTGAATAATTTAAGTTGGTAATTGTTTACATAAGGTAGTAACAAGTTTAATTTTAATTCTATGTCTCTGTTGAACTATCTCTTTCTGTTCAGACTGCAAATACATCTGCTGATGAATTCTCTCAGTGGTGTACAAATAATGGTCTACTAGTCAATGGTAATAAAACCTTTTTCATGAATTATCAACAAAAAAACGTTCCGTTAGACTACTGTCCCCTAATAAAAATAAATAATAGGTCTATAGAGCAGTTAGGCCAATATAAGTATCTAAGTTTGATAATTGACCACAAATTAACCTGGGAAAAACACACTGACTATTTGATGACCAAATTAGGTAGTGTTTGCTTTGTACTCAGGCAACTACTTGGAACAGTATCTCATCAAGTACTCAAGTTGGCCTATTTTGGACTTTTACAGTCTTTTTTCCTTATCTACAAAAATTATTCATCTTATCAACACGAGAGTTGTCTTTTATGCTTTTAAAAATGACCATTAGATGTCTCTACGTGAAATTATCCCTTTATTATTTTTGACTTGGGAGTACAAAATGCAAACCAATGCAGTATAGTCATAGTACACAAGCATCTTGAAGGCAATATATCGCAGAAAATTGTGCTGTACGGCCTCAAGTTTCACTTTTTTGTGTAAAGTAATGAGGGGACCAAACTGTGGAACAATAATCGATATGAGATCTAACCAGAGAAAAAAAAAAGAAACTTAATAACAGTGATGTTGGTGAAATCACAGGTAATTCGTAGATTTTTGAATTACAGCAGAAATGTGTGATTTACAGCTAAGTGTGGAGTCTAGTATCACACCTAGATCTTTATACTATATTCGAAAGTGGTTGGGTGATGTGTTTGATGAAAGCAACGAATTTGACATTTGGATGCATTCAAACACATACCATTTTGCGAACACCAGTTAGATAGGCAATCTATATCGTTTTGTAGACACAATGTATCAGCTTCACTTTTATAAACATATCAATATAATAATGTAAGGAAAGGTTATCCTATTGTGTAGGTACATATTTTATTATAGCTACCACAAGCCAATTGTTTCTTTTGTAGGATTAAATAACGATACTAATAATGTACATACACAAAATTAAAACCATCATTTTAAAGCAACGTTTCACATAATAAAAAAATATTACGTGCTTGCTGGTTGGATTCTTATAATACTGTCAACAGTATATGTCTAACGCACACTAAACGCTAATCGTCTGTCCGACGGGAGAGGAGGAGCCTGCCTTCCGCTGACGTATGCGTGAGAAAAAGGGAAGCCAGACAAACTGGCGCCGTTACGAGTTAGATAACGAAGCGGTTTACCCTCCCCTAAGAAATTATCACTTCAAAAATGTATGTACAACGATCTTCATCACCTCAAGAAGATGTTGTTGCTTTCTCAAATCGTGTTTTGAGATACCGAGTTCAGAGTGGAATTTTTTTCAAGAATTGATTTGATTGCACGCGGTAATGTAATCAATATCAAAGGCGAATATTTGAATACATAATCACAACAGTTAATTTTAAAAACTTTTGAGATGACCCTCATAAATATACAATATTGACCGCAGTAATTAATGGAAACACAAGAAAAATACCTTTGGAGGATGTACCAGGATATTATGAAGATCCTTTATCCGATGCTTGATAGCTTGAGTGGTGTTGAAAATGATTTTCTGTTTTTGTTCAATTTCAGCTTCGTCATCCATATTCGAATTATACATATTTTGTGGGGAAAACTTGTAACTAGTTTGATAAACGTCTAGTATAGCTTGAAGTACTTGAATGCCGCCCGCCACTGCGGATTCGCTCCTTTCATCGCCAGATAGCATAGAATCCAACAGTATAGAAATTGTTTGGGGACTGAAATTCAGAAAGTTATTAAATAATGAACTGAAAAAAAAGCAAACTCTTACGATTCCAAAGTGAGCAGGAGTATGTCGGGCTCAACTTTTTCTGTTGCATTTCTCGTATCATCACGAGCTATTCTGATGAAATCACACAACAACATGGCAACATTGAAGTGTCTTTCTTTTTCGACTTCTGACTTGAAGAGTGATACCAATGACTGTATGAATCCTTGACTATTGAGCCACTATAATAATAACAATGTATAAGTACCTGTCTACAAGATATATGATGGAATTGGACTATACTTGATGAAAATCCATAACATATTCAGTAAACATTTTTACAAAATCGCAACAAGTGTTTCGCCATACAATGCCTTCTTAAGGCGTGTCTTTACTAACTAAATTATACATATTCAATGCTCAATATATCTAATTGAGATATTTTTTTGGCCAAAAACAACAACGTAATCATGCCTCAGCCACCATATTCCCCAGATTTGGCTCTCTGCGACTTTTTCCTGTTCCAAAGGTTGAAGAGATCGTTGAAAAGACGACGTTTTGCGACGATTGAGGAGATAAAAACTGAATCGCCGAGAAAGGCCAAGAACATACCAAAAAGTGCATATTGGAACTGATTCGAGGATTGGTAAAAAGCTAACACGAGTGTAATAAACAAATTTTTTTCGAGAAAAATGAAAATTCACCCTATTTTTTGAACAGACAGTATATTGATTGAATAGATATAAAAGATGAGAGTGAATGATTCAAATCTGATAAACATGAAGGTATACCTTAATACAAAGAGACGGGACATCCACAGGTATAGTAAGTCTTTTATTGTGTTTATATTTATAAATGGAAAAATAATAAAATCTTTGGTCTGATATTTCATTTTATTAAATGTGCATTGATTTGAAAAAAAAGATTTTTAAAACTACAATATCTAATAAAGTTTTGATTATTTCTACAACTTTAAAAACTGATTAAAAAAATCTGTATGTCTCGAAGTTTTGAATCTTCAACTCCTCATCAGTAACTTTTTGATCTTTAGGAGATAAAAACAAAATCCTTTAGGTCACTGGAAGAGACATATTATCTTCAGAAGTTTCACGAAAACTAATGTTACATATTGTCATATGACCAGAGCAGAATTGTCTCTTCCAGTGACATAAAGTCATACTAAAGTTCAAAAAGACACTGACGACTAATGGAAGACCATCACACCATAAGAATAATAGATTTCCATATAAGTGAAACCTTATATCAATAATCCATCATATATTATGTTGTGTAGCATTCCTGTGAAAGGTATTTGTTTCAAATCCAAAACGATTATTTGGAGTACAAACTGAATATGAAAAATGCGATTTTCGTGTAATCCAAAGTTGATATGGTGGAAAGTTGTTGATTTGAATGGGCTCTTTCTTTCAGTTTATATCTAAAAGGAACGCCTGTGCGTAATCTACATACACATCTTTACACAGTTTTGTTTGACTCAACTGCTTTGTTCCTTTCTTCTGGAGTGTCGGACATTTCTTGTATAAAAATGTAGAAGTACAAAGCCAAAAAACTATTTTGCTAGAATATATACTTACAGATGCAAAAGTTTCCTCTGTGTCCACTGTCTCCACTTGCGTCATCAACTTGAGAACGAGATCCATAATAGAAGCTGCCCCTATGTGTTTGAGCAGGTAAGGAATGAAGGTGTCCTTAGATTTTAAAAAGTCTAGGACCTGTAAGCAAGTCATCTGATAGGATAGCCAGTTCTAGTGGGCCAAAGAATTCAACGTGAGGATTCACCACAGGACATACCATAGACAGAAGAAGCACCAGAAAAAGAAAGAAAATTTTCGTTTTAGTTCCACTTTACACAATAATTCTAAAATTAACGAATTGAAGACAAGTAGTTATTTGTTATAATATGTTATATAGTAGTTATAAAGACTCAAAAATACTTTCATTTCTTTACTTTCACCTTTTATCAAATAATAACCAAAACTTTGGTAAATGATTTCAAAAAAGGCCATTCACAGGTCGTACATCCAAAATTAGACCAAAGGCCAAGTTTCAATGTCAAATGGACATACACAAGTCTAATCGAAACTTTGCTTAAAAACTAGTGTGAGCCATCAAAACTAATATATACCACTGAGCCATCAAAACTAATATATACCACCAGGAAATATGTGAAAGCCTCTGAAAAAGTTGTAGCATAATCATAGATATAAAACAAATTTCATTAAAACCACTGACCTGTCCATTTTTCTTCACAACAAGGGCACTCATGAGTTTACAAAAATAACAAGCTAAAAGAGGATTCAACGGTGCATCACGTTCCAAAAATGAATAAAGCTTATTCAGGAGTACTTCCTCTTTCGCCAATTTTTCATTCATAGATGAAACATCACAGGTTAAAATTTCACAAGCCAAGTTTGGAATCCTATATCTAGTTCTCTCTTCTATTTCATTTGACGGTTCTGTCGTGATGAGTGTCAGTAGTCCATCCATCACCTCGGTCTTCTGTAGGCTAAAATTACTTTGTGAGTTGAATGGATTTTTTATAAGGAAATGCCTTACTAGTCTAACAAAATTTTGTTCTGAGTTTTACATTCGCTCAATATATCCTCAAACTCCAAGACTTCCAGCAGAGTAACATTCTAAAATAGTTCCATTAGCATTTCAGTGAACAGCCTATTATAATAATAATAATACCCACCTCTTTATTTACTAAAGCTTCAATTTGTGCAAGATTATTGTACTTCCAAAACATGATAGCAGATTCTAAAAAAGAAGCAAATTCTATATAGCTGGTATTTTCAAGTGCTTCATTATTTTAGAGAATTTGCACACCTTTGAAAACTATTGGAATTGAAAACGTTTGGTTAGGATCATTTGAAGTGACCCCGTAATTAATAATTTATCGAATATACACGAAACACAGGAACTAAAACACTAATCTTAAAAGGTATATCACATTTTTCACATTAATCGTAAAATGGAAATGGTATACTAGGAATTGTTATTATATAAACATTCAGTAATCTTCATACAATGATATTGAAATTATCACCATTACCACCTCTCATCTCCACAATACCACAATGCACTCATTGCATTTGGCACTTGTTGAAAGTTGAGAAAGAAAATGACTGACATTGAAGCGGGAAATTCAAAGTTATCATATAGTTTGCATCCCATATTTTTTTGACCATTCCATTTCATATGACATTTTGTCAATTGTAAAAAGCATACATGCTCCCCACATCGATCTGTGGACCCCGATAATTAATTCTATTACATATATAGGAAAGATTGCGTTATTAGGACATACAGTATGACTCATACAGTACAGTGAACTCATCATTTTTTACCAATTTTTTTTTAATAGAAAGGAGGTTTTGTGATGCCTCTTTTGAAGGGTATTTCAATTCTCTAACCAGACTTTTCAATTTTTGGAAGTCGGATCAGCCATTCCTGAGTAATTACCAGTTTATATTAACCATAAATATGATAAACTCAAGAAAAAATGCATTCAAAACTCACTCCAACTATCTTTATACTATGTTCCGACTTGACGATGAAAAAAAGTTTAAAGCTTTCACTTTCTGACAATAATGAAGTTGCTTACAAATAAATGTTCTACTAATTTGTTCAAAAAATAAGGTGAATTCAAATTTATGTAAGGTGAATTCAAATTTATGTAAGAAAAAATGTATTCATCACTTTCTATTTTGTCTCCTTCAAAGTAGTCCCCCTCAGATATAATACAATTGTGAGCGTTTTTTCCAATCCTGGAGGCAGTTATGCCAACAGACCAATGAACAGAGGACATTTAAATCAAGTCTTTACAGACTCTACTAATGAATCCTGACTTTTGGAAAGCTTTGGCTGAAATATACTCATCAATACGTAAGTGATTTTAAAGTTGAGTTTTTAATCAAATATAATTTAGAGGACTTTAATGTCTGATGTTCTATTTAAGTAACCATTATTAATATGATAACTGTTAACAACAACTGAATGCGGTATTCTGAAAAACACAATTGGCAGTTACATTCGGCTACATTAAGGTTCAATTGCAAATTATTACACAACAATTTAGAGTATTAAGTAAAATATCTTGAAGAAGTTAAACATCATTTGTGCAGGAAATGGATTTGAAGATCTTGGTACAAGAAAACTACTATGTATCATCGCTATTAGTGAATAAATCAAACACAAGTGGACCCCTGTGGTACGCCAGATGTTACATGAATAAGAGAGGACTTATAATTACCAATTCTTACCATATGACACCTACCTGATAGAAAATCCTTCAACCACATCAGCATTGTTCCATGAAAACCCGAAAAACACATTTTAGTACTGAGCAAATTATGCTTGGAAAGATGGTAGTCTGTTGGCGCGAGGTCTGGAGAGTATGGTGGTCGAGGCAGGACTTCGACACTCAATTCATTTTATTTTCGGACGGTGATTTGGGGAACGTGCGTTCTGTTGACCAGTACGCTTCTGCAGCTGGCGCATGTTTTGGTACATTTGGTCACACTCGACAAAATGATCGTTTTGGTTGTGCAAAAGCAAAGAACATACCTCGAGACGTGACACTTTCTCTCGATCGTGGGGCACCCACTTTTCGAACTTTTGGTTCAAGCCCCAGGCTGAACGCTCGATTTTCACTTGCTATCGTCCAACACGTGTTAGGAATCACACGTTAAAAGGTAAGACCTCGTTAATCCTTAGCTCGCACAAGTTTCTCGATTTCTGAGGGTTGTCGTTCGTAGGGGTGCGACAGCTGGTTAACGGAGAAACATACTTTGAATAGATTGTTTTGAAATAGTGAGGCTCGTAGGTTATTTGAATTGCCCCCAATAGCCCCAAAAAATAAAAATTGTTTAATGTCTAAACAGGAATAAATCCCAATAACAAGACATATTAATATCATTAGCAAGCATGTTACAGTTTTATATCTGCCTATACACACATATACATACAGTGTCTCACTTCTCATGGAAACACCCCCGTATCTTCCGTAATATTAGAGGTAAAACGATGAAACTCTCTGGACTGATGGAAATGCTCAAAATGCACCTACCACCTGAATGGGGTTGGCCAAAGTGATATACACTGTCCGCCACTCGCGATGGAACACCCCATTTTTACTGTAAAACATATTAGGGGGCAAAATAGGCTCAAAATTCTTTCAGATTCGTGATCAGGACTACCAACCTACTACGATTACACTTTAAAACAAAATGAAGGTGTATTACAAAAAAATATAACTCAGTAGTAATACAGTAGTAGTAATAAGGTCACATGGTAGAGTAACTTTCAATTTGGGCTCATGTATTTTGACTAGAGTGTAAAAGTTTCTCAACATGGTTCTTAACTTGACCAATAGGTTCATAATAAATGTCGAGATTTTCACAGAGTTGATTGTAAAATTTGCTCATTGCAACAACTGGTGACTTGAGTAATATGTATGTTCTAGAATTTGGTAGATAAAAAGTCAGTTCATTTCTAGAATTAATTCGTGGAAAATGAAAGTTGAAGTGGGAGAGTAGTTCGGGACAGTCAATCAGATTATTCATTAGTTTATAAATAAATAAATAATAGGTTCTTCAGTGTTGAAGGAATAAGATTAAATGTATTCAGTAGTATTCTGTTGTCGATACCTTGTTCAGGGTAAACTCCTAGCTTGTAATATATTTCATGAAGCCTTTTTGTATAGACTCGATTTTGTTTATGTGGACATTGTATATGGGTGACCATATGAGGGAGGTATATTCCAGCCTAAATTTGACGTATGCATTGAAAAGAGTTAAAAAACTGTCTCTGCTACGAAAGTTCTTACAGTTACGATAGATGAGCCCTAGCATCCATTTGGCTGAGCATGTTATTGTGTCATAGTGAATGGAGAAACTCAGTTTAGGGTCAAATGTGACACCATGCTACCAAAATAAAGCTGGGATATTGTAATCAGTTTGAATTTGTTATAATCATTTTCACTAACTCTACGATTTTCATTCAAAATTATGTCAAGAGATGGGGACATACAACAACCACCAAAAATATAAAACTGTTTAAAATTAACTCGTACAAATAGCCTTAATATATTTTCTAGTAGCTTGATGCGTGCTTTAAACTTATTTTATTGATAGGTATCCATAAAAATTTCAAATCATTTCTCATTACTCAGAATTCCAAAAATATTACTTTAAAAACAATAATTTATTGGCAGGAATTACAAAGAATACAGCCAAAAAAATATAATATTTACAGACATGATTTTCACATTATATAACATACTACGAATCAACAAACACATTTTATGAGATATATTTTTCTTGCACGGGGAAGGAACTTAATGTGTCATTGATGATTGATGGTCCAACGTAATAACGAATCAGCAGGCTAGATCCACGTTTCAGCTGATTCCTACTCGCTAAATCTGACCAACAATCAATCCAAGTAGTATAATGTGGCATCAAACGAGATCCCGCCATGAGCCCAGAATTTGTTACTGCCATACAATTTGATACCACTTGGAATGGGTACGTAATTGCAGATGCCACAAACTAAAAACATGAAAAAATACTTATTTATCTAAAAATGTAAACTTTCACGGCCGGAGATAACTGTGTGAAAGCTATTTTCGTTTTTTTTTTGCCTTGGTCTGTATATTTTCATGCCTCAAAGCCTTTGATAATGTCAACCACACCAGTAGACGAAACATCAGGCATGAAAACCTGCAGACCACGACCAAAAATCCCAGAAAATAGCTTCAACTCAATTACTTATTGTGTCACAAAGTTGGAAATATATATATACTCACAGTCATTGTGGCAGAAGTATAAACTTTCAGTTCCTTCTCTTCAATTAAGTAACGATTTATAGCATATGTTAAACTGCTAGCTAACAGCAAAGATAATATATCGCCTAACAATCTTGGAACCAATCCACTGAAGAATCCCAAAACTCCATTCTGCTGATAGACCTCTCGTATCGAGCCAAATAGTCCACTGAAATGTACGTTCAAATGGGACTCTCAAAAGCAATGAATGAAATGCAAAAAATGTATGAAAAATAACAGTCACGTTGGAAATATCAAAGCACTATTGGATGTGGAATAAGATGTTATGAAACAAAAAGAACAGAAATGATAATGACAACAGCAAAATCAAAATCATGAATATGAGTGAAAGGCAGACTAAAAGTAGCAGGAAAACCTTTTATAGGTGTCGTAATTCTTCTACTTACATATATTTAGTTTCCCTCCCTACAAACTGAGCCATCATTCGCACTGTGATGACATGGAATGGTTGGCTGACAACAATGGCAGCAGTATGTGTAATCAGATCACATCTAACACCTTTGATATATTTGATCCTTCTAAAAAAGAAAATGAAAACGCCATTCGAATAGTAATATAGAAAATAATTTACTTTTCCTCTTCGGAAGATTCTTCATCAAAATTTTCTTCTTCGCTTGGAGGTTCAAGATAATCTGCGAGCCTTTGGGTAACCACTGCACTAAGAAGATTTCCAGATATTTTAGGGAACATACCAACATAACAGCCTCGGAACCCATCAACTGACTTGATATGTTTCACTGTAAAAATATGAGATTTTATACAAATTATTCAAATTTTCTTTCAAACCCACCATATTCAAAAATATTAGGCAATTTGTATGCTGGTTTTCCAAAAAGAGTTTTAGTTGGTGTGGGAGCAATAGGTTCGTATCCGATCTGAAATAGTTTCATCAAATTGAGGAAGTTTAAAATTTTGTTAAGGATCTATTGTACCACTAACCTGAATGAGCACTTTTGCATATTCGAATGGGTGAGAAACAGTATTAACAATAATTCTCAATGCATAATTGGACCAGCGATTCTCTTTCTGTTTTGACATTTCCTTGGATGTTTTTATAATAAATTTGAAAACGGTAAGCGAATTTCCAGCAAAACCAATTTCGATGTCAACGAATTGTGGGTAATCGGATACTGGCCAACTCTTGTGTTTAATAAAAATCACTTTTTACGTCTACCGTCATTAGCGTCATTAAATTGAAAAACAATTTGAAACTACAGCACAATGTGACTTTTTGCACTTTTACAAAACACAGTCACAGAAAGTACAAAAAATTATCAAGGTTTCATAAAAAAATTACCACACACCACGGAATTTGAGAAATGATCTATGGATTAGATAGAATTAGGTTTGTTCTGGTTTTGTTAAAGTGTTTCGGGTCGTCTAAAATCAGAAGGTCAGTAGCGGACTGATAAGGTTTATCCGAACTATGTACATTATTCAGTTGGGAGACTGTTTTCCGACTTTTGGGTTAGAAACAGGAAACGATCGTGAGTCCGGGGAGATAACCGAACAAGCATTACTGAAGATGAATAGAATGAAACCCTGCATCTTGATATTACCGGTCAATTCGGGCAAAAATAAACAATTAGGTGAAAAAAAGCAATAAAACTTCTTATGTTTTTTTACCACTTTTATTTGTAACTGAAGTTACTGTAGTTATATTGAAATAATTAACAATGTTGACCCTTATATATCTATACCCGAGAATACCTACCACATATTTTCGGTCTATACACCACTGTAGATAACATTTAACATTGTTAATCATTTCAGTTCATTGTATTCGTTTGAAAATGTCATAGGACGAAACTGCAGTAACGTTAGTTACAAATAAAGTAGATGAAAAACATAGGAAGTTTTATTTTTCATTTTTCATCATGACCTCATCCTACCGCATAGTAACGGCTACATCCATCAATTTATAAGCGACCAAGCGTCTTCATTTCGTTCAGGTTGGAGCCTGGCTCCCTTAGGCTTTCAACTGATAGTTTATAAGCAATTAGAATTGTCACTCTTAGGCGCGAGATTACTCAAATGTTTTTCTTGCACAGAGAGGCGGCAAGCAGACCGTCGATAGAGAAAATCCGTTGTGGGAATTTACACCACAAAAAATATTATTTACTGTTCGGTATAACTGATTAGAAAGTGACTCAAAGCAGAGAAGAGTGGGAGATCCAACATGGTCACGCAAATTATTTGATTCTCTCAACCCGACCTGTCTTTCTAACATCGGCGCTGCTGTGAGTCCGAAGCCAATGCATATATGAATAGAGTCCCTTCTCGGGTAAGCTAGAATTGAGCTATTTCGATGTTTTCTAGAACGGCTCTAGAAATAGTTACCAAAGATAAATTTATATTTGATAGTTGCAGTCAGTCCTTATTGAAAGATCGAGAGTAGACCGCAGAACCACAAATCTCGTTTATGTGTTCTGCGCACATGAATATAAAACCACAAACAACTTTGCCATAGAAAAGCGATAGAACATCATTCTGCACGTACTTTTTTCGCAGACGCTGGTGTCAACACAGTTGTTTTTCAGTAAATGCACAAAGTAGGCCTGTTCTGGTTCTCTGCCCGAACTGTTCCTAACAGACAGAAAACAGTCATCCAACTGAATACGGAACACGTTGTCACGTAAACCTGTTCAGTCCACAACTGGCTCACTGATTTAGGACGAGTCGAAACAGTAAAACCGAGAACCAGAACAATCCTGGTATCTGCGTTGAACTAGATTCTCACAACTCCATCATTCGGTGTCCGAATTTTAATCATATCATCGAACAAAAATTAGTTTATCTCTATGCTGTTGGCTTTTGCTTCCATTCAGGCGCATTAAGCCTTAAATTAGTTTCAATAGAATCTATATGTACTTCAAATTTACCTTCGGATAAATAACTAATAAGTAAAATTTCATTCCAATAATTACCAAGTTTTAGAGACAGTAGTCTAGGATTTATAGACATGTTCGTTGTTTGCAAAGTAGAAAGACCAGTAACAAAAGCAAGTTTTTTTTTAGTTTTTTTATATGAATAATTTATTATTCATTCTTATTTGGAAAGTTCAGTTATTCAGTACAAACACTCATTTCTACTTTGGTGGATTTTGTTTAAAAACTGTTTGTACAACATAAACTTCGTGACTGTCGTCTTCTTCGATATTACTTTTTGCAACTTGTTTTTCTCTTTTAATTATAATTTTTCCTTTGTATTCTCAAAAATATGGAGTTATCGCAACTATGAATTACGCCATTAGAAATTTCTATTACGTACTGATTTTGCTTTATTGTTTAAATTTTTCACGTTTGCACACAATCGCCATTTTTCTTTATTTTCTTTATTTCATTCTCCAGAATGTGCTTGAAAGGTTGAAAAAAAGTTAAAAAAACATTGATTAGGTACTTTAAAAAAGAGTCGCTTCTCAATGTGTTTGGGATTGTTTGTGAATTTGCGATTATTTGAGAAACTATTTGTATGTTTATTTGTGTTTGAGCTGATTGTTAGTTTGAGTGTTTCTTTTAAGATTTTTTAGAGTGTTTTGTGTGATTTCGTGTTCCGTTGTGTTCGTGTGCTTTCACCTTCCAACATATTCACAAGTTTTCAATTTTCACGATTGGCCTTTGCAGTTTTGTTTGTATGTTTGATGGGGTGTGTATTTGTTTCAGGTCAATATGGATGTAAATATTGGTGGTCCTTTTCCTTAACTTATTTCAGTGAAATAACCCTCTTCAAATAACGATTACCCTCGTTAGGGGAGTATATTTTTAGAAGAGAGGTTCTGTATAGAGATAAGAAGTAGAAAGCCAAAACGTTTCTTTCCCAAAAATTATACAAAATTTCAAGTAAAAAAAAAATAATACTTCAAATAATCATGTAGTTCTTGCACGCTTCAGCTTGACTCTTTTTTTTCCTCACTGTGGTTAGTTTTGTTTGTTTGGCCGATATTAGCTAGATCTTTGAGTCCCAGTATATCTGACAGTCCTGAGAGTATGGATGAGCTAGATTCTCTGTCCGCAGTACTTATATTGTGGCTAACCTTCACTTGTTTATTTGGTAACAGTGGAAAATGGGATCCATTCAGAGTAGGAGTACCGTCTTCCAACAAATTGATGCTTCCAAAATTGGCAGGTATTATACCCGTTATTGACACCCCACTGATATTCGTTTGAATAGGTATGGGGATACTTGACAAGTCTATCAAAGTTCCGTTGGAATCTGGATCGAAGAAGGACACATCTATTTCTTCGTGCCTGGAATTGAAAATTTTATGTTAGATCACAAATGTAAAATTATGAATTGTTAGTACTAGGTTCTGCTTGGCAAAGGTTCTACCGGTGAGAAAGTTATCAAAGTGCTTGAAAAGATAGTAGTCGGTTGGCTAGAGGTCTGGGGAGCTTAATTTTCGGACGGTAATTTGTGAAACATGCGGACGATCGTTGTCATAGACAGGGATCGGACTTCTGTTGAGCAGTGCCGGCTGTTGTTGACGCAATTTTTGGTACTTCTCGTCGATTTTCTCACAATATAGGGCTGTGCTGTGATGATTCGGCCCGGTTTTCGTATTTGGAAATGTGGTATATTAGAACTTAGAACGCATTCTAGTGACAAGTGTCAATTGAGACAGTTGACACTTGACATATGAGAAAAAAAATGGTGTACGGGACCACATGTTCAAGTCTTATGTAAAGGTAAAATCTAATAATGGACGCTGCTTCCTATTAGTCGTTATTTCACTGAATGAACCACGAATCATTTCAATTAGGCTAGAACCTATTTCAGGAAAGTGCATGGTTAGCTCATCGGTATCCAACAACTGCCCTGAACGTCTCCTGACGTCGTAGAGGATCCACTTTTCATCACACGTGACGACCCATCCAAAAAACGATCGTTTTGGTTGAGCAAAAGTAAAGAACAGACCTCGAAACGTGACAATTTCTATCCACCAACCGCCACTGTCTTATGGTCCAACTTACTTCAAATGTAAACAAACTCTCCATAACCTCTCATTACCCGCCACACTCCCTCGCCAATAAGTTGTACAGAAAAGGATAGTACGATACCCATTTCAAAACACATGTATTGTATTGATATAGGAACCGTACAGGCATGGCAACTCTATGTCTTATTATTACTCTGAGTCGCATACAGTACAGAGAGCGTTGGCTGACTGGATGACAATATGGCTAATATACCAGTAACGTTGAATTTCTTATTTTTGGTGGGTGGCATGAATGCATAATTGATTTATTTTATTAGGGTTCATGAACATTCGAAAACCATTTAAAAATACAGCTCGTTAAATTATATTTATTGGTTTATTTGGCATTAAAAATGTATGTCATATCGGATCCATGCTGCTTGTTATTGCAACATTGAGTTTCAACTTTTTCTTAGCTGACAGCTCGCGTAGGAACAATTCGTTTTTTCATCGAGTTCAGTTTGTGTGTGTTTTAGAGATATATTTGAATATTAATATGGTGCATTCTTGTGCTAATTTTGATTGTGTGGAAAGGCACAATGAAACGGAAAGCGCATTGGTTTATATGTGACTTATTTCATATAATGAGTTTAGGTTCCCAAAGGATAAAATGATGAAAAAAAAATGGGTGAAAGTATTAACAAGAAATAACTAAAATCCTTCCACTCTTCCAAGACTTTATAGAAATCATTTAACAAGTGACTATACATGACAGTGGAACGAAAATATGGAATTTTATGACACAGTTTTTTATTTCAACTTCAAGTATTCTCCACAGAAAGTATTATCTGGAGTTAATACTGTTGCTGAAAGTATGAAAGAAAATTATTGCAGTTGTACAGATTGAGGATTGTAGAATAAATTGATTATTTGAAATGATTCTTTAATCCAGTTTGCTATATTTTTTGATTTTCATAACTGTATATTATTGAATAATGCATAAAATCATAGTTTAGGTAAATATTTTGTGATCTTTCGAATTTGTGTAATGATTTTAGATATAGAGCGTAGTTCCAAACATGACTTTTCGTATACATTTCATTTCATGTGTAGAATTTTTCATTAACTGAAACGTTAACGGGTTCATATACACTTCCATAAATAAATTGATAATTACAGGCTCCCTAAATTTTACGATTTGGTAATGTTGATTATTTCTATTGTTTCTATTGGTCAATCGAACAAGAAGCGGGAATAGGGTCGTGAAGTCACCACCCTATCAAATTTGATTTTTAATAATTAATTACGGGAAAACTACGGTACTTAGAGAGATGAAACAAAGTGCACTGTTTTTCAATTTAAAATTTCCATCAAGTGAATTATAAACCAAAAATCATGAAACAAGCTCATTACCCAAATCTTTAGATTTGGGTAGAAGATCTACCAGATCTCATTCATCCACACTTTATAATAAATGCCTTCGAAAATAGACACCAGATTGATTCTATTTACACATATTTTGTTGTTGCATAAACTGAACGCTTTGGGTATCGAGAAAAACATTCTGAAATGAATTGAAAATTTTCTTGTTCGTAGAGTCCAACATGTAAAATATGGTTACTTAGTATCTTCACCAATCGCAGTTCCATCTGGTGTACCGCAAGGATCTCATTTGGGACCATTACTTTTCAATCTATTCGTAAGTTTAATTGAACGATGTTATTCTCTATAGTGAATGTCTTCTGTTTGCTGATGATCTGAAGATATTTAAAGTTATTCATGACTCAAGTGATACTGAATTATTACAGTACGATTTATCCAACTTTGTACACTGGTGTGATCTAAACTTATTGCAATTGAATATAGACAAATGTTAAGAGTTTCCTTTTTTCCATATAAAATCAAGCAATCAGAACTGGAAACAACAAATGCAATCAAAGCTTTAGGAATAACTCATATTGCAAATGTTTCTTTTAGATCACTGAAAATAGGTATTAGGTTCCACACTTAGATCTGCAAAGGAATTATCTCACTCTCTTCTTTAAAAAGTATATATTGCTCAATAGTTGGATCAATAATTGGATACAACTCCACAACTTGGTGCTCCTCATATAATGGGGATATTATTGATATGCTTTTCAAAACAAGTTTTATACTCTGCATATGAAGTGGGATATCATATTTGGAAATAGAGCTGTATATAAAATCATATTGAACATTATTAACTTGAATATTCTGGCTCATAGCATATTAGAATGAGATATTACACTAATTCACAAAATATTCAGTGGTAGCATTAATTCATCGGAACTTGTCGAACTTACAACTTTAAATGTGAATCCAAGGAGAACAAGAAAGAAATTCGAAAATCTTCAAAGTACCCTTTCATCGTACTAACTATAGCCAGAATGAGTCTATGGGTAAAATTTTGAGACTTGCAAACATGCAAACACATACCTACAATATAGATTTGGAATTTTTCAATTCTTGTTTGAAATCATTTGAAATAACTGTAATAATATTGTAATTATTTCGCTCATTTTTAACTATTTTTATAGTGTTTCCTTACATCTAGCTGTTACTTATAGATTAATGTTACAGTACATACCTATGTGTCAATTTGATGATTATTTTGTAACAAATATGCAATGCCGTAAATAAATGAATAGAAAGATATCAATCCAAAACTTGAATGGTGAATGTTCTAGTTTATGAAAGGAGACAATTTAACGGAAAGAAGTCATTTCTAGTTTAAAAAATATAATACATACGTTTCGTTTCCGGCAATAGTGTCATTTCCAGCATCTGTCAGTATCCCAATTTCATAAACAACAGACTTGATAACGTATCTAGAACATCATCAGTATTAATTGATATAAACAAGAACTTTAATGAAGTGCTAAAACGTACAAATTTTGAGTTGGTTCTGATGTGTTGTTGGAGACGGTGGTAGTTTCAATGTTTTCTATCGCTTCCGTAGGATAATCTTCAGGAATGAAGGGTACAGCCAGGACTGAATTCACCAACAAAATGGCACCAACGACAGAAAGAAGCTGCAACATCTTGTTATACTTTCGGCGGTAACTATTGATTACTGCGAAATTTTCTAAGTGAATTATCCTTTTATGCACTTCAGATTTAATATAATTAGCAACATTTGTGGCGTGTGAGTCACAGCAAATATTCGTTACAATGTGTTAATTATCACCAACCTCAAACTGGTGTTTTGGCAATGACGTTCAAGGCATCTACAATGTAGACGAATGAGTTCAACTAGATTTAATATGTATTTTCACGGCACTACATGAAAATTCTAAGGCACTCTAAGAGCGGTGCCTGTGCACGTTGGATTTGAATCGCTGGAGATTAAATTCATTCGGAAAAACGTTCTTAGAAAGTTTATTCCACATAAACGCAGTTCTCCAGATGAAGGAGTTCTTAAACAGTAAATTTCGAGGTGTACTGAGTTGAACCTCAAAATGTTGATCAGTCACAGTCCGTCGCTTATTTCTAATATGTACCGCTCTTGTTGGAATCAAATTTGCCAAGTCACTTGAACACCTCCCGTGAAAGAAAGAAATAAATCTCCAACCTTTATTCTATGTTCCAGACTATCTAGGTTGCAAGTGATGTTCCTGTCTCCAATCATGCGAATAGCTCTTTCTTGGATGGAGTCCAGCAGCTTCGGGGTATGGTTATGGACGGAGCTTCATACATGCGAACAATACCCAAAAAAAGGTCTGATCTGAGCTTTATAAAGCATCAAAAGTTGCTGTGGTGTGTACAGTTTTCTGGTTCGGAACAGTGTTCTAAGCTTTTGAGAAGCAGCCTTTGCAGTTCCAACGACATGATTGTGCCAAGACATATCGGTGTCCATTTCAACCCCAACAAACTTATCGAAGCAGAAAGCGGAATTGTCCTGAAATTATTATATCCGATTCGGAGACTTTATCTTTTTGAAGAAAACCGATACCTGGGTTTTTGTGGCACCGAATTGAACCTGATTACTTTCACTCCAATTCAATATCACCTCCAACCAATATTCTTGGTTGGTTCATCCAAATATGCCAATGTCCTATAACTGAATATGGGTAGACCAGGTCCATGGCTTGCTTTTGTAGGTTTTTGGAAAGAACGGAGTCTATGATATTTACCTTATAAACGTTATTAACTGAGATTTGTTTGATCAAACTCAGCTCTCTCTGGAAATCACTCTCAGACAGTGGAATATTCAATAATTTGTGAATGCAGCAACTTTATGCTGGTAAGGGAGTGTGGAGGAATTATGCATGATAATGTCCGTGTACGATGGTTTGTGGAAAATTGCAAATTTATGTTTATTGTTATTTTTCGCAATGGGTAAGTCAAGGTAATTTATTGAATTATTTACCTCCCTCTCAGCTCTCAGTGGTGAATTTTATTGATGGGTGGATGGAATTGGCATATTCAGTGAACTTGCCTCATTGCCTATCTGTACCAGTAAAATATACTAAGATATCATCTACAAAAAACTGTTAGCTAACTGATTATTATGGATTTCATACTCTATGTTATCATGGATAACATAGCTAACTAACTGTTAGCTAACTGTCAGCTAGCTAACAGTTTTTTATACTGGTACAGATACGTAGATGATATCTTAGTTTGTTTTACTGGTACAAATAGGCAATTAGGCAAGTTCATTGAATATGCCAATTCCATCCACCCGTCAATAAAATTCACCACTGAGAGGGAAGTAAATAATTCAATAAATTACCTTAACTTAACCATTACGAAACATAACAATAAACATGAATTTGCAATGTTTCTACACACACCCTTACCAGCATAAAGTTGCTGCATTCACAAATTATTGAATATTCCATTGTCTGAGAGTGATTTCCAGAGAGAGCTGAGTTTGATCAAACAAATCGCGGTTAATAACGGTTACAAGGTATATATTAGACTCCATTCTTTCCAAAAAACTACAAAAGCAAGCCATGGACGCAAGATGCGATAACGTCAGTTATAGAACATTGGCATACAACTTCCTGTTCCCGGTGAAGATGTGCATCCGCAGCTGATGTCCTGGAATCCAAATGGAATGACAAGACAAGTGTGCTGTAGTCAGCAAAGCAATACATTGGCTTCTTCGTTTTTCCCAATAAGTCGTTGATATACAATAAAAAGAGAGTTGGAGGCAATATGGTTCCCTGGGGAACACCAACGTTGATGTTATAAGTATTCGAGAGGTATCCATCGATAGCCACTAGTAAGGAACGTTCCTTCAAGAAGCTGGAAAGCCAGACACAAAAATAATTCGAAAATCTATAGCATCAAAATTTGGCCACAAAACCCTCACTGTCAAAGGCTTTAGAAATATCAAGCGCTTGATTCTGTTTCTTGATTGCGTTATTCCAAAGCTCTTTAAATGGTAATCGTATTTACCAGATTTGGCCCCCTGTGACATTTTCCTGTTCGCAAGATTGAAGGGAACTATGAAAGGACGGCCTTTTGCGACGATTGAGCTTAGAAAAATCGAATCACGAAAGGGCTAGAAATATTACCAAAGAGTGCACATCAGAACTGCTTTGAGGGTTGGAAAAAACATTACCACAAGTGTATTATATCTGAGGGGGACTACTTTGAAATGAACAAAATTGAAATTGATGAATAAATAAATCTTTTTTGAGAAAAATGAAAGTTCACCTTATTTTTTGAAAATACCTCGTATACATTTTAATATAGGTCGGTCGGTAACCAGACGGTTCGACGTGGGTGCTTTGTTCACTAACTCGAATTGACTGCCGTGTTGGTCAGTGGTTCAAGCCCTAGTTTGAACGATCGATTTTCACTTGCTATCTTCCAACCCGTGTTAGGAATCACACGTTAAAAGGTAAGACCTCGTTAATCCTTAGCTCGCACAAGTTTCGACTTCTGAGGGTTGTCGTTCGTAGATGTACCACAGCTGGTTAGGTTAGGAAAAACAGATTTCAAACAGATTTTTTTTAGAAGAGTAATTTGTCCATTACAGTGGGAAGCATACCTCCTCAAGGCCGCTATTATTTCTCCATTATGGTTGTTAGATATATTTAGTGATTTTTTATTTATGGTAGACTTTGTTTCGAAAAAACTATAGCGATATCTAACTGATAATAAACAAGAATTTAAAACTACTGCAGAAATTAATCTTGTGAAATCACATAATTTTACGTTGACCTTTTTGTAACCAACGTAAAATAATGTGATATCACAGGGATTTCTGTGAACGTCATATTACCAAATGAGTTTGGTGAAAACTCCTTTGGAATTTACATATTGAGTCATGTGATTTCACCATACAAGTACCGTAATTTTCACAATCTCCTCTGTAATTTTCGACCATAAATGCAGGAATCACATGACTTATTATGAATGTATTAAAGTATTCATAATGTAGAAATCTATATTCACTTCTAATAATCATTTTTCATAAAATAAACCCCAATTCACGAGAGTTATTATCTATGAATTATATCGTCAGTTGTGAGAAATTCTATCTATACTGTGTGATTGCAGTATGCTAAATTACTTCGAAATAAAATATCATTTTCATTGTCATTATTTTACTACGTTTTCAAAACCTAGGAAGAAAATTGGTTGAAAGGGTGATTATGGATTTTACTCTGTACAGTATTGAGAAAAATTGAGAAATTAGGAAATTATGTTCTTTCATTAGACAAACTGAAAATATTCAGTTAATAATTACTATTTCTTTTTTGACAATATATTTGCCCTGTTTTCAAATTGAGGATCTTGAAAATATGATAGAAACTGCAAAATATATATTTCAGAATACGAAGAAACGATTTGAAATGAAATGAATAAAGTTACACATGAGCAATGTAGCATAGAAACGTTTATTAGGTTTAATGAAAACATATTCTTATCTTATTGCGATATTTATTTATTCATGAAGTTGATTTTTTTTTTTTTCAAACAGGACATTTTTTTTGACTTCGATCCTATATCCCGATGTATCTTCAAAAACATTCTCTGAAGAAATTCCTATGAAGTTTCTAAGGCCTTTGGGTACTTTCATAATGAAGAACAAAGAGAAAGCTACTTTGGAAGCTTCTAGAAAGCTTTTATATCCGTCTTCCATATTTTTATTTTCAAACAACACATGGTGAATTGACAGTCCCTCAGAAGCTGAAAAAAATACATAGATTATTTTAAATTTCCATCTCAATGCTGATGAGAGCAACTGCTCAAATCGAAATTCCACAGTTAGAATGAAAACATACAAATGTTACCCCATTACATTTTCTGTGAAAATATTGATGTAAATCATATTTCCTAAACGATACGCACTTGAAAGAACCCACCAGACATTAATACATCTCTATAACTATATAGATACTTAAATTTGTTCACCTGCATTCCCAAGCACCACACTTTTTACAACACACGCTTTGACCAAAGTTTTCAACTGAATTAGATACTTACTTGGTTTCAAAGGGATTCAAGTCAGCGCGGCGTTCTGAAAATGGAAGGTCACTGATGTACCACGTTTCTTGGAGGGGATTTCACACAGAATATCACGTAAATTGAACTTCACATGAAATCTTATGTGATTTAGTTAATGTCACAACGTATTTTTACTCAAGTCTTTGGTTCACATATGATATTCTGTGAATTCCATTATCACGTTTTTCATTGTGTAAAATTGAAGTTACCCTATAAATATTGTGAAAATTACAGTATATATCCATGTTTTTCACAATTATTTTTAACAGTGGGCGGGATTCAAAGTATTTTTTTAAAAAATCGATAACAAGTTTATGGAAAATTTCAGCAAGTGACGAATTACAAAGGTCTGCAAAAAACTTTAAAAAAAATTGTTTTGATTTCGTCAACTGATCTTTATGTAGTTTTTTGCGTTAATTTCAAAAAATTACATTTGTTTTTATCTATCACGTAATGTTTGCCTACAAAATAAGGATGAAATAATTGAAAATTTACAAAAAAACGAGGAATTGTGGATTTTTTTATTATTTTAACACGAAGTCAGGCTACGATAGCTAAACTAAGCATAATAGTGATACACAAGTGTTTGCAAAGTGATTATAAGTCTGTAAAAAGGTTTCTTTTTTCCGTCAAAGCTTCTTTTGGTACTTATTTGGCTGTGTTCTTGTGAATTTTCCTTTCGTAACGTCCAACAGTAGTCTGCCATCATGTTAACATTGCACCGACCTTGGTATCTGCGTTCCATTTCTTTTATGTCTTAATGGAGGCTAACATATGTCTTTCTTTAAGTCTAGACCTAAAACTTCTGCTGAGTCCTTTGGGAGGCCCAGATCTCATACTAAATCGTTCAAGTTGATACCTGGATCGTAGCTGTCATCACTGTCGCTACTACTACTATGTGTTTTGGCATCTAAATTGTCTAAAATGTTGTCCAAGGTATTCGGAGGTGAAGGAATAGGCAAGCTAGGTCCATGAGGAAGAGGGCAAACAGCTGCACGTATGTTGGTGGGGTATGAAAGCCTTTCTGTTTTTTAAATTGAAACCTTGCACTGAACAAGAACAAAAATAACAGTCATCACTGTGATTTTGAGGCTCTCTTCAAAACATGGGTACTCCAAAACGAAATGATTTCAGGTGAAATTTGTGACTTATCTATAGGTGATAGATTTTTTTTTACTATTCTTCCGTAATCTGCACACAACGTGATAAAATCACTAGTTGAATATCCTACAATTTTTTCATCGCAAACGTGTGTTACCGAAGCCCCCTTTTGAGTTGCCTCTTTGGGGTAACACTTATGATGCTCACTGTATATAGAAAGTCGTGAAAAAACAGCGAAAAAATTACCACTTGTAAAAACCTACACAATGCGTTCTATATCGTCGAAAGTGAACATGAATATTGGAAATACAATGTCGATAATTTTAAATTGATACCTTTGATTAGTTTCCGAGAGAGTGACTTGAATGATGTTATCTTATCAATACTTGTTTCGGTTGTGTATGTAGCAAAAATGCCACTTTTACCGTATAGTGTTTGAGTCAAAGTTTTGTATAAATAGATTTTGTTTGTTATGTGTTCACTCAAAAATGATTACAGCAAAGGGATTAGGATATCAATATGGACAGTTGTAAGTATCCACAAGAATCCTTTCCATTTCATTCAATCTGACAAGGAAATGGATGACCAATGCCTAAACCATTTCTAAACCACGCGTTTCTCTATACAGTAGCTTCTTCAGGTGTATCTATGCTGACTAAAATCTACATATTCAATGCTTCATTTATATTTTTACAATTTGAAGTACCTGACTTTTACATCCCCAGTTAATGTTATGGTAAATTTTCGTTATGTGGACACCCGGCGATTTTGAAAAAATTTTTGACTGTACTTACGTATTTTGATGCGTAGATTACGAATCCGAAAGAAAAAAGCGGCGCTCTCCCTTATTTAAAAAGTTACGGCCCTTCAAAGTTCAGAAAAGGGCAACTTTTCAGCCTTCTTTTTCACTAAAAAAAACTATTTAAAAACACAAGCATTTATTCACTAGGTCACCTTTACACCTTATTCCTCCTTCTTCAACACTTTTCGCAAGATTGTCGATTACTTTCAACAGGGCAGTGTTCCGTGTTTTTTGCGGAACTCAGAGGAGAGAATTCGATTTTCTTCAAGAAAAGCTCTTACTTGACGGAAAACATTTTTCTCGAATATTTTAGAGAATGAGGGCAGAATGCTGATAGGGCGTAGGTCATTGAACGTGGTAGGTGCATTCTTTTTCGGAATTGGAAATATACAGTGTGTAACAACGAAAACTTAACAGAGCCGTTTTTGAATATAAAAAGTAAGATTTTTAAAAAAAGCTCGGACACGTCGATTTCTAATTAAAGGGGGACACCTTTGAGACTAATCAGATTTTTTGTAGTACGAACCCCCTCGGAGGGGTGCGTCCGACGACCCTTATTTAGATAGGGAAAGTATACCCACTCCTCTTCTTCCAGTTTTCATTAGTACATCGTTCGATTGTTTTGTTTAAACGGGTCGTGTAGGTATTGTTATTTGTTTAAAAATTCCTTACACTACTGCTGAAAGGGTTTCAGTTATTACTTTATTTTTTGGCAACGACCAAAATGCTAATAGAACATCAATTTTATTCAACGAGCAAAACTCTGGTAAACACCTAAGCAGAAATCCCGTTCTGGATTTGATCAAGAAATTCAGGGAGACATGTTCGGTTTTAAATAAGAAAAGAAATGTTCAGAGAAGGGTAGTGAATGACGATAATGCGATTGGAGTGATTGGTCAAGTCAACGCCAATCCCAGGTTAAGTACCAGAGGTTTATTAGCAATGGCCGGGATAAGCCATATGAACGCATGGAGAATCCTTAAAAACCACAAATTCCATCCTTACAAAATTAAACTTGTTCATGAACTCAATGAGGATGATTTTGACCGAAGACAGGAGTTTTGTGAGGGCATGAGTGAGAGATTAATGCAAAATCCCGAGCTGCTTTATAACATCTGTTTTTCGGACGAAAACTCATTTTATTTAAATGGTTGCGTGAACCGTCACAAATGCCGTTATTGGTGGGATGAAAACCCAAGACAATACGCAGAAATACATACCCAACATCCCCAAAAATTGAATGTCTGGGCCGGAATATTAGGCAATCATATTATTAGGTCCATTTTTCTTTGATGGAAATTCAACCGGTGATTCTTATTTACAACTTCTTGAAGAGGCAATACAACCTCGTATAGTTGAAATAATTGAACAGGATCCAAGATGTCAAGATGAATTTATCCATTTTCAACAAGACAGTGCACCACCCCATTATGCCCAGCAGGTTTGAAATTTTTTGAATAATCATTTTGAAGGATAATGGATTGGCAGAAGAGGTTCAATTGAATGACCAGCACGATCACCAGATTTAACACCAATGGACTACTTTTGTGGGGATATTTAAAGTCTAAAGTTTATGCTACACAGCCAGCCAATTTAGATGGATTACGTCGTAGAATTATTGATGAATGTCGGACTATAACTCCTGAGATGTTGAATAATGTAAGAGCAAAATTCGAACAAAATATTTATTGTTGCATGGAGCAAAATGGCACACATTTTGAACATTTGCTCTAAATTTCCTATGTGAGTTACCCTTATTAGGTGTTACTTTTTTGTGTGTGCTTTAAAAACAACTATTGGGATTTATTAACCCTAAAACAGTTTTTTAAACTTTTCTGAGTCATCAGCATTCAAGGAAATCAGCAGGTTGTATTTGTTGTGTAGGTAAGTTTTTAGTATGATTCACTTTTTTATCAGAAGCATAAAATATCAACATCAAAAGGCAACCTTCATAAGGAGGTGCCACTCAATTTACCTAAAATGTAAGTGTGGTAACCAACCTCATCCTCCGAAAAAATCTCCTCGTAATAATCAAATAATTATTACTTTTTTACGAAATCAAATGGACACGTATTAGCTGGTTGTCATAAAAAGCAAAAATTTTTTTTTATGAAAGTTCTGAACGTAAATTGTACCTTAAAAACAATTTGATTTATTTTAAAAAGAGTTGAACTCAATTAAAATACCTTTAAATCTTCAAATTATCTCGAAAACTAATCGTTACAAAATTTTTCTTTTGACAGAGATATAAAGGTATTCTAAAGACCTTTAAAACAAGGTGCCACTCGACCTACTTTCCCTATCTAAATAAGGGTCGTCGGACGCACCCCTCCGAGGGGGTGCGTACTACAAAAAATCTGATTAGTCTGAAAGGTGTCTCCCTTCAATTAGAAATCGACGTGTCCGAGCTTTCTTTAAAAACCCTACTTTTTATATTCAAAAACGGCTCTGTTAAGTTTTCGTTGTTACACACTGTATATTTCCAATTCCGAAAAAGAATGCACCTACCACGTTCAATGACCTACGCCCTATCAGCATTCTGCCCTCATTCTCTAAAATATTCGAGAAAAATGTTTTCCGTCAGGTAAGAGCTTTTCTTGAAGAAAATCGAATTCTCTCCTCTGAGTTCCGCAAAAAACACGGAACACTGCCCTGTTGAAAGTAATCGACAATCTTGCGAGATTCAGAGATCAATCAAAAATTACCATTTTAGTACTACTTGATGAAAGTAAAGCTTTCGATGTAGTTAATTTCGATTTACTCATTAGCAAGCGCAGGATGATTACTCATGGTCATCTCTAAAAGAAACCATTTCAGGTGTACCACAGGAAAGTATTTTAGGGCCCTTGATGTTTTTAGTGTTTATTTTTGATTACTCCACTTTCTTATCACATTGTCAAGTACATCTATACGCAGATGATAAACAGTAATATTTGTCTTCACAACACCGATACAGAAAGTTGCGTGGCCAATATAAACACAGATTTGCACAAAACATTCGTTTACTCGGAGAATCATGGACTGAAAATCAATCCAAATAAAACTTTGGCCTCATGCATAGGGTTTCAAAGACAAATAGTAGAAAGTCAGTGTAACTTTAGTCTCACTTTCGATAACGCAGACATTGACTGGGTAGACAGTGCTAAAAATCTTGGCGTAACCATAGATAGCTCTTTGTCTTTCCATGAACATGTGACAAACATTTTCAAAGTATCATTCTTCAAACTCAAATCGCTATACAAATTCAAGTATCAGTTATCAGAAGAAATGAAACTCAGGTTAGTTAAAACTCTTATTTACCCCCATATCGAGTATTGTTATTCGATGTATTACAATTTGTTGGCGCAATATAACAAGCAGAAGTTACAACGTATACAAAATGGCTGCATGCGGTTCGTATGCTGTATACCATATGGTGAACATGTTGCACCATTTTTGTTAAAAATGAAGGAGATGAATGTGAGGTACAGAGTGCAATATTTGATAAAAATTATTTTGTTTAAGTTGCTTCAATCTAGTTATTTATATGGTTTATGAAGAAGGCATTCTGATATACATATGGTCAATTTGAGAATTAACTCATTCAACATACCTAGGCACCGTACTTCCAAATTTTAAGGTTGTTTTTCTTATATAGCCCCTTTCTATCTGAATGAAATTTTACCCCTTTCAAATCATAATATTCATCAATTTGAGAAAGAAATAAAATCACAGTGCTATTCAAAAAATTTGAAATTCAATGTATGGTGGTGCCATGAAATTGTTAAATTGACCAAAATAATGTACAGAATATTAAGAGTTATTAGCAACTACATGATCTATTACTTTTTTCTCTTCTCTATCATTGTTATGATAGTAAATAAGTGTTTTTATAATTATTTTCTTACACTCACTGTATAATTTTTGGGAGGAGTAGAAGGTAGCCTTTGGCTAACCCTTTTCCTTTCACGCATAAATGTATTTTTATGCATAATAAACGATATTATTATTATAAAGGAAAAGAAGAGAAAGTGTACAAATTGATTAACATAAACATACAATGAAAGATGTTGCCTGAGCTTATGTTTCGGTTAATTACCAGTTTCCACATTTGAAAAAATATTCAGTAACGGGTGTTATTCAATTCTATTTTGTCATTCAGTAAATGACTCGAATTATTAAATACATATATCAATTCCTCAACATTTCAATAAATTGAGTTTCAAACTTTTCTCTCCCAAATATAACACGTCAAATGTGGAATTGGTCTTTCCATTCAATAAACTACGTATATGCTCTTAAATTCTTTGGGAAAGGTTCTTCCCGTTTGCCCAATATAAAATTTTGGGCAACATCCGACAATGAAGTTTTGTCTTTATCGTTTTAAATGTATTGGTTTGAATTATCATTTGTTCTATAAGCGACGCCCAAGCTGCCGGATTCCATTCAAGAAAGAGCCATTCGCCATTTAGCTACTGTCTGTTAGTAATGTTCATCAGTTGGAAAAATAAATATGTCTGAAATTTTTGTACAAGATATCAAGAATCATGACTATGTAGAAATTTGTCTAATGAAGTTGACCAACCAAATTATATATCATGTGTTAATTTTAGGTTCAAACAATCTTTCACGTGATTTGGACGGCGATAGGATACAATTTCTACTGGTGCAAAATTAAACCAACAAATTATTTGGTGTTTTTGGTACACCTCACTTATTTCTATGGTAAGTATTCAATAAAAAAGGTTATCATATTTCATTGGGTGATGTAATTGATGGATCCAAAAAAGTCTAAGAAATATTACAAAGTGACCCAATCCTAATTTTTAAATTCTGTGTATAACTAGCAGCTGAATGTTATCACGAATATTGCTATTGAAGATTTTCAGACAGAATATCAAATTGTTTGTATGTATGTGTACTTTCATATACAGTGTGTCCATTTTAAAACTTACAATGGGCTATATCTCACGAACGAAAGCTGATATCGAAAAATGCTTCAAACCGTTTCTAGGATAGTAAGGGGGAACTAAAGTGACATGAAAGAGAACTCACCCCCATCAACCCCCTAGGCTCCACCCACCAAAACTCAAAAAATTTAAATTGCAAACCCCTACTTATGATACATCATTGAAAAGACTATAAAAAATGCTATCCAATGGTATAAATAATAATTGTACAGAGTGAAGCAATACTTGAGAAACTTTGGCTTAAATGGAATATTCAATGTGGTTTTTGTTGAACTACAAATTTATTCAAAATGTCAATTAAGTAAATGTTCAAAGTGGGTCCCGATGTTTTGTAAACAAAAATTCAGCCTATTGTCAAAGTCTGCACGAATTTTAATATCAGCCGGCTTACTATGACTTTTTTATTTGTATTGCTACTTCCCGGACTATTATTTTAAATGATAAGTGTGCGTAGATACTTTTTTTGTTAAATAAACACTTAACTTGCCGTTTTTGCAAAACGAGTTGGAAATATCTGTTTTTGGGTTCTGTCAGAGTCAATAATTTTTGGTTTGTTTAAGACTTTCAAATGTCATTAGTTTTCATCATTCATACGATCTGTACTGTCATTCATCTGTAGTTGTCACGATGGTTTACAGTAACCTGAGCTCGTGGAGATAATTTTCATATTTGCCTCCCAGAACCAGTGTTATTTGAAAACAGCTCAAATATTTCATAAAAGGCAACCGGACAAAAATGTAAGTCACGTGTACGTCCGCGATTTAGTTGAAAAGTTTAGAGAAACGGGATCAGTGCAATATAAAAAAAGGAATGCCCCAAGATTACTGAATGAAGCAACCCAAATTGAGATCCTTGGAAATTTTGAAATGGAGCCTACTGCATCAACACGACAAGTATCTGCAGTGACAGGACTTTTACATGAGTCGGTTAGAAAGGTGTTGAAATTACATAAGTTTCACCCGTACAAAACACAAATTCTTCAAGAACTAGGCGATGATGATCCAGACCGACGAATTGAGTTTTGTGAACCCATGACTGAAAGAACAAATGGTTTGAAAGGAGAGGTCCCATTGGGGGGCCACTGAGGTCACCAGACTTGGCGCCACCTGACTTTTTTCTGTGGGATCACCTCAAGTCAGCTTATAAAACTCAACCTATGTCACTTGGGGAATTGCGAGAAAGAATTACGCAAGCATGTCGCGCCATTACTAGAACAACATTTGCCAAAGTTCGTGCAGAATTTGAAAACAGGCTGTATTATTGTTTACAAAACAACGGAACCCGCTTTGAACATTTACTCAATTGACATTTTTAATAAATTTGCAGCTCAACAAAAACCTCATTAAATATTCAATTCAAGCCAAAGTTTCACAATTATTGCTTCACCCTGTACAATTATTATTCATACCATTGGAGAGCATTTTTATAGTCTTTTCAATGATGTATCAAAAGTAGGAGTTCGCAATTTAAACTTTTGTGTTTTGGTGAGTGGGGCCTAGGGGGTTGATGGGGGTGAGTTCTCTTTCATGTCACTTTAGTTCCCCCTTACTATCCTAGAAACGGTTTCAAGCATTTTTCGATATCAGCTTTCGTTCGTGAGATATAGCCCATTGTAAGTTTTAAAATTGACACACTGTATTATAACACTGCAGGTACCTGATGGAAAATATAAATAATCGCTATCTACATATTTCCTCAGAACAGTATAGATTTTGAACTGCTCACATAAAAATCTAATGGACTAATATCAGGTGACTTAACGGTCCACAACACATATTTCTTTCTTCTTATCCATTGACCTGGAACTATTCAGTTTGAAAACTCACACGAAGTTGAAACTACATTCTCGAGTCTGAATAAATTTAGGTTATTCAGACATCAGAAAAACACTAAATCGAATTAGAAAAACAATGCTTCAGTATGCTTCGATAATGCTATTTTACAAAATACGAGTCCACATATTGACATTCTGTGGATGAAACTTCAGAGCGATTAAACTATTTTCATTTATTTTGCTTCAACAAGTACCCAAGGAATTCAGTTCTTATGTCAAAGTCTCCCTTAGCCATTTCATGAAAAATATGACAAACAATCAATGAAATACCTGTACAAATTAGTAGGAAAGGATGAGTGTATGTAAAAGGTACGTGTATACAATTGAACTAAGGAGCTCAGCACATAATTATGAATGGACTATGTCACCTCTCACAGAATTATTCGTTACATTGACTTGACTAACCCTTTGTTTTTATTTTCAGATCATAGTTGTGGCGATATAATAATTGAAAATGATTATGATACGTTCTTTACGAATAACACGACGAGAAAATTGTTACCTCTTGGCTCCAATGTAACCGATGAAGAAGACAATTTACAGGACATCGTTTATACTATATTTGAAAAAGGTGTTTTTCCCAAGGAATCGGTGGCAGCTAGAAGAACTCAAATATACATCATGATATATATCGTTTCAGATGGAATTTGGGTTATAACTGCATTTTTACTTCTAGGTATGTTATGAATTTTATACTCTATACACTGAAAGTGACACTTTTCCTTCAGTAATGTTAGAGAAGAATGGAACGTATTGAATCTTTTTTCAATTTCAGCCGGAATATACTTCGAAACGAAAAGATGTTTATCTCTGCTGTTTTATATTCCATGGTTGGCGTTAACTACTTTTATCAGTTTTCTGGATGTTATAGCTGCAGTCAATTTCGGTTTGGATTTGCTTCAAATTCAAGTGAGTATAGATCTTTCAGCAAAGTAGTTACAACGAAAATGAAAACTATTTCAACCTTGAACAGTTAATTATATTTTTGTGAAAATGTTGCAGAACTTTTCAATAGTAAATTCGACACAAGCACAAAAAATATATGGGTATATTTTTCTTGAATTATTTTTCAGACTTATCAATACATTGGGAAACATAGTGACAAAAATTACCAATAAGTAAAAGCAAGTCTAATATCGCTCGTCCTTGATCAATCTTTTCTCCAATGAGTCCTCTACAAGAGTCCTAGTTTCATCTGAGGGATTACTGGAGAACAGATTATTTACATTGAATATAATCAATCTGATAATCGATCAATTGATATGGATTCTTCAGACTGAATTCAAAATCAATGTGGTTCTGCCTGAGTGATTGTGATATTTTTACTAACGGTGTTGTAACAAAAGAAACCACTTGTATAATGGGCTCACACCCTTAGTTCCTTGATATTGGGGCACCATTTTCCAAAAACATCATATCTATATTCCAACATTCAGAGAATCTAAATTTTTTTACGTACCCTCCTCACTCATGACAACGACAGTTTTGACTTTCTCAATCGAAGTCCACGTTTATGATTCTTTTGCAGTCTCCCTGCTCCCTGCTAACTTGTTTCTCTTTGATATGCCTAAAATTACCAAACAAGCATCATCCATCACAATTTTGTAATTTTTTGATATATTTCTTTTTATTGGGAGTTGAAATTGTTTTTGACTCACCATTTTTTTCGTCTCTGATTTATTTCAGATTTATTTTTTCCTACAGTTCGAACGCAAAACCCTATGGCCTCAGCTACTCGTTCTTGAACCTTCGAAGTCAAAATTCAATATTGGTTGGTTCACGATTTCTTTGCTTTGCCCACTGAGAACCTTGTTTTGCAGTTTATTGGTGAAAGGCATTTTCAAAGACAGCAGTTAACCACACAGAATAATTTTTTCGCCTACTGTACTAACAAGATGTTCACTACTCGAGTTCCTCGATGCTTTTGAGCTCTTGTCCCACTCTGCCGGCTGATATACTGCGCATCCAATATTCAGCAAGATTTGCACGGAGTAAAACGGTTTGCGTATCATACGCATCAACCCAATCTGTCACTGTATGTTATTTAATAATTATTTTTCCAGAATTACACAACGTGGTTGAAATTCGTGGGTGTCCGGAACTACAATGATTTTACGAAATTTAATGACTACTACAGTTCAAAGTATATCCCTCAAGCACCAAGTATAGTGATGATATTACTATTCTCAAGAATATTTTTCCTCTGGATGTTGAATATCGCCAATTTTTTTCATATAATGAATATCGCAGCTTTGGCCTATCAAGATGTTCCGAGGAACGTTCAAGGTAAAGAGAATAAAATATAAGTTATAATAACGGGTGATTTTTAGGAGGTATAGGATTTGATTTTCAAAACAACACAAAAAATTTGAAAAAATTGATGAAATCTTTATTGGAATTGATAGAACGATCAGTATAATTTAATGTTTGAAGACGATTTCATTCCAATGTTGTCCGCGGCTCCGCTTTAGATGGCCCATGTGTAATGTCCAATTTTGGCACACTCTCTCTTACATATCGACCGGTATTTCACGTATAAATGCTTCAATATTGGCTTCCAGAGCGTCAGTCGTTACTGGTTCATCTCTGTAGACATAAACCTCAACATGACCCCACAAGAAATAATCCAAAGGCGTTAAATCATACGATCTAGGCGGCCAATTGACGGGCTCCAAACGTGAGATAAACTGTTCACCGGAGCCGGCTCTTAATCGGGTCAACTGTCAACTTTGCCAGCGCCCATTCACCAAATGTTAGACGTTGTGGTAGGTCGTGTGGCTTCAATTCTTGCACCAACTGTATCTTATAAGGTTTTACACCCAAAACCTTCCACGTAGTGGAGTAACAGAGGCCCAATTGCCGCGAACGGCGGCGAATCGACATTTCACGGTCATCACGAACACTGGCGCATACAGCCGCAATATTTTCTTCGGTCCTCACTCTACGTATGCGTGTTGGTAGTTTAATGCCCAATAATGTAAACTGGGTTCGAAATTTAGTCACAAGCTTCCGAATAGCTCCCTCAGTAGGCCGACGAAACTGCCCATAAATTGGAAGAAGTGCACGATGCACTTTCTTCACAGAGCATGAATTTTGATAATAAAATTCAATAATTTGCAAGAGTTGTTCATTCGTAAGTCGATTCATGGTTAAATTATAGACCAAACTGAACAAGTTTGACAATGACACAAAACACGATTCACGCGTGATCTGTTAAAAACAGTGTTGCCAAAGAGATACCAGCAAAAAATCACTCATTATAAGAGGTTATTGCAGAAACTGATGCCTATTTTGAGCTGTTATACTGACTGGGGATTATAATTGAAATTTTCCACGAGTTAGAGAATTTTCCTACTGAAAGACTTTGATGTATCATGATTAACAATCAATAGTCACTAACAGGAAAAACCAATTTGGGAATTTTGACATTTATTTCCCCACCAACTGATTTTTGAAAACATACATTTTTGTTGATGAGTCCATAGACACAGTCAATTCAAAACCATTAAGTTTTTATACATTTCAGGATCGAGAGCGAAATACCATTCTGACTTGGATACTTCTGAGTCCAGGATTCGCAATTGGATGAATTTTTACGGAGACATAGAAAATCCTACTACTGTATTGTCCGAAAATGCCGTCGAATCTTTCGAAATGAAGCCCAATACAAGAAATAGGATAAATTCAACACCCGGACCTGTAGCTGGAAGTAGTCACTCTTTTGGAAGTACCAACTCTAACATCGGACGAGTTTCCTCATTCATAAACAGTCCCTCAGTTGCCATTGATGTGAGTTATATTCCTAACAGGAGCAAATTTATCAGATAATAACCTCGAATGTGTGGATGGCTTTTGTTCGGACGCTGTCGATTCGGTCACACAGCAAGAAAATAACAGTTGTAACGTACTAAAACTGGTGCAGTAATACAAACGTTGACCGGTAAACACTTTTATTAAAACTAACCCACCATCAGATCACAAGTACATACAGTTTGCAGGAACAATAACAAAAAGAGAGTGAATGATAACCTAACATAACCTCATATTCTACTCACGACACAGTAAAATAAATATTTTTTGAGATGTTGAGCTTCAAAAACACATGACATTGAAACGGAAAAACAGTTTGAAACAAAGAATTGTATGTACTTATTGTTATCCTTAGTTATCCATAGTTTTCTTTATGGACAAGCTTCCTGTTAGAGGCTCCCATTATAGGTTACATTTTCGCCAAATTGCAAACTGACCATTTTAAGCATTTGTTGCAAGACACTTGAATTACAGTTATTGTATTTGTTTAGGGTTCATTGCAATGTTGTTTTTTTCGTATGTGGTATGACTGACACACTTTTGTACTTTCTCATTATGTATAAAAATGAAAAAATTATACGTTAGGTCTTACTAAAAAAAATAATTTCTTTCCCATTATTGAAAATGCGTATCAAATTTGAAAAAAAATTACTCCGAAGACATAGAGCATAATTTATTCTATCGCGACTTTTTTGTCTGCCTAGTTGTAAAGAGTACAAAATAACTTTTTCATTTTGATCATTCAAGGTAAGCTCAAAGTACAGGAGGTACTCAGACGTCGCTGACTGTATACCCAGCAGGAATTCGAGAAAAGACAGCATCGATTCTTTGAGGGGTCAGAAGCCGTGGACTTATCTACCATCTGAGAAAGAAGGAGGAACCTGTGAATCAAAAGTGGGATCTGGTATAATAAGGAACAGACAAGAATTATTAAGAAGTAATTCAAAAAGTAAGTTGAAAATTATTGAGAAATTAGAAATCTTACTTTCCGGTCATTTTTATTAGGCACATCTGCAACTCCACCCGGAGAGAATGTTTAGGGAAAATTTTTTAGGCAACGTTTGTTTGAAGGTGGTTGACAATGTTTACTGATTAATTTCATTAGTTCGGGTCCCATTGTCTAATATGATATAAATTGATTTGAAATCCATAAAAAAATTAAAAGGTTAGCTATGAAATAACAATTATATTAAGCAAAAAAACCAATACAAGCAACAATTAAAAATCGAACTATCAACAAGAATTGAAAATTAAAAACTAAGAGAAATGAATGAAAATTAAAGACTCCAAGTCAAGTTACTTCACGACGAGAAAATGAATATGTTTTAAGAAAAATGAAAATTTACCTACTTTTTATATTTTGAACAAGGTAGTACCTATATTTATTTATATTGTCGATAATGAATGACTCAATTAATTATTCTTAAGCTCTGAGTACTCCATAAGATATATTTACTTCATTCTCGAAGTAATTTAAAAAAATATTATTGTGGCATTAGAAAATTATTGCTATTGAGTCTTAGAAATGTAAATATATTCATCATGTCTTTTTTGTTTCAGGTACGGCATTTTGATTATACAATAACGACCGAATATCATGGAATACATAATTTACTGTTTTTTACGTTTTATAATAAAATTTTATGAATTCATTTTCTTTCTTCAGTTATAAAATCCACATTTCATCAACTGTTACATTTTGCCCAACACATTGATCGTTATAAAAGCTACAGAACTGTTGAAATGAGTATAACATACCTTCTATCTTTGAAGTTATTCTTTTCCAGGTTACAAATTCATAATATAAATCAACTTTCTTTCAGTTTGTGTCTGAAAGTTACTTCTTTGCATGATCTACACATCCATGTATAGAGTTACTTATTTTCAAATTGATTACTTTCTTCCTTCCTTTGGAAGATTCCCTCATCCTTTTTTTTGTATCAAAATGAAGTAGTAGAAAGCCAAAAACTTTCTTTCCCAAAAATTAATCACTCCTAAAAACATAACCTTTTCAATTCAAATAAGATTCCTCTTGGCTGGGATTAAATCAAATAGGTGAACGAATGACATTACGATGTCATCGATGACATAAGCAGATCAAGCTTATTCCGTGACATTAAAAATACTTTCTTTCAGTTTGTGTCTGAAAGTTACTTCTTTACATGATCTACACATCCATGTATAGAGTTACTTATTTTCAAATTGATTACGTCCTTCCTTTCTTTGGAAGATTCCCTCATCAGAGTGAAAGTGTTTTTTTCACCACTTTATTCGACGTTTCTGTCAACCATAGTTCCTATATCACCACTATTAGAGCTTCAATTAGAGAACCCTTTGTATAGTATATACCAAGTCAATCCGAACAGCTAAATAAAACCTCCCACATAAAAGTAATGATCTGACCTCGCAAATTATACCACGCCGCCCATGCCATACAAAGCAACTGCTGACGCTCGGTAACTTTTTAGTTTTCAACCATTCGACTCTGTACTATACTAGAAATATTACTGTAGTCATCATTTTTTAAATACTCCAGCAACTATTTTGTGTTTGATTACCATTGAATGTTGTTTAGAAAAAAAGTATTATCGACATTTTCTGTGAATCCAAGAGCTTTTATTGAAGCTTTGAAGTTGTTTGGATTGCAGCTATCCATGACACTGTATACAATTACTAACATGATTGTTTTGAAGATATTTATCATTTTGGTGCGGATATATTTAAGAGTCAATGAATATTCACAGAATTTCAGATGATTTAACAATAAGCTTTGCACGAAGCAAGAGCTGAATCGATCCCACTACGAAACCCTTCATCCCTTGGAGGGATCGATTGCAGTTTGAGAAATGGTTCTTATGCAGAATCTGTGAAACATGTTCTTCCTTACGAATCGGTAGAGTTGTCCTGAAAATCTTAAGAAGAAAATTGTTTTTGATAATTTAGGAAACACTTGCTATTGTATTTTCAATACCAATTGGAACAGCACAGAGAAGGAATTCCCGCCTCGACATAGGCGTCGGCCTATTATTTTTCAGTGGTATTTTTTCAGTTACGTATTCTTACAATCATAGCAATTGATCACCCCATGAAAAAGTTATCTCAACTGAATTTTTCCACCATGGGTGATTATGAAAAACTTCGAAATTTAAGGTAGTTGATTTCCTAGTCGAAAACTCTAAAATACAATGAAAACACAAACAACCACACTGAATTCTCGTCAAACATATATTCACAAAATAATAGAGGCCAACAAAATTGCTAGAAAAATCAAAATTCTTCTTCGCTATATTCGGATAAGGTGGAATCATCATCGGGTTGAATAACGATCGGATTTATGGAACTTTGCACCTAATATTTGTTCTCTTCTTTTACAACGTGGGCCACACAGTTCTTCCACACATCACTATATTGTCAAGCACCACAGCATTCAAAGTCGGTGACTGATTACATTTCCGCAAGCTTTCTTTCATTGTGGTCCAACCAATTTCAATTGGATTGAACACACAATAGTATGGAGGCAAACGTAAGAGAATATGACCACGTGTTTCACACATCGAATCAATAATATACTCTTTTTTGAAATTACGTTGTTTTATGGTCGCCAGTAATACCTTTTTCGTTGGAATCTTTTCGGGTATTTCCATGTCATGATTTCGCATGAAATCAACAATATCTGCTTTTTTTGTGTTATTGTTTAGTATTGTAGTCAATAACCGAGAATGATACGAAGCGTTATCCATAACAACCGACTTTGGAGGAATATTTGGGAGAAGCTGCTCACTGAACCAGGTTTCGAATAAAGCCGCAGTCATATCTTCGTGGTAATCAGCGGACGAATCTTTTATATTTTTGGCCGACAGAAGCAAAGCGTTAGGTACGAAACCACTTTCATTCCCGGCATGCAAAATTATAACACGTTTTCCCCTTGAAGAAGGTGTGTTCAAAGCACTTGGTTTCGTCTACCCAGCCATATTTGACAACATCATAGGTGTCAAACAAAGTTTCGTCGAGGTAGATTATATGTCTGCTGGATTCTCGGTAGCTTTTCATTCGCCTCAAATATTCTTGTCGGAGTTGAACAATGCGTGTAGATTCCATTATGGCCATCCGATTGTTCGATTTTTTATATTTGAAACCACAAGACAATAAGACACCTCGTAGAGTTTCTAAAGATTTGTAATTGTAATCGGGATGGTCGAGTAATTTATACCAAATTATTTCCAAATTATTTCCATCATTTGTAGCACCATCAACGTTTGCGAATTTTTTATTCCTTTGTTTTCGTTTCATTGCATGGTCAATGACATCCCCTATTTTAATGACTCGAAGAACTGTCGAACGAGATAGTTTCGTTAACTCGCATATTCTATTTACAATTGCATTCTGTGAAGTGTGACAGTTTTCCTTCTTCAAGCATTCATGAATATTTAAAATTACTCGCTGAACTTGAACATGTAAGTCCTTATTTTCAAATTTCGGATCCCTGTCGATTGACACAGATTCCTCATACGTGATGTTATCATTTGTTTCAAAAGGTCTCCAGGAAGCCATATTGAAGAAAGTACCCAAAAACACTAAGATTTTCACAAAAATCGGTTTAACCGATAAGATTGGAACCTTTGGTGTAAAAGTTGAAAACTTTTTCTAGAGATCAATTACCCTAACACCAAACTGATATTTTTGCACTCGACGCGCGTTTCGCTAACAAGGTTAGCATCTTCAGGAGAAGCAAATTGATACTGAATCTAAAGACAAGGGTTAGCTGTTTATATACCTGAAGTTTTTTGGTCAGATGTGGACTTTGTTTGTTAAATGATGATTATCCTAATTGAATTTTCGTTAATTAACTAGCGGAACCACTACCTGCAAATTAATTTGTCCGCTTTTTAATCTATTGTTGACAAATTAATCTGCCACTAAGGGCCTCATGCAAGAAACGTTTATGACTATACCATGATGCTTTTGCCGGGCAGTGATTATGAACACCCCTCGTAGTGCTCTTATTTTTATTGCCGTTCCAATTGGGAATGGATAGACTATACATGAATAGCATTTTACAAGTGTTGTTCATGGCGATGAATGAGAACGAGAATGTTTTCTACTTATTCACTAAACTCAAAAACCTGTTCATGCAGCTGCAGTTTCGTAAAAATGTATCATCTTTCCCTCCAACCGATTTCCTGCAGTCTTTGAAGTCCAGTAGATACTCGTTAGGACAACAAGAGGATTGTTTCGAATTCTTGGGGTTCTTGTTGAATACTCTTCGTGAACAAAACAATAGCAAAATCAATATTCATGATCGCTCTGGATTGAATGATTCCGTACAGTCTATCTCGTCTTGTGTTTGTAAATATTTTGCTGGAAAAATCCTCACTTGTTCACTTTGTAGTGAATATTCAAGAGGTAGCAAAAACGTGTGTGATTTTCTGAAACTTCAACTACCGTTTCCTAATATGACTAATAACCAGTCCGTGCAAAGCTTATTGTTAAATCATCTGAAAATGGAACTTTCAACAGGTGGCGATCGACTGTATTGCCAAATATGCCCAAACTAACTGACTGTTATAAGAAAACAAGTATAGCTGAGGCACCAGTCAATCTAATAATGACACTGATGATCTTCAAACATGACTCAACTTCTTACGGAAGCACCAAACTCTTACGAAGGTTCGAAATAGATCAACACTTCAATCTAGCAGACCATTATTATACTCTTCATGCAGTCATTGTTCACTGTGGTTCTGGCGTTGAATTTGGTCATTATTACGCCTTGGTCAAAGACGAAACGGACTGGTTTAAGTTCGACGATAGTAGTGTCACTAAGTGTTCTGACGATGTATTAAATTTATTGGAGCCTCTGGACAGACCCTACATTTTGTTTTATGAAAGAGAGGACATTGGCAGATCAAGATCTTCAGATGATGTGGTGCTTCAGGTTTTTCCGGGTTTTTCTGTAGCTGAAGAAGCAACTGCGCCACTGAAATCAGTAAAGTCGCCCCAGAGCGCCAATTAATTTCTGTTGTTGTTTTATAATTTAATGATTTGTTTCTTGGAAGTGTTATTCAAAAACATTTACTGAATGTTTGATATTATAAAAACAGTTTTCATTTCCAAGAAGTCTAGTGAAAGAGAGTAAGTAGTCGTATCTCAATGATGTGGTGAGTCATTTCATATTGGAAATTTCAGTTATTAATATTGGAGATATCTATCGCTATTGAGGTTTATCATGTTTCGAAATAAGATAAGACAAGTCAGATGAAATTCATAATTCACAATTACTATCTAGTATCGAAAAAATTGTTCAAAATGACGGTGTCTGCATCCCAACGAACCCTAGGAAAAGTAGCCGCTTTACTAGGAATGGTAAGCATTTTCCACCAGTATCTGTATGGATATCAACGAAGTTTCTTGGCCATAGATATTTACGTAGAATTTCGTAGAACATTTTCGAAATGAAATACGGGTGTATTATTCTTACATCATGGGACATACAGAACAATGTATGTAGTTATAATAGATAGTACAGTAAAATTTACACCGATAACAACCGATAATCGTAAAATTTGAAGTTCAAAATATAGGGTCTTTCATTAAGTGTTTCTTATCATTGAATTTGAATGAAACAAAGTGTGTGTGAGATATCATCGAAATTTTTTAATCGTTTGGAAGACTTATTGGTGCCATTAAGCGTGAAATATAATAATAATAATATTTATTCCACTTGTTGAACAGTATGAAATCATTACAGTAAACATTCACATACAGTAACAAGGAAGACGTCCATGTATAACTAAAAACAAATACATATAGAAATATAAAACAACAAAACATGACAGATACTACACTGTACATATAAAGGTAATTAACAATTTTTTTTATCGAGAGTAACTATTAAAACTCGTCAACGGTGTAGCAGTTTCTTTCAATGAGATATTTTTTCAATTGTCTTTTAAATTTGCTGATACTCTTTGAGTCCTTAATAGAAACATCTAGCTTGTTATATAATTTGGGCCCAAGGTATAGGTGACTCTTCTGATAGAGGGACGTTCGGTGAGGATTCGCTATCAACAACCCCCTAGCTCTAGTTGCGTATGGATGGTCTTGCTGGTTTGCACAATTTTTTTTTATTCTTATCAACGAAGAGACACATCTCGTATATATACAGACCAGCAACTGTGAGTATTTCCAGCTCTTTGAATGAGTTTCTATATGAGTGTCGCCATCCCAAAATAGCAATTATTCTGATCGTGCGCTTTTGTAAAATAAATACTCGTTCAGCAGAGGAGATCATACCCCAATTCAAGATTCCATAGCGCAAGTGACAGCCAATAGTTGCATAGTACAGATTTAGGAGCACCTCTCTTCCACAATGATTCGACATAAATCTCAGTGCATAACACTTCATTCGTAGTTTATCACATAGTGAATCTATATGAGGACCCCAATTCAGCTTATGATCTAGAATTAGACCTAGCATTTTTGTTTCTGGTTTGGATGTCACCTCTAGTTGGCTATATTCATATATTTTAAGAGTTTCTGTGGTGTTCTGCAATGAGAATTTGACTAATGCTGTTTTGCTGATATTTAGTGCTAAATGATTTTCATCAGCCCATTCCATTATTTTCTCATTTATGTATACTGTTGTTTCTGCGAGTGCTAATGTATTACAATCAGTGACCAGAACATTTGTATCGTCTGCATATGCAACTATATGTACCTTTGAAAGACTTTAGGTATTGTATCAAGTCGTTTGCATAAATAAGAAAAAGAAGTGGTCCGAGTATAGACCCCTGTGGAACTTTTTGCTTGCAGGCCAAGGACTGACTGTGAATACCTTGAATTATCACTGTTTGTGACCTGTTCTCTAGATAGGACCTCATCCAATCTTGGGCAACTCCACGAACCCCATAGCGATGCATTTTCTGGATTAGTACATAGTGATCCACAGAGTCAAATGCTCTAGAAAAATCGATGAACAAACCACAAATTTGTACTTTGTTATCCAAGGCTGTTACTATGCGTTCTATGAAATCATACAAAGCTGTTTCCGTGCTTTTATTTTGCATGAAATCATGCTGGTTTGTCGAAAGTAATTCATTTTTGAGGAGAAAGACAGACAGTAACTGATTTTTAATATTTATTTCATATAACTTGGATATACTAGAGAGAAGACTTACCCCTCTATAGTTCTCATAGCTATTTGAGTCTCTAAGATTGGGGTAACGATTGCAACTTTTAATTTCCCAGGGAACATTCCTCGTTCCATAGACAGATTTATCAGATAGGTCAGAGGGTAGACTATTTCTTCCATGCATTTTTTTAAAAGATTGTTCGATACCTGATCATATCCGCCAGCATTAGAATTCTTTAATTCACTTATTAAATCAAAAACCTGATATTCCTTGATTGGGTGGAGAAATATGGAGTTTGGGCAGAGTGTGACTATATTTTCCATAAAATTTAGATCATATTCTCTTTGTTCTTCCGCTTTCGTGAAATGAGCATTAAACATGTTAGCCATGTCAATAGATGACATGTTATGTTCTCCACTAAAAATGGAAATATCTTTGATGTTTGCACCATCAACGCAAACGTTGATGGTGCTACAAAAGATGTGATTCGGCGAAAAATTTATGGTATATACCAAAAAAATGAAGAAGCAACTTTGGAAATGATTTGGTATAAATTACTCGACTATCCCGATTACAGTTACAAATCTTTAGAAACTCTACGAGGTGTCTTATTGTCTTGTAGTTTCAAATATAAAAAATTGAACAATCGGGTGGTCATAATGGAATCGACACGCATTGTTCAACTCCGACAAGAATATTTGAGCTACCGAGAATCCAGCAGACATATAATCTACCTCGACGAAACTTGGTTTGACACCTATGATGCTGTCAAATATGGCTGGGTAGATGAAACCAAGTATTATGCTTTGAACAATCCTTCTTCAAGGGGAAAACGTGTTATAATTTTGCATGCCGGGAATGAAAGTGGTTTCGTACCTAACACTTTGCTTCTGTCGGTCAAAAATATAAAAGATTCGTCTGCTGATTACCACAAGGATATGACTGCGGCTTTATTCGAAACCTGGTTCAGTGAGCAGCTTCTCCCAAATATTCCTCCAAAGTCGGTTGTTATGGATAACGCTTCGTATCATTCTCGGTTATTGACTACAATACTAAACAATAACACAAAAAAAGCAGATATTGTTGATTTCATGCGAAATCATGACATGGAAATACCCGAAAAGATTCCAACGAAAAAGGTATTACTGGCGACCATAAAACAACGTAATTTCAAAAAAGAGTATATTATTGATTCGATGTGTGAAACATTTGGTCATATTCTCTTACGTTTGCCTCCATACTATTGTGTGTTCAATCCAATTGAAATGCTTTGGGCCACAATGAAAGAAAGCTTGCGGAAATGTAATCAGTCACCGACTTTGAATGCTATAGTGCTTGACAATATAAGGCGAGTGGTGAATGAAGTAGGTAATAGTGATGTGTGGAAGAACTGTGTGGTCCACGTTATGTGCAAAGTTCCATAAATCCGATTGTTATTCAACCCGATGATGATTCCACCTCATCCGAATATAGCGAAGAAGAATTTTGATTTTTGTAGCAATTTTGTTGGCCTCTATTATTTTGTAAATATATGTTTGACGAGAATTCGGTGTGATTATTTGTGTTTTCATTGTATTTTAGAGTTTTCGACTCGGAAATCAACTACCTTAAATTTCATAATTACCCATGGTGGAAAAATTCAGTTGAAATAACTTTTTCATGGGGTAACCAATTGCTATGATTGTAAGAATAAGTAACTGAAAAACTACCACTGAAAAATAATATGCCGACGCCTATGTCGAGGCGGGAATTCCTTCTCTGTGCTGCTCCAATTGGTATTGAAAATTCTATAGAGTGACGTCATTATTTGAGTTCTTTTAGGGCGTTGCAAATATTTTTCTGCAGTGCCTATGCATCTCCATAAAAATAGAGTGTGGTCCTCCTGAAAATTCTCATAAACGAAGAAAATCATTCAGTCATTAGACTGAAACTACATGGCTTCGTACCTCAGTACTTGACTCATCTGCCTTACTTTTCAGATCCAGGGATTTGGCTGGTCTGGATTGTCCTTAACTTGTATAATTCTGTACAATATGTCACCAAAAAATATGAACAATACTATCACATCGTATAGCCAATTTATCGACGATTCGTTATACATGACGTATTTATCAGGTGAGTGTCTTTTTGTAATATGTAATGATAAGTATTGCAGACACAAACTTCTTTGAGTACTGCTAAAAAGCATCAAGAACTAAAAATAATGGTTTGATAAATAAATCATACGAAATAGAAGATATAATTACGTTATTTTCCATGGATAGGCTTGTAATTCGTTACTTGCGTTCGCCAAAATTCCTTTTGATTATATGCCAATGGTTTTGGTGTTATCGAAGTTAATTGTGTGACCTGTTTCACTATGATGTTTGAAGAGGATGAGGCAAACCCTTTCCACTACCAACTCCACCATCGCTCCACTACTGATCCACCCTCCACCCGTTCAAGAACCGACCAAGCACCTTCAGTTCAGACAGGTTGGAGCCTAGAGGGAGTTAGAGTAAGGGTTACCCTTGCAGCTGATTCTTGTCAGAAGAACAAATGGGTTCATGACTAAGAGGTGGTGGCGGTATGAAAATCCTCAGACATCAGTACCGCCCTTCACGGTGTTCCCCTACCTGGTTGGGGTGGGATGGATGAAAAATTTGTTCATCCGTTAACAGGGGCACAGTATTTCTGTGCAAAATACTGTGACAGGGGACATGAGGGCCTTATTCGACAGAGTGGCGGGGCCTTCTGTATCGGGAGGGGTCGTCTACACTCTACAGTATAATCACAGTATTTTGTATACAGTAATTTCATAAAGGCTGATTTGTGGTTTGAATTTTCCTACGCGCAGACCCACGCGTCGATGTCTTAGGTCTGCGCAAACGACGAGTTTAAGACAGGCATGCAATCAAAGCGTTTAAACACTGCTCAACATAACAAATATTCATATAAACTGCTGAAAAAAATACAGTCGATGAAAACCATGTTGGGCACCTAAGAAAATTGTACANACAATTTTCTTAGGTGCCCAACATGGTTTTCATCGACTGTATTTTTTTGAGCAGTTTATATGAATATTTGTTATGTTGAGCAGTGTTTAAACGCTTTGATTGCATGCCTGTCTTAAACTCGTCGTTTGCGCAGACCTGAGGCATCGACGCGTGGGTCTGTGCGTAGGAAAATTCAAACCACAAATCAGCCTTTATGAAATTACTGTATACAAAATACTGTGACAGGGGACATGAGGGCCTTATTCGACAGAGTGGCGGGGCCTTCTGTATCGGGAGGGGTCGTCTACACTCTACAGTATAATCAATAGCTTCCCTGACTAACAGGTTTTCGTGAGTTTCTGCACAATTAAAAACTCGCCGATTCCTCGACTGAATGGACTGCTGAATGGAAGGCAGCTGCAAATCTCTGTGGATGGCTTCATTATGAATTATGAACCTTCCTGAGGAACTCAATCACCTAAATAATGTCTTCAAAGGAAATGGGTAGAGCGCAAGAGAATTCGAGCAGGTCATTCGATCCAGGAGAGAGAAGGCCGAAGTAACTCCATCTAGGCTGGTTGAGGGAAAATATTTCCTTCCCTATGTTAAAAATGCTACAATGAAGCTACATTGGAACCACGAAAAGAAGTGTAGGTATCCAAAGTATATAGAGACGCAATGTAAATTCAAAAATAGGGCTGATTTCGAAGGAGGAGGAGAGGCAATGAACAATAACAGAATCTGGCTACTTGTTCTTGAAGCTACGCAAACAAGGTCAAGAAATTCAACTAAGAGAAACCAAGCCACAACACTAATAATAATATAAAAACTGGAGTCAAACACCACATCGCCTTTGATAATGTCTACCGCAGTGGTAGACGAAACGTCAGGCATAAAAACCTGCTGATTATGGCCAAAAAACCTGGAAAGTAGCTTTCACACAGCTCTTTCCAAACAACATAGTTTCTTCGGTGTTCTGTCTGTGTAGAGTAAGGAGGGTGAGTGTTGAGCCACAGCACTTAGGCCACATGTGACCCATTGTACATCCTCCCGAGGAGTTGTCCTCCTAGGTCATCTTCCATCCTGTCCTTTCCAGGTAGGTGGACAGGTCACTAGGAGACATCTCCTTTATATCCGCAGGTGTAGGCCAAGACTCGCCGAACACACACTCTCTCTAGCAACCTTGAGGTGTCTCACGGTGACCTCCGCGAAGGTTTTGGGAGGTGCAGCGACAGTACTGTCGCTGTTTAACCTTCCTGCGGTTCCCCTAGTGGAGGTGTTCAAGTGAGGGCGCTTTCCTGCAGGGGCGTCCGGTTTCTTGCCTTTATGCAAGGCGGAGATCTTGGCGCCCGCCGCAGGAAGTGCCCTTGCTGTTGGAGGTGGAGTAGAGGAGGAGGAGGGTGCACTTATAGTTGCTGCCACTTCTGCCTTTTGCTTTCTTTCTTCTTTTGGTTTCGGCGCAGCCGAAGGTGATTTACTATGTCCAGCCTTATTCCAAGCGGTAGATTGGGTTGGACATTTCTGTTCATCCCCAACCACCGCCATAGATTGAGGTGAGCACTTCTGTCTAGCCTCGGGAATGGTTTTTGTTGTGTCTGTTTTGTTTGTTTTATACATTGATTTCCCATTCTGAATATTCATCTCGTCCTACCATAAGTTTTCACAGGTTTTGTCATGGGAAATTGGATCAAAAACGATTGATTTTCAAAGTGAGCCCAGCGTAGTAATGCCGAAGCGAAGCCATTTGATCCACATACCATCAATATGATCGATGAATATTATTATTTGGCGTTAAATAGAACTTAGTCGTTGAAATTACAATAAACATACGTTTTTTTTTTCAGCTGAATTAAATAGTCGGCTAAGTTTTGTGATAAGACCACGAGATTTCACAATTCTGATGTGGTTTTATTTTCTGTTGAGTGCCGGATGGTTTTTTGGTTCCATCGACCAATTCGTAGGTGAGTTGCTACTTTGATAATGTTTCAAGACAAGTAATGAAACAGAATCTTTCGAAAACACTTTACCAACACCAGAACAAAATTACGGTCTCTCGACGCGAGTTTCGCTAACCAAGTTGGCGTCCTCAGGGGATCATAAAAAAACAGATAAATATTAAAGAAATATGTAGGGGGAGAGTCACTAACATAGAGGAGATACATAACAAAGTAGAGGTAGGTATTTAAAAAACAGGTAGTTTAGCATAGGATCAATATTGACAATGCATTTGACACGTTGAATCATCAAATATCAACTGCAATTTAAAATTTATTGGTTTGAGTACTTCTGCTTGTTCTTTTCTCAATCATATTTATCAAACCGAACTCAGAGCGTTAAAATAAATGTTATTGAATACCATAGTGGTTCACCAAGGGGTTCCACAAGGTAGTGTATTAGGACCACTTTTATATACATTGTATACCTCCAATTTTCATAATCATCTGACATATTGCAATTACCACATGTTTGCTGCTGACACGCAAATTCATTGTGCTTTTAAATTGGAAAATATGAAGGAAGCTAATATAAAAATCAATCGTGATTTAGAAATTCTCCTTAATCTTTATAATGATCATCTTTCATCTATAAACTGTAACAAATCTTCTACTGTATTATTTGGTAGCGATACTCAGGAACATGAAGCTTTGAGTGAAATGCAGATAATGTTAGGTGCTGATATGCTGACTTTGCTGCAAAAATTTAGGTTTACTCGTCGATTCTAAATTACGTTTCAAAGAGCGTGCAGGACCGTCGCCATGGAGGGATGAGGGGGAACCTCCCCCCTGCTTTTTCGACTTGGGAAAAAGTTGAGAAAAAGTTGGAAAATTTTTGGCCATGAAGATAGAAAAAATAATAGTAAAAAAATAAAAAAAAATAAGAGAAAAGACAGGGAGAGGTAATAAAAAAAGGGAGTTTTTTTAATATTTCAAAAAAAATTAATTTCTTTCAAGTAAGAGAACAGTCCTGTACAGTCCACAAATTTTGAAGTGACAATTTTACAAAATTCTCAACTTTTCGCTGTTTTTTCGATTTGGAAAAGTTGGGAAATTTCGGGCCGTGAAAATAGAAAAAATAATAGTGGAAAACAATAAGCACAATATTATTTAAGTATTGTTTCCTTTCATTTGTATTGAATATTCCTATACATGGTGGATATAGTGAAAGACCAAGAATCTTGGTCCAAAGTTGAATAATTCCCATTATTATTTTTATAATTATCAAAATTCATTTTTGTTTGTGCATACCTTAACGGGCATAAGCATTCAGCCAATCTTTGGATAGCTAAGTAAGAAAATTAATATATTATAGTTGTAACAAATCCCTCGGCTTTCGAAAGTTGGGAAATTTTGCTGGTGGGGTTGGGAAAATTTGGATTCCCTCCCCCCTCTGGTATTTCTTTTCGCTACGGCGCTGAGCACATGTTACGGAAAAACTTCGAAAGGCCTAGGCGTCGTTGAAGTTGGTATATCAGCAGAGAATGTATTTAAGTTTGAAAGTGAAGAAAATGTTGAGCGATACTTTGATAGTGTCCCATTTCAATCACTGTGACATTGTGTATGGTTCATGTATAGGTCATAGTGACATACGTCGAATTCAAAAAGTTCAAAACTGTTGTCCTTGAATGATGTATCACATCAGGAGGAGAGAAAGAATTTCTCATAAGCTGAAGGACGCGGAATGGTCAAGTATGTATAACAGATGCAAATTACACGGTCTCACTTTTCACTATAAAATACTAAAATTCAAAAATCTTGAATATTTATATAGAAAAGTTATATATAGGACAGATGTGCATAACGTCAAATCTTCTGGAGATAAAATATGATTCATATTCCTGCACACAATAAAGAAATTTATAAAAGGTCATTTACCTACCAGATATCTCTCCACAACAATCTACTGGATGTTCTCGAGTTCTCTACACAAATTCACACTTAAAAAAAGCCCAAAAAACATTTGTTTGAGAAGCAATGAAACAAGATATTTTTTTAGAATACTTCCTCAATTATATTCGAGTTCTATTTATATCCTGGTGTAACTATAGCTAGAATGTTTGAATGTTTATTAATTTTTGTTATGGTTTATGTGGAAGAATTGGTTTTAAGACCTAGCATAATCCATTTATTCACCGGTAGTAGTTGGGTACTACCAGGTAGTTGTATGCCACTAGCATATAAAAACACTAACATTATAGTGAAATTTAGTCATAATGATCTTCTGAGGACGTTACATTGGTTAACGAAACACGCGTTGAGAGACCATAATTTTGTTCTGTTCTTGGAAAAGTGTTTTTAACAGATTCAGAGGTTTCAGTACAAACTATCAAGTAATAAAACAGACCTTTTCAGTTCTTTGAACACATAGAATAGTTGTCTCAATATAAAAGGACCATATTATCATTGCTTTGAATATTTGATTCTAGCTTGCCATTACAACAAGAAACGCATATCCACTATGATGATGATATGGGGTTCCATCACAGGTGTTATATCAGTGATTGATCTGGTTCTCACTTGCCTTCTGTTAAGAGATTACATACATTGCGGGGAAGAACCCAATATAGACGTTTCTTGCTATTTGGCAGTTGGAATAGTTATGACTCTGGCTGCTAGAGGTTACATACTATGGTTAATTAATGTGGGATTTACGTTTTTGATGTTCTGCAATGCTTGGGAGGTAAGAATATCACATTTTATATCAATGTAATTGAACACTTTTTCTCACCACAACAGATATTTTGTCCCTCAATGATATTTGAAGTTATAAGCCAACTACAATGTTTATTGTTTGGTAAAACATTTCAGAAAAACGTGGATTATACTTGAACATCTATTTTGGTTAGGAAAATTGTTCGTTCTGTTTCAATTTTATATGATACTGTTTCTCAAATACTATTGTTAGAATATCCGGTATGCATGGAAGATATAGAAAAAATTAAGGAATTGGTAGATGTGAGGAGGATGGAGAAAGAGATTCAAAGAGAACATGAGTAAATAAACAAACAACTGAATAATAATTTTTTTTCAGATCATCAAAAAGGAATATGCCGAAAGGAAAAAATTGTGAGTAAACATTTTATTATATTCCAATTTCTCATCTGAAAATTAATAACGTCATATTTAGGTATGTAATAGCTCATCAGGCTAACTGACTAAATTATACCTACTCAGTACTTGATATACATTAATAATTCGAACTACGACAATTGCTGCCTGCTCAATAAAACTTCAAATGCTATGTCGTAGAAAACCTCATCACAGGAATGCATGTATCTTTTCCTAGCTACTTGTGGGACCAATTATGGATCATAAAGTAACCAAAGAATATGAGCCTGGGTCTACAATTAACCTTTCTGTGGTACCGCATCAATTGCACGAGCGTCTGAGCTCTTCAACTCTTGATTCTGTTAACAACTCTAGTAGACTAAGTGGTACAGAACAAGATATCTTATGAATCTGCATTTCACAAAAATCTTGAGCAATATAATCTGCATCAGGTGTGGTTCACTAAAACTAGAGACAGAAAACCTTGTTTGGCTGAATCAAATGGTCAAGTTACAGATGCCCTGAAAAATAAAGGTTATTACAACTTCAATATCACCCAATCCACTGGAATTGTTCAGATTTTCAGCGCTAAAGAGTCCCGCTGACCTAAAAATTCGCTCATAGAATGGAGAGGTCTGCTTCTTTGAGGAGCTGGGTTGGATGTGAGCTATAATAAATCCTCGCTGTTGCTGTGTAGGATCGAACAGATTCACTTGGTTTGATTCTACCTATTTTTCATCAATAAAGAGAAGAAAATCTTCATAGACTGCTCCTTTCACCGACTAAAAACCTCTTCTTGGGCTCACTGCTTTCTCACACCGGAACCCTTCTCGCATTACTTCAATGGGAGGTGCTGTCTCATTGACTTATGTCCATTCTATGAGGTTCGGTCTTCATTCTCTTTATTCTTTATTATGAAGAGAATCGCTCGATATGTGATATTCCAGCTCTCTTCAATGGTAATGAGTTTTTTCATCGTATTCTCTGCTACGAAATGTACCCCTGCAAGCCGAATATCTTTCCAGCTGGCAGAGTAGAACAATATATGTTCTACATCATCCTGGAGGCCACAATATGGGCAGCCATTGGATTCCACTTTCCCATGGCTACTTCTGAAATACCCACCTGCGTAAGATATGATTCCACTTCTCCGTGTGTCCTCTCTGTCCAAACTTATATATTTGGTATTAGGTGATAAGTCCACCTTCCATAACTGCCTTTATCCCACTTAGCTTGCCATCTGGTTGCTAGACTTTACTTGGTTATGCTTTCAGCTGTTCCCAGGTACCTCTCCTGTCTTTCTTTCATGGGAAAATCAATAAAAGGAACTCCAGCTATCACCTCCGCCGCTTCTGCTGACACAATTCTGTAAGCACAGTGAATTCTTAAGGTTATTTTCCTTTGTAGCTGCAGTTTCCACAGTGGTTTTTTATTCTCCACAACTGTATGCCAAGCAGGTGCTGCATGCAAAATCTGAGGATGGGTCACACTCAGAAGTACCCTTCTTACGGAGGAACGGGGTTCGTCTGTATTCGGAAAAAGACCCGAAAGAGCTGTTACAGTTTGTTCCACTTCACAAATAACTTTGTCCATATGCTCGGCGAAGATAAGCCTTGTATCAAGCCTTACGTCTAGGTATTTAATGCTTTTTTGTGGGGTAACTGTGGTTCTTGGACAAAAATGGCAGCATTCTGTTTTCTCTTCATCATTTCTCAGCTTCTATCACATCTGATGCTAGCTCTAGTCCTTTATACGCTAGCCAGCTATATAGCCATATCTGCTGTACTAGCCAGATTTTCTTCACCTTTAGCAATAACGTTGACGTTTGGTCCTACCTACGTAATATGTCATAGTCGTGAGTGAAGCATGCCCCTTTACCAAAAGCTGGTTTGCGAATGTGGATTTGGTCTTCCTTGGGATTTATATATTACATTATTGTCATCATTATAAAGATCACTGAGTAGGTAGAATTCAGTTAGTATTTATGATCACATCTGAAGAAGCAGTTATGCGATTTTGTAGTTCAAATACGTTACCATCAATTTTCATTAGGTAGTGACCATATTCATAACACTTGCAAATTATCATTTTTTTACAGTGGCAACTGTACAATACCAAGGGTCCAGCTGCAAGACCCTCCACCACGTAAACCTGTCCAAAAATATCCAAGAGAAGAAAATTCTCATGGCATGGAATTTCCCAGTCATTCAAGAAGCCGTTTTTAAAGTTAATAAACATCGTTGAATATTTTCTAACATATGCAAAGCAACAAAAGCAACACAGTTAGAGGGGGTCAAAATTTTTGTTCAATATCTTGTGAAGAACTGTTCAACTTGTGGAATTACATATTTACATTCTTCTTGTGTGGAAAAACAGTTGTATAACTTCTATCCATTCTCAAGTAATACGTAGGATTGTGATAAATATTCCCTTCTCAATCATCACCATAAACAATGAAATAGAAAGTTGAAAAATACGTAACTCCACCAAGGAAAAATTAAAGTTCAAAAAGCTGACATTACTGAGAAAGTGAACATAATCGTAAAGAAGCAAATTAGCTGTTAGTTGTTATTATCCTTTTATTGATAAAACTTTTTGGTTATGTGAAACATTTATGTTAATTTGGGGTTTTTACAATAATAAGGTTATGTCTAATCCAATTTAAATGTCATAAACTGCGAGTATATTTTATTTATTCCTAGTTGAGTTACAGTTTTTTATTCTTTCGTTCTTTTTTCAACTGATTTGATTGCTGTACATTTTTGTTAAATTTGAACTGTAGTTGAAGTTGAAGTGTTATCATATATTGAACACAAAAATTTCTTCGTTTTTCATTTGACACACCACTCAATTTGATAGCAAATATAAAAATTTTAGGTACCCCCACTTTTTTTAATGTAGCATATTAATCATGAACCTATAAAATGTAACATAATGAATGATATTTTTCGGCAACGGTCAGTCGATTTCGATTATATATGTGTCTTAGGTCACGTAGGTATATTTGCAATACGCATATATACAGACGACTCAAAAACCAAAGAAGGCTCAGGATGTGGAGTGTACTCCAGATCACTAAGCCTAAGGATTATGTGGCGAATGGGAAAAAATACCAGCCTGGTCCAAACATAACTGGCTGGTATCTCAATCGCCACAAAAGAAATAACCAGGAAAGAAATGTCTGGCAAAAATATAACAATCTGCACTGATAGCAGACAAGCCCTAATAGCCTTGAACAGACAACGTGTTACCTCAGGGCTAGTACTAGAGTGCCACCAAGATTTAGCCAAAGCCTCGGTAGATAATAACATTATCCTGAGGTGGGTTAAAGGGCACGACAAGAGTAAAGGCAATCGTATTGCCGACTCTTTAGCCAAGGATGCTCAACCCCTAAAGAGATGGGATGAAATCAAAGGATGCAAATTTGCCAGGATCACCCTAAGAAGCTGGCGCCGAAGAAATATCTGGCAATGACAAGGATGAATCTACGCTCAAAAGTATGATTTCTGACTGGGAGGATGTATAATGACACCATCATTGCCACTGTCAACTAAAGAAACACCTCCACAATATGGGGCTAGGTGACACACCTCTAGGCAGAATATGTGAAGAGAAAGATAAAACTGTGAGGCCTATGCGAATGTCCGGAGTTATCGTCAGTGAGAAATATAAAGGAGATGTCTCCCATTGACCTGTCCACCTTTCTGGAAAAGACAGGACCCAGGAGGACAACTCCTTGGGAGGATGTATAATGACACTATCATTGCCAAACGCCTGGTTAATTTTTTGGGCTATTTCGGCAGTGCTTTGGTTCAATTTGAGTTCGTAAAGAAAAATTGGCCGGAAATCATGTGGTAATAAACTGAAAAGAGACAAAAACTTAAAAATTTGGAAAAAAATTAACATATTCTTACTTTTTCTAATATGATACCTATAAAATTATTTGAAATCCCTGAGAGAACCACAACAATTGAAAATTAAAATGAATATCTGAAAATAACAGTTATATTACGCAAAAAACCCTGAAATGAAATTACAATAAAATAAAATACAAGCAAAAAATTTAAAATTTGAACATTTAAACAAAAAAAAGAAATAAAAATTGAAAGATTTCAAGTTCACGACGTTTCGATTGCTAGTAACCACAATCGTCTTCGGGTGATGACCCGGGTCATTTTAATTTTGAATTTCATTGGTCCTTTCAAGGATTTCAAATCAGTTTATATCATACTAGTTGTTGCCCACGGCTTCGCCCGTGTAGAATTTGGTAGTTGTAGTACCAATTAGTACTATGTTGCTGTATCGCTGCTGTTTCAATGTTTTGACAGAATCAGCGTGCGCAGCGTTATAGTACAGTACTTTCAAAAAATTGTTCTACAGCGCCATCTATTGGTGCGTTACAGAAAAATTCATAGCCTAAAAACCTTTATCACTCACCAACCAACCAACCAACAAACATCCATTTTTATATATTAGATTAGACAATGGAAGTCCGAACTAATGAAATTCACTTGACATTAAAAAGTGCAAAAGTTTTGAAAGAAATAATCATCACAAGACGGTATAATGTACCGAAAAAAATGAGGAACTGTTTTTATTTCTTTCTATTTTTGTTCTATTTCTTAATGGAAAAAATTGAACACCAAGACTTCAGATCACAACTGCAACAATAATTTACGTGGCTTCAACGCATTTTGTGGACTTTCATGAAGTATTGGCTAATTCCATCATATTACGCAGTTTATTAGTTTAAGAAAAAAAATTATTTGTAAATCTATATCCATTTCTGATACCTTCAGACTGTATGATAAGATATAGATTTGTAATAACCTGTTTTATCAACTCGATATTCTCACTTGAATGTAAAAGTAACCCTGTGTTGGTTAATCACCACATGTCACATTCAAATGGTTTTTTATAAATCAAATCACTTTTGATGATAATACTACGAATGGAATATTGAGTACCTGCGATAACTGTTCAAATAATTAGGAAAGATAAAGGTATATTCAATATGGTGTTAATGAATACGCCATATTGCAGTTCGATTGGTTTGAGAGCGCTGAAAATATTGTATATTGGTGACTGATAATTATATTATGAAGTAGAAACAGTCAGTGTGCTCAGATCATTTCGCCATGTCGGATAAAGACAGTCAAACTAATACAGAAGTTGATTGGTTTCTTCAAACTAAGTAAGTAATTTCTAGAATAAGGTGTTTTATGGGAAAGAAAGGGGTTGGCTTTCTACTTCTCCATTTCCATACAAAAATGTGGGAATTTTCCAAAGAAAGGAAGGAAGTAATCAATTTCAAAACAGACTCTATACAGAGATGTGTAGATCATGCAAAGAAGTAACTTTCAGATACAAACTGGAAGAAAAAGCCCCAATTTCATTTTTAGTTTCCTATAGACTACAAAGATACTTCACTGGGTATTCAAAAAATGAACAGAAATAGACTTCTTGGTCATTTTTCCCATCCGTGCACATCGCCAATTGGTCCAAGCAACTGATGCAGAGTACAATAGGCTGCTGGTTGACACTGGAAGTCACAGCATTCTGGGGATGATCTCTGACAATATGCTCCAAGTGTCAACTGCGAACTGCCTCATACAGTATTTTTCCCGAGTAGAGAGGACTGGATCCTCCGGAAGAAAGAAAATTTAAGAGCAAATAGTTGTTGGTTCACAGATGGATCAAAAACACCTTTGGTTCTGGTGAAGAATATATTCTATCTCTTGTATGACATAACTTGCAGTTCTAATTACTTATTCAAAGTAGTCATTTCCTGTGAACATTTTACTGTAGATTTTCAATTTACAGGAAAAAAGAAGTTCGTCCAGTAGCTCCTTCTCCAGAATCAGAAGTCTATAAACGTCATGAAAGAAGAGGAACCGCTATTATTTTCAACCACAAAAATTTCACTATGAAAGAGTGTTCAGTTAGGCAAGGAACTGACAAGGATAGAGATGACCTCACAAGACTTCTGGATGAATTGGAATTTGATGTTTTCGTACACAATGATCTGACTTTAATACAGATCATAGAGGTTTTGGAAGCAGGTAATACTATACAGTGCATTTCTTTAATGTCTCCCCCCCTTTTACTCTTTGAACGGGCCAACTGAAAAAATTGACATTCGGGATAATGAAATTAATGCATGAATACTTCATAATGAAGTGAAATTGACAGATGAAATTTTCAAGATGGTGACTGGGCGTCATCTGGGAAAAAAATTAAATGAAAAGTGAAAGTTCCGCCATTTTGTAGTAGTTGAAGATATTGACATTATATTCTAGGGTTGTGAAGTATTCCTCGGGAGCTTCAAAATGATGTATCACAAGACCCCTCTTTCCATGTAATTTATTTCCCAGATGACGCCCAGTCGCCATACAAGATATTTCGTTCGTTGTCACAGAACTAAAACCTTCCCTATGAATCTAATAGTCAGTTACATCCAGCGGCGGCTCGTCAGAGGAGGCAAGGGAGGCTTAGCCTTCCCATAAAATTTTAGGCTATTCATCGCAATAAATTAAAAGATATTGACAAATAATTATGATTATTTTTTTCTAAAAATGCTTGATTATCATTACTTTACCATTAATTTTTGATATAAATACATAATATGCCCGAAAAAACACTATCACTCACTACGCAGTACGTACCACACTGTATCCTGCATCAACAAAACTCAAACGCACCGCCCATGAACGAATAAACCATCAACCCGAAATAATAAATGCCATACGTTGCAAGGGAGCCAAGCCTCCGACCGCTTTAAAAAACACAGGTTCCACGAGACCGATCCAACCAGCGACATACGTCCCGATTTGTAATTTCAGTTGCAGAAATTATAGCGTTAGAGGAGGCTAGCCTCCAATTGGTCTTCGGTAAATCGTTTTACTGTTTCTTGATAATATTTGTTATTTGTGTATAAAACAGGCAGTATTGTATCATAGACGTGCTTTTTGGTAATATTTTCAATGTGTTTTTGAAGCGTTTTCTTCCAATTTCAAAGTGGTTTCAGGTTTTTACTTTTCGGTAAGTTTTTTTTTCATTTATTATGGATAAGTTGGACGAAATTAAAAAATCTGACGATATAGTCGATTGATTGCTGACAAATGAGTGTAAGTCTTTATCTTATGATAATAAATTTTACATTATTAAAACTCTGGGAAGGCCTCAACCAGATTTGATTTCAATTAAAACGTCAGATAATCGACAAAATCGAGGATTTAATATTAGTTGGTACGATAAATGCGATTGGTTAACCGGCTCCATTAAACGAGAAAAACTTTTTTGTTGGCCCTGTGTTTTATTTTCCGTACAAACCGAATACCAAACGTGGTCTAAAATAGGATACTCCGATTAAAAAAAATTCCCTCGTTCTACAGAAAGAAATTTTAAATCTAAGGAGCATATATTTTCGTCTTGTAAATTGAAATTGCTCAGCAAACAAAATGAAGCAACAGCTTTAGATACAACTCAAAAAGAGGCCATAATTTCTTTCAATAATCAGGTTAGGGAAAATCGGTCGAATTTAAAAAGACATCGATATTACGATTTATTTGGGTTCCCAAGAATTAGCTTTTAGTGGACACGATGAAACCGAAGATTCGATTAATCGCGGTAATAACAAGGAACTTTCAATGTTTAATGATTCACAATTTGGCATTTTTTAAACTGTAGCGTTTTTTCGGGCACCTCAAAAACCATACAAAATGAGCTTATAGACAGTGTGGCATATATTATTAAGGAAAATATAAGCAGGGAGAACGAAAGTGTTTCTATTTTTGCATGGAAATTGATGAAACTACCGATATTACCTGTACATCACAACTTTCAATCATTTTTAGATATGTCAAAGATGGTAATGTGGTAGAACGTTTTATGGGTTTTCATAATGTTTCATCTGGGCGCACAGCTGACTATTCAATTTTTTAATTCGTAAGTGTGACACCTTTATGACTTAGGCCTCCCCTGTTCTCCAATGCACGAGCCGTCACTGGTTACATCCAAAGAATCCAGAGTAATTGGAGAAAGATATAACGAATACATCAGAGCTCAAAAATCTGTATCAATTGATTTATTCATTTTCAACGGAACACCTCGGGTGGAAGGCTTCTCCAGCTTCAACCATGTGTGGAAGGACAAAAGACAAGCACTACAGGAAAATCCTTAAGGCGCCTCAGAGCGGTAAACTAAGAATTTTACGTTGATATTTTCGTTTTCAGTATCTAAAATGGACCATTCTAATTCCGACTGTCTGGTGGTTGCGGTGATGTCGCACGGAGAAAATGGAATTGTCTGTGCAAAAGATTCAACTTATAAAACGAACATATTGTGGAACCTTTTTTCGCCGGTACATTGCCCTAGTTTGGCAGGAAAGCCGAAACTATTTTTCATTCAAGTATGTGCGTCTCAGGCCAACACTCTTGATTAAAATATTGATTATTCCAGGCATGCCGAGGCAACCACACCGATCCGGGATTCGAAGTCAGTTATGAAGAAACAGATTCCGCACGTAAAGACAATATATATTCCATACCGATTATGGCAGACATCTTGGTCATGTATGCTACCGTTGAAGGTAAATTTCACGATATATTTTCGTTCAGTCAACATAGTACTCGTATTTATCAAATTCAACATTGAAATATAATTTACGACCGATATAAATAATGAACTTTCAAGATGAAATGAAACCAACAATTTGTTGTTTTTTACAATACCGAGATTAGGAGACGATTTCGTAATGTTTGAGTTTTTTTACTTGAATTATTATTGGTGAATATATCTTTTCCTACTTTCGAAAAACCGACAAAATTGCAATTGTTAAGATACTTACGTACCTACTTCCTCACGAGTTAATGACAAATTCAATCAGAATTTAATATCTTCATTTATTTGCAGATTACGTTACACTTTCCACTAACATCCAAAAATGATCGCCCAAACATTCAGCCAATGTCGATCACAAGTAATCACTCAAAATATTGAAAAAATCTCGTTAAAAAGTCACTATTCATTTCTTGCAGTGACTACATTTCTCCTCAAATATCTATATCTCTCTTCATAAGTTAAATAAATCTATCGAAAGCAATTTTTCCTCGCCAGAACAATGATAGTGTCTCCAGACACCAGCTATTTTCAACGAAGATTCAGCTTAGTGCCCCTTATGACCACAATCTCTGTTTTTTTGTCAATGAATTCAACATTTCTTTTTCCTTTCACTCGATGTGCTGCATGTGATGATGTCACTATTAGCGAAAATACAACTCAGTGCCCTTCTGACATGTTGCGCCATCTTGGTTTTTTCTTTGTTACAACTCATTCATTTTCACAAATCATCACATACTGACCATATCACCCTCAACGTTTTTTCTGTTCTATTATTATTACTCTTCAACCCTCACCCCCGAGTTCAATTCCATCTTACACAGCCACCCAACCAATGTTCATTCCATCCTGATTGGCTGATCGATGTCACCCTGTATAATAAATTAGGTTGGGTGTTCCACAAGGTTTCGCTCGTAGGTCCAAAAATGACTAAAATGAAGCGCCCTAAGGAAAGGCATGGGATTTTGGGCCAGAATCTGCATAGCACATATACTAAATTATTCAAACATACTGTGTTATGTATTTGACTTTCTTTTTGGTGTATACTCGTATAATATAATAACTTCTACAGCTAATCATTCAACTTTGAATTTTTCAGTAACTAACAACAAACACGACAGTTCCTGATGCTGATACTTATATTTAGTTTTCTGATTATCTAGGCCGTTACTTGATGAAGATCCATAATAATTTCACAAACTATACCGGAAGCTTCATTTTCAAAAATTTCATGACATGTTTCGCTATCACATTAGCTTTTTCCGCAAAATAGACAAGTCATCAATCACACATATTAAAGTTATTCACCTTAATTGCAGGCTACTTCGCTTGGAGGGATCCTGAAACTGGCAGTTTTTTTATACAGGCTCTTGTTCATCAGCTGAGAAATTTTCATAAAACCAGGGACCTCCTGTCAATTTTGACGTGCGTTAACAGACAGGTGGCTATTGGTTTCACTTCAAATGAACGTGGCGTCCCTGAACTGGACAAGAAAAAAGAAATGTGTTCCATAGTGTCAATGCTGACGAGGTTATTTTATTTAGATTGAATAATACGCGATACGCCATAAATTACTACAGTTAATATTGTTGCACTTTATTTACATTATCATGATGATTTATGTTAGTTAAATTTTTGCTTCACAGGTTTCTGTATGAGCTGTACAATGATGTATTGATTATTTTCACCATGTCTTACCAGTAATCATATTTTAAATAGTAATAATAATAATATAATAATAATTTAGTACAGTATATTTTATACAGTGTGTCCAAGATAAGGATCCTAAGCATGGGAATCTCAGTACCTGTTGGAGATAAAGCTTAGGTTAAATTAGGAAAATGTTGTGTTCTTTAAAGCTTATTTACATGCCGTTTAGAAACTTGAAGAATTTTCATGGCCTGCTGAGATATTTGGGAAAAACGAGAATTTGACAATATCAATTTTATTTTTTTCTGACTTTATTTGAAAAGATATCAAAAAACGNGTAATAAAAAATGGAATCAGATACAGGGTGTACTTTTGTTTCGGGTCATATAAAAAAATAAAGTTGATGATGGTTTCTTGAAAACGAAACGTCGGATATAAAATCTAAAAATACCATCGTGTAGTACCTTAAAAGTGCCAATGAAAAAGTGTTATTCGTTTTTTGATATCTTTTCAAATAAAGTCAGAAAAAAATAAAATTGATATTGTCAAATTCTCGTTTTTCCCAAATATCTCAGCAGGCCATGAAAATTCTTCAAGTTTCTAAACGGCATGTAAATAACCTGTCCAGAAAACAATACTCTATGACTTTTGAAAATGATGACGGAACTGTAACTGTCCGATAATTTTCCATCTGCGACGGACTACCTTTTTTTGTGAATTGGAATCACCTTTTCTTTTTTTAACATTGATGGAAATAATCCACAACAGAATGGAAGATTTATTACATATACTAATAGTTTCGCAATTATTTTCAGTGTCCTTCTTATTAAAAAGTTTGGAATATCGTCGGTACCTGCAGAATGTTTATTTTTCAATTTTGGATATTTTGAAGATATAAGTTCATCTTCCGTGAAAGGACAAATGCTTTTGAAATTGGTGTTAAGTATAGGTTCTCTGAAATTAACTGAAACTTGCTCATTTCTGCATGATATTTTTTCTAAAATATTTTGATGGATTTTCTCAGGAACTGATTTAAAAAACTTCTTTGGGATTCTCTATGGATCTACCATTAAACTCCAAAATCATATTTTTTTTGTTCAACATATTTTTTTGTGTTATTTCAGACACAACATGTCATGTTGCCTTATTTTTATTAGGTGCCGTCTCTATTTTGTGTTGATAGTATTCTTGTTTGGATTTTTTAATCAATTCTTGGTGTATTTTTTTCTCTTCTAAATATATTTTTTTGAATTCGGGTCTATGTAATTTTAAATAATGCAAATATTTTAATTTGGAACTTGAACGTCTTACATCTTCAGTGACCCAATTTTTCTTTGATATTTTCATAACATGATTTTTTAACGGGAAATTATTAAGAAAGTGGAAGTTAATGACATTTAAAAAATACTGAAATGCATCATCAACCTCACTAATACTATATAATACTGTCCAAATTTCATTTTGTAGACCATTTTCGAAATTTTGAATGGATTCCTCATTAAAAGATCTATGTTTCCTTTTACAGTGTTTGATTTCATTTGTAAAATAATCTAATTCATAAAAAATCGATCTATGATCCGATTTTACATTGTCGAAGACACCATTTACACGGGAATTAATAAAATTGACGAATATTTGGTCAATAGTTTTTACTTTATGTCTACTTACTCTGGTTGTGGCTTTAAATTAAAACCACTCAACATATCGCATAGATTTTTAAAGTCTTTGTCTTCGCCAGAGTTATACGAATCTAAATTGAAATCCCCGCAAAGCATAATATTTCTTTTCGGTTTATAGACATATTCATGAACTCCCTGAAGATTATTATAAAATGTATCCTGATGGGGAGCGATAGCACACTATTTCAATTGTGTTTCTATTTTCTACTTTAATCAAAACACTGCAAACTTCGAGGAATGATGAATCAATAGATATTTTTTGAGAAAAATGAAATCACCAACGGACGTCACTGCCTCTAATAGTGGTTGGAAGATTCCCCATAACAATTTTCCCCACTTCCTCAACATGTACTTATACGGTTGCGAATAACTATTATCATTATACACAAAATAATAATTTTACAACACATTATTAGAATAATTACGGAGCCAATGAGTGATTTTCGAACCTAAAAATTCGAATGATTTTATTACCTTCTACGTTTTCACCTAAAACACGTCATCAAGCGAAACCAAGTTATGGAGAACGATCAAATTCATTGAAGATTTTTATCTAAACACCTAATCCGTATATAGAAAACTTTGCGCAACTATATTGTTCTATAAAGTATTATCTTCTTATCATGGAATTAAATAAACAATTGAACCTAACCATACCTGCCCAGTAATAAAATGTAGCTAGTAATGAGGTGTGTATTGATATCGAGAAGAAAAAATGGCACCTAGTGGAGCTACGAGCATTTCTATCAAATATATAATCCTTACGGCTGCTATAATAGGAACAGTATGTACATAATATAGTTTTGGTGATTGTCCCTTGTCTGTGTGTGTCTGTTTAGTTGTAAAACAATCAAAATTAGATAGACGAAAACCCTCGGTCATAATACTTGGAAAACGAACAAAATAATTTTTGATGAATTGTTTCAATTGTCATGTCAATACCAAGAGATACGGTTTTGTTATGATTCACATTCCTGGAAGTGTTGTTGTTTTTCCATACACTTGTTTGAACAGTATCTTAGTTGAATATTTGTAGTTTTCTCAGCTTAATTTTGGTTGTTCATGAATTCTAACCTCTCAAGTAAAATTTATGTATTACTTTCCCCACAACAGAACAAAAATACTGTGGCACATTTCGCTAACCAAGTTGGCATCATTAGAATATGACTACGAGTGAATTTTACAACTAACTCAGAACTTTTATATGCATCTAGTCGAAACACCAAGTTCGATATTGGACCATCAAATGAAGATAATCAGATGAGTGGCAAAAGTGGCGTTAATCCAGTCTTAGTACCAGTTATCATGCCATATTGTTATTATATTTCACTTCTTATTTACCTATATAATCTAATAATGACTGTATTTTATGATACCTAATATTCACCTAGTTTCTACCTGTAGTTATTACGAAAAGTGTATAATTCAAGTAAACGATATAATGCAACTTATAATGCAACAGCTGCCCTTCAATAATATAGTTAGGGTGCTAACTAATTTCGTTATTCAATAACCATTTNAATATTTTTTCATGAAATGTTGGTCACACCTATTTAGAGGCACTCTGAATCCAGTTGCGTAGTGTTTTTTTCAATAAAAAAATCGCTAATAAAAAATCCCGATTTTTGACTAAGAAAAAATATCGTAGTATGCCCTGCCTTATGGATGTTTAAGTTTTCCCAAATGTCCATGCGGTTTCCCTTATTGACTTGTTTTATGAGTTTTATGTCAATAATTCAATAAGGGAAACCGCATGGACATTTGGGAAAACTTGAACATCCATAAATTTAACAGTCAAAAATCACTTATCGAGGAACAAGTACAAATCAAAACACAACAGGACCTAACATTCAGTATATTAAACAAATCAATATACACTCCTAGAAGCAATGAACCTGGAGAAGATTTAACACAAAGAATAGTACCTGATGTAATCCAAATACAGGCAAATTTACCAAAAGCAAGAGAAGTACCTGTTTTGAGGCGTTCGGACCGTATAAAAAGACACACAACAGGCTAACACGTTCAGATAGAAGAGTGCTTAGAAGATGACAGCACGACCAGCTGTCCAAAGCGCTCGCAGATAATCAAATAGAAGTCATAGAGCTTCAAATCCTTATTGTAACTTACATTATTCACATTAATCGCTTCAAAAACACTACACTAACTTTCTTGGAAAGCTTCTGATAATTCCTCTTCCATATTTTCTGTTTCACAATCACTGTCGTCATTGTCGTTTCGGTAATATTAGATACTTCTTCTTCATTTACCTCTATTCATCCGTGTTTATTAGCACGGATGAGATAAATACTCTAGAAATGATATCGCAAACGTTGAGCAATATAGGGTGTCATAAACAACTCATTAGTGTGGATTACAGTCAAACTGAGTCACCATGAATAATTTTTTGATATTGAGATTGTGAAAGAAGCTTGAAACGCGTCAACTTTAGTTTTCAGGGAAAAGATTAAACCAGTTTAATCTTCCTCTTGAAGATGATCGCTTGGTGATCGAAAGACGTATCGAGGTGTTAAAATAACGGTTTGGTGCCAATGTCCTGGAATCCAAATGGAATGACAAGACAAGTGTGCTGTCGTCAGCAAAGCAATATATTGGACTCTTGGTTTTTTCCAATAAGTCGTTGATATACAATAAAAATAGGATTGGAGATGATGAATATATGAGAATATATGATTATATTTAATTTATTTCACGATGATGCTGTCAATATTATTTTACATTGAATATTGTATATAATTTATCCATGTAATCAGACCGGATGTTTGGATACAAAATGTCAAATAAATGAATAAATTAGCTCAGCTGAAATGCCGTAGATCTAGCAACTCTGGAATATTTAATTTTAATATATTTTTTCGATTTCAGTTCCAAGCAGCAACTTGGTTTAGTTTATCGCTAGTATCCATTCTTTTTTATGAATCAGCTATCGAAATCGACACTACATTACAACATGAGTATGGAAACTATATTTACAATTACTATCTGAGTAAGTATATTTTTTACTACTAATTTTTTAAAACTTTATTCCAGTTTTTCAAAAACAGATAATTTCCAGCAGATTTCCTAATTTATTTATCAACTTGGCGGTGATACAGTGAATATGATTTGTTTTCATTTTTTATATACCTCCTGTTCCTTGGCTAAAGAGTCGGCAATGCGATTGCCTTTAATCCTGTCGTGCCCTTTAATCCACCTCAGGATTAAAGGGCAGGATATTATATATTGATTTTTGGCATGAAAATATCTAGTAGAAATATGTACTTCATTGTAAGTGCGAATGCCATCCCTATTAGTCTTTTTGTCAATTGGGCGAGAGTTAGAATTTTGGGCTAAATTTGATTTTTGATTAATAGATTATGAATAAGTCCCAAGTTCTTCTCATCGTTTCTTAGTTACTTTCTAAATTATAATCAATTCAAACATAAAAAACCAGGTGAGGATGTTAGAGTGAATAAGAAAAGAATTTTTGAAATTAGATATAAATATTTTCTTCCCAAGAAATAATACATGGTTGTTTTTCAACATCATGAAGAGAGAAGAGAGAAAAAAACATATAGAGAAACACTATTGGACTGATATAATTACCGGCTCTCAATTTCAGTGATGATTGATAAAAGTTTTTGTTTTACAGATCGAAATAATCCTAATGGAGAGAACTACATTATTTATCCGGAAACATTCAACTATTTTATGTGGATATATTTGGTTTTGAGTTTTATATGGCTCGTATCTTCTTGCTTCATCCTATGGGGTAGGTACACATTTTCTTGCACAATTTCCATGTACGAATGCTTTTTTGCGAAGAATTTGGAAGTCAACCGTTTCCAATAGGACACCCAGTATATTTATGTGCGCTGTCTGTTCAAAAATAGGGTGAATTTACATGTTTCCCAAGAAATATTCATTAATCTGTTTAAAATCTCTGATTAAAATCTGTTTCCCGTTAATCAGCTGTCGCCCCCATACGAACAACAACTCTCCGAAGTTGAGAAAATTGTGCGTGCTAAAGACTGACGAGGTCTTACCTTTTAACGTTTGATTCCTAACACGGTTGCAGAATCATCCCAGCTTCAACCAGATAAATTCTCTCGAGAAAAATATCTGGTCGAGGCGGGAATCGAACCCACGGCCTTCCAATCGTGAGTCTGGCGCACTACTACCGCGGCCAATTCCTATGTATCAATAGTCCCTCTCAGCTCCTCGATCGTTGCAAAATGCCGTCCTTCCATGGGTCAGTTCCATCTTGGGAACAGGAAAGGTCGCAGTTGCTTCGATAAGCCGAGGTCCTATTATTATCATTATCATTATTATCATTACCGAAGCTTGCGCTAGTCAGGCCCTATCCCCCTAAGCCCCGATACATTCGGGAGGGCGCCCCACTATTATCTTTGAGATTCGAGAGTGGAGAGGGCATCATCTCACCAAGGACTCTAATAATCAGATCCACCATCTTTGACAGACTGGTCTGGATAGAGTCTGCGGAGTTCGAAGAGAAAGTCTCGATGTTTTATCCGTTCTTCCTCCTCTTTCCGAACGATATTCGTCTCGACAGCAGCTAAAAACCCCATGATAAATATCATACTAATTATGATTTAATTGTTTTACAACCCGTACTGGTAGTTTCAATATTTTTGGAGACTGTTCCCATTTCAATTTTGATAAAACACCTAATATGTACAAGCTGCCAGACTGATGAGTCATGGCCGGTGAGAATCCCCTTTCTCAAGATGTGCAGTAGATGTGTAGAAATCAGTTATCAGTCTGTTAGATTATTCAAGCCGCAAATATCGATACTACGTAAAATTGCAAACAAAAGTTTCAATTACTTTTTTCCTAATACTTTCTTTGTCATAAACCGACCCAAACTTTACGCAGATACCTTAACAATTTGGAACGAAAATTTGAATACATATAATAATAATAATAATAATAGTTATTTCAGAATATCAATACAAAGAATGATACAAAATTTCGATATATAATGAAATAAATATGGTTGAACTCCACGAGGGTTTCCCCTGTATGTGGAGGGGGTAAGAATAATTCAATAAGTACGGATATATTAGCAAATTAATACATATTGACACAATAACACAGTCTGCACAGTCACACACACATATTTACGATAATTATACTCACTTATATGAAGTCTATCTAGTCTATCTAGTAATGATTTTTCAGGTCAATGTACTGGTGGATTTTTTTCCGTGGTTGGGCGTTTATCCAGGCAATCAATTGCTTGTGGAATGAATATATAGAATTTACTAATTTCAGTTCATTAGATATCATATTGTAGCATCGAGGAGCCAAATAGGTGTGATTTCTCATTAGGGTGTTTTTTTCGGATTGTGAGAATATAGTTTCTATTTCGAGTATCATGTACATGGCTACTACTAGTCGCCGTTTTTTTGTTTTTGTGTATATTAAGAACTATTTTCAAGAAGAATAGCTGTCTGACATCCATTACTTTGGTTTCATTATATAACATTTCCGTTGGATAGTCTTGTGGCTTACGGAAAATAACTTTGAGAATTCTCTTTCGTATCATTTCCAGCGGAGACAGATGATTGGAATATGCTGCTCCCCATGAAATTATACCGTAATCAATGAGGCTTTGCACAAGGGCATAGTATACTGTTCTCATTTGTTGGATGTTGAGAATATTATTGTAATACCTCATTCTATAAAGCACATACCGGAGTTTCTTTACAGTGGCATTTATATGGTCCTTCCATTTCAAGTGTGGATCTGCAATGATACCTAAGTATTTTATATTATCTGCTGTGGATATTTTCACTACTTCCTTATCACTCAAAGTAATACTGAGGGAGTTATAAGTTGGAAGTAATTTGGGGTATGAGGTGAAGGGAATGAAAATGGTTTTGTCAAAATTTATTGTTGGAAGACGATTACTGAACCATTGGATAACTTGTTTGAAATCTGTTTCTGCAATACTCTTTAACTCTATACAGTTCTCTGCAATATATAGTACAGAGGTGTCGTCTGCATAGCTGATAATATCTCCTTTGACTAGCTGCATATATAAGTCGTAGAGGTAAATGTTGAAAAGGATTGGACCCAGAATTGTTCCTTGAGGCACACCATACTCAACTTCTTTCGATTCACTATACTGTCTATTTATTCTTAGTCATTGATTTCTTGATGTTAAATAGTTTTTCGTTAATACATATGGAATTCCCCTGAATCCAATCCCTTCCAATACTTGCAGTAGTTACTTATGGCTTACCGTGTCGAAAGCCTTTGCTAGGTCCACGAAGACACATAAACTAGGTTTCTTTTTATCGACATATTGGCTAATTTTACTCAGCAGATAGTTTATAGCATCTTCTGTTGATCTCTTCTCTCTGAATCCATACTGGCGATCTGATATAATGTCGTTTTTATTCAAGCAGTTAATAATACGTTTTTTCAAAAATTTTCAAAGAGTTTTGCCAAGTTTGAGATAAGGGGAATTGGTCTATAGTTTGACACGTCAGTTGTCACCTTTTTTATATACCTACAGGATTTATTACCGCTGTCTTGAATACCGAAGGCCATTGTCCAAATTCTCATTGGAGTGTATTTTTCAGCCGTAGTAAGAGGAAAATGGAAAAACATGTCAAAACTCATAATTTTTTGGTCGAGTATAACAATAGCGATTGCTGTGACTGATATTATTTTAATGAGTTTGGTAGCAGCTGATTTACAAAAGGCCCATGATCTGTCCAACAACCCAACTGAAACTACAACTGAAACCACAACTAAAACCACAACTGAAACCACAACTGAAACCACAACTGAAACTACAATTGTAACTTCTACAACTGTTTCTACTACAGTGGATCCAAGTTTAACAAGTACAACCCCGGTAAGAATCTTTTGATTTTGATGTATCTTCGAAACAGTTTCAATGTAGGTTCTGAATTGTGGGTGTTGCATTGAAAATTAATTATTCCTTGTTTTGAAACAGTTTTTGTTAATCTGAATTTGCTGGTCAGCGGTTTAAAAATATAATTATTGGAGCAGAACAAAATATATCAAGTGTTGAATTAATAGTAACCAAGTATCATTTGAAAATTTTTCATATTCTCAAAAAAATAATATAATCTCCAAATAAGTGATGAAAAACTAAGGCTAAGATTGACTCGAATAATGGAAAAATTCAGTAATTCAAATTGTATTTGTATCATTTTCGAATCAAAGATGAGTATTTCAATCTCTTCAATTTCACACCCTATATTCAGTTGGGAAAATGCTATACACAAACCCTATCTTGTATCAAATCTAATAACTACAAGTTCCATACTGAAAACTCTCAAATATATTATAGTTCATTCTTACCTATACCACATCATAACCACTAACACTACTATCCACTCCACTAAAATACTATTCTACTAGCACAGACACTACCACTACTCAAACATTTCACTTCCACCTTCCACCTCATCTATCACATATTCCACAACTTACATTGAATAAACAGTCAACTATGAGATATGTTGAGTTCAGCCACAAAATGAGACGAAATACAGTGATAAAAAGATAATAAACTGATATACACGCCGGTATCCAGGCCGGGGTAGTTCGGATAACCACGTAAAGGGGGCCATGTATGTGAAGCGAAAAATCCAAAGGTCTCCTAAGGAGGAGACGACTAATAAAAAAACTAAGTGTTTTTCAAGAAATAAAAAATTAATGAAAAAAGATAGGAGTAGCACTGTCTCTATCAAGACTGCTGCGCTCCTCCACGAAAACTTCTGTCAACAGGTCAACTGTTGATAGGAAGAAATTGGCAAAATTCGCCCGAGAGGAGAGCAAGCAGAGAGAGAGAGAGAGATTTCAGGAAGATTCAACACCATGCATAAGCATTGCTTTTTGTCGAAATGAATACTGTTGTAAACAAAGCTTGGCTCAATAAATGTTACTCAGACTTTGCACCAGAATAATTGACCGTTGAGAAGCGGTTTGCTGAATTTAAACGAGGTGAAATGAGCACGGTAACAATTATATAGAGTCGACTTCCACAGAAGGTAGTAAGTAGCTGTTGCAATGAAGTGCCTTTCAAAAATTTAGGAAAGCGGCAGATATTGGAAATTTAGCCTCTGAGAGTGAAAATGTATCTCACCCTAACACGTTCACATTTCTACACTTCAAAATATTCTACATCTTATAGAAGAAGAATACACACTTAGACCACCCAAGAAATAAGAAAACAACGAACACAATCACAAGTTCACCAAATATAACACATTTTCAAAGGGGAATAATTATAATACGTTACTTTTGTAGGGAACCTCGACACATGTCACATCTACGTCTACACCAGGTTCTCCTTCAACCGGCTCCTCAAATCCAACTAGTTCCACGAATCCAACAATTTATACGTCTACGTCTGGCACTACGACCATAACTGAAACACCAGACTCCACTGTTTCCACGAAACTAACAGTTTCCACTTCTACACCTAATTCTCATTCAAGCAGCTCCTCAAATCTAACTAGTTCCATGAGTCCAACAACTCCCAAGTCTACTTCCACTAACATTACGCCTACAGATGAAACATCAGAATCCATTGTTTCCACGAAACCAACAGTTTCCACGTCTACACCTAATTCTCATTCAACCAGCTCCTCAAATCCAACTAGTTCCACGAACCCAGCAATTCCTACTACAACTATAACTGAAACATCAGACTCCACTGTTTTCACGAAACCAACAGTTTCCACGACTACACCTAAAACTCCTTCAACCAGCTCCTCACATCAAACTAGTTTCACGAATCCAACAGTTCCCACGTCCACGTCTATTACGACTTCAATAAGTCCTACTGATTCCATCACATCAACAACTACTAAAAAATATACTACTGCCCACAAAACTACCATCCCAACGTCGCAAAGCACAAGCTTCATTACTCATATTCCTACTAAACCAGTGGTAAGTATCGAAATCATATACCATTATCTGTCAGATGTGTGCTTGTCTTGTAGCTGGTAACAAATACCTGCTATTTAATGAGACGGAATTGGTCGATACTTCTCGAAAACCCAGGCACCTATTTTGTGTGTGTTATACATTCAATTGTTGGTGAGGTAAGACACTTGTAAGTCGCAATGAAGGTATAGTTTATTTCTAGCAAATACTGCTAAAGATGAAACAATTGAAAAACCTATTCCGTTTTAGCCGAAAATATAACAAAGTCAAGAATTTTAAATGAAACTTAACGGTATAACACAAATAACCATATTAAGTATTCGGAATAGTGGTCTAGGAGCCATTTTCTCCAAATATAGTATGGTGGCGCTACCATCGATCATCTATGGAAATATTGATGTATATAGTGAAAAAAAGAGAAACAATGTTTTGAAGAAAAATGTCAAGGCATGATGTTTCTCACCAATTCACGTTTTTCCTTTTTCAATGGCACTTTTTACTTAATTTATCCAGAAAATCTCAATAGAAATTGGCATGTGGCCTGAATGCCAGGTTATTTAATTTTCTTTTCAATGTCAAAGATAAAGTGGACAAGATGGAGAAATCTGTAGTTCATAAGCTTAAATGTCTGGAGTGTGATAGTGTTTATGTGGGACAATGTGGCTGAAATTTCTCAAAACAGTATGCTGAATATGAAAAGTCCTTCGGACTAGGTTATAATGATACGATGTTTTGAAACCATTCCTTGGAATGTAACCACAATTTCCGAATCTAAACGACTCGGAAATTTTGGGATATGCAGGCAAGGGCTGGAAACTCAATTATTTGGAATTCTTGGAAATTCATAAGCATGTTTCGGATGTAACCGCACTTATGGTGCAATTACCTCGTGGCCGAAGGCTTTACAGAAAACAGCCCAGGCGAAGGTCTATGGCTTACAGAGACAGGCTTGTCTAGCCATCAGTACCACAACGTCAGCGGACATGGAGATCCTTCTAGATCTATCTCCTCTCCACATTTTTCTGGAGAGAAGCTAGATGGACTGCATACAGACTTGTGCACATTGCCAATTGCACAAATCAATTTAATGCAGAGTGCAACAGACTGTTGGTTGACACTGGAAGTCACAGCATTCGGGAAATGACCTCTGACTTTATGCCTCCAACTATCAACTACGAACTGCCTTATAAAGTACTATTCCCGAGTAAAGAGGACTGGACCCTCTGGGAGAAGGAAATATTAAAAGCAGATAGTTGTTGGTTCACAGATGGATCGAAAACACTTTTCGGTTCTGGTATAGGTGTTTTAGACCCAGGACAGAGATGTCAACCTGCCTAGGAACCTATGCGACTGTATTTCAAGCGGAAATTTACGCTATTGAATTGTGTGCGGAGAGATTGAAGAGATTGACTTGAATCTGGACTTATGGTTGTCCAGACACAAGTCAATAAAATGTCTAAATTGGTAGCAAATTGCCAAAAACGACTCTCCTTGATAGGAAGACTTAACAGATTGTCTCTGATCTGGATTCCTGACCATACTGGCCTGGAAGGCAATGAAGCTGCTGACTCTCTTGCAAAGGAGTGTGCTGCAAGCAGCTTCATCGGACCATAACCTACAATTGGCATCGCTTTAGGCTTTGCTAAACAAACATTGAACACCTGGATGGCAAGAAGATTTATGGACTTCTGGCAGCATCTTCCAGGTTTGGCTCACTCCAAGGCGTTTAGTCATCCTTTGAAGCTTGATACCAAACAATTGTTAGACTACAGTAGGGATGAACTACGATGTCTAACAGGCCTTCTTACAGGTCACTGTCAGTTGAATCATCATATACAGAGACTCGGACTGTCGGAAGATAGTGTGTGTCGCTTCTGTTTGGAATGTGATGAAACAGCAGAGCATATAATTTGTGTCTGCCCCGCTGGGGGCCGAATCACACCATGAAAAAATAAGAAATTATGTTCACTATTATGTACTTTGTCTTTTTGTCTTTTATAATTTGCTCTAGGGTTCCCCTTATATTTCATAAATAAAAAAACATTCATTTGCAGAAAACAACTAGTTCACCAGATCCTACAATCGAAGTTCCGCAGGTAAGATTTCAAATCTTTATTCTTTCCTATTTATTCGTTTTGTAAACCACTTTTTATTGGTTCTAGCAGTGTTTGTAGTGAGTATTGAAGTGTATTGTGTACTATAATAGAATTAAAACAGTAAAAATGGCAATAAATAATGTGTTGACAATGTGAAATGTCAAAAGATAGTGAAAAGTCTCAAATTCTATGAAAAAGCTGACAACTCACGTTTGTATAGCTATCTCTTTTCGATTCACCGTGCAAGCTGTCACCCAAACAACATGCAAACATGCATTAAATTCAACTGTTTTGTCTTCCTTTTTCACTTGTAGAAGAAAAATATGTTATGAAAGTATGTGATTTGTTGCGTATTTATGCTCTTTTTTGCATTTGTCGTCCAAACTGCAATTGGTTAGAAATGTTTCGTTTAGACTATCAAAACCCTCATGAGAACTGACACCTCGTCCTGGGTTACTGCAGGTCGACCACTTTAGGGCTCATCTTCGAGGACAAAATCTCAGCTCTACGGTATCATATAATAAAAGAGACTAACAATTAAAATTTGGAAAAAATTAACAGCATCAATGTACAGAGTACAAAATTCTCTATCGATCAGTATATACCGCGACACAGTAGAAAAGTATTCGTTGAGATAATAAAATGGGCATTAAAACGGACAAAACTTTTGAAACAACCTCATACTTGAATGAATATTTCGTTGTTTAAATAAATGGTCTGATATATATTTTTCCATCAATCATACCTTTCTCATTAATATATTCATACTTTCAATTGTACCTGTTTCATTCTAAGTTAACGATGATTTCACCGACTTTTTTCTTCTTCTTGATATTCTCATTTTTTACTAGTTTCAGGGAAGATATCTGCAACTATCTGAAAACCTTTCGACTGTGGTAAGTTATATCATTATTTTTCGTATGTTTAAAATCTGTTTTTCCCTTAACCAGCTGTCGTACCCCTACGAACGACAACCCTAAAAAGTCGAGCTAAGGACTAACGTGATATGTGATTCCTAACACCTAATATGTATTGAAATTATTTAAATATAATGTGCAGTAATTTTAGACGGGGCGAGAGGAAAAAATTAATTAAAGTCTATAAGTGCGATGAAACAACTGTCAGTGGCTAAAGCCTTCATCAAAATTTTACGACAACAGCATTTTTTCAGGATGAACCCACTCTTTCCTCTGTAAAATCCCTGATACCGAATATTACGGACATCGTACCAAAAAAAAACAACTAGGTTGCATCTGTGATTTGTAAACTCCTCATCCTGTCTGACGAGAAAGGGGTTCTTCCTTATTGTTATAAGATCGCTCGAGTTCAGCTTGGTCCCAAAAAGGGATTGAAAAGTATTTCAGATAACTATAGATCAGTTGCTTTGCTATCAGCGATATTGAAAACGACAGAGAAAGATATTAATCAACACAATATTGGGACAGTCTACTTCTGGCAGTCGAACGATACAGTCGACTGGCTCGTGTAAAATTTCACAAAAAGTGTTCAAACAGTTTTTATTATTCGGTCTAAACGAAATTTCCTATTGATAAAACGACCATCGGTCAGGTTCCAGTCAACCTAACCAATTCGTTGCCAAGCGTATATTTCAGCAGGACCGTAATCTAAACGAAGCAAATGTCCTTTCATTCGAACGTACCTCCGTAAACGTTTCAGATGACAGACATATTCAACGAAGAGGGTATTTCTATGGAAATATCCCAATCCACAACCAACAATCAAGCTGAAATTCCAGAAAGACTTCCTACATCATATTCAGGTGCAGTAAACCAATTTAAATTTCCATCTAAAGATCAAGCCATTCTTTTTCCGGCCTCAGGAGAAGCTAAATTGCAGGAGTATATACTTGCTCTCGGTGAAAAAGTACAGCCTAAAAATATTATTTTTTCATCTCGTATCTCAAATAATAGGATATGTATTTACCTATCGAGTAAAGCACATGTCGATAACTTTTTAAGTGAACATGGGCACATAACAATTAGTGGCGAAACTATCACAGCCCGTAGACTAGTTTCACCATCAAATCGTCTACTATTATCGAATGTCTGCCCCATCATTCCCCACAATGTTATAGAAAGAAAACTGAAAGAAATTGGTTTAAATATACTCTGCCCCATCACCTTCCTGAGGGTTGGAATTCCTAATCCCGAGTACAGGCACGTACTCAGTTTCCGAAGACAAACCTAGTTCAATCCTGATAACACTCCGGTCATCCCCGAATCCGTCGTTCTTGAATACGATAATACGTTATACCGTATTTTTCTATCCGATGACAACCTCAACTGCTTTAAATGCAAAAAGCATGGACACATTGCATCCGCTTGTCCCGAGGGGAACCCACAGCAAGTGGAAAACCAGACATCAACAGAAAACAGCAACATCGCTCCGGAAAAAATTCCAACAGAAGACACTCCAGAAATTTCTGAAAAAAGTAACCCACTAATTGCTCCCGAAAATACATCGAAAATTATTATCCCTTCCACTGCTCAGAAACGAAGCATGTCCGATACACCAAGTCCTACCGTTGAAAACGAGATGAAGAAAGACTTCATCAAACCTCTCAAACCGAAGACAAAGAAACAAAAAAAATGAAGTAAAGAAAATTCTTCAACAATGGAATCCCTCATTATGCCAATCAAAGCAACAATTGAAAATGAACTACCGCCATTCACCCTCAACTTTGATCAATTATCAGACTTTCTGGAGAACTCAGTTGGCGCTTCGGACATCCTTTGTATTGCAAAAAATTATACGGAAGATATTCAGGGTCTACTAGATATGCTATTGAAGATATATCCTTTACTCACGGATCGTAGAATCAAATCAAGAATCACTAAGATTAAAACAAAAATTCTTAAACAATTAAATGCAGAATTGGAAACCAGCTCCAATATTTCAGTATCAGATGAAAGCGAATGCTCGCTAGAGACTTACTGATTGATCTCTCGATATCAACTCTAATTTACAAATTATCCCACATTCATATTACAATGGTATATCAATGGGGTTTTTACCCATCTAGAGATGCTGAAATTGCTAATAAGCGAACAGAAACCTTCAATAATTTGTTTGCAAGAAACCAATTTCAGTAATAAACATACATATGCTCTTAAAAATTACAAATCCTTTCACAAAATCAGAACAACGGGCTTCAAAGCAAGTGGCGGTGTTTCTATTTACTGCTCGGCATCTATAGAAGCAAGAGAGATCCCTCTCCTGACTGAAATGGAGGCAATGGCAGTGTCAGTAATATCGCCACGGCGCATAAACATTTGTAACATTTACATTCCACCTAACAGAGATATTTCTGTAATGGAAATGGATAATCTAATCCAACAAATACCAAAACCTCGAATAATATTAGGTGACTTCAACAGTCATAATCCTATATGGGGAAGTGTTTCATTGAATAATAAGGGGGCAGTAATAGAGGAAGTAATGGATATATCCGGTCTAATGCTTCTAAATACTGGTGAAGTGACAAGATGGAATCCAGTTACTGGAAACCACTCCATACTCGATTTGAGTCTATGTGATCCTGAACTTTTCCCACTTCTTAATTGGGAGATTTCATCATTTTCCTACGACAGCGATCATCTGCCCATTTACATTCGGGATGGTCGTAGTCCCGGAACTCTGGAGGGGGTCACCCCGAGGTGGAGGCTGGGAGATGCTAGCACAGAAAAATGGAATATGTATGAAGAAATCGTAGATAATAAACTAAACCAGATGACATTGTCGTCAAGAGAAAACATCGACAATTATGTTAAACAGTTTAACGACATCATCACTGAAGCAGCCAATGCTTCAATAGGAAAAACAGCAAAAGTAGTGGGACACTTTCCTGTCCCCTGGTGGAACAAAGAGTGCGAATCAGCTATCAGGCAGACAAAGACGGCTTTTAACAGACTAAAAAGAAAACACACTGAAACAAATCTCATTCAATTCAAACAACTGCGGGCACGAATGAGATATATAATAAAACAGAACAAAAAGAAGTCCTGGAAAAAGTATGTCTCCTCCATCAATTCTTCCACCCCTATGTCGGATATTTGGAAAAAAATTAAGAAGATAAAAGGTGCCAAGACGAATACGGAAATATCTGCGCTGCAAATGGGAAATTCAGTAATTTACGACAAGGCTGAAATATCCGATATACTGAGCGACACTTTTCAGAATCACTCGAACAGTAATGCATACAGCCAAGAATTCCAACAAGTGAAGAAAATCCAGGAACTTGACGAAATTAAAATTGAAGAAGACCCCCATCACCAACTGAATGTACCTATCACAATCGTGGAGCTGAACGATGTTCTCTCAAAGACAAACGATTCTAGCCCCGGACATGATACAATACCATATATATTTTTAAAAAAACTCCCTCTATCAGGAAAACATCATCTTCTCAACATTATGAACAGAATATTCCTCTTAAATCAGTTTCCATCCAGCTGGTCAGAAGTAATTATAATTCCGATACTGAAATCAAATAAGAACAAAACAGACCCACATTCGTACAGACCTATATCCCTTATCTGTACCATGTGCAAAATGCTTGAAAAAATAATCAATGCAAGATTAACCTTCTTCTTAGAACAGAATAATCTTGTGATTCCTGAACAAAGCGGTTTCCGAAAGTACAGATCCACTCTAGACAATCTTGTGAATTTAGAAACAGATATCAGGGAGGCATTTGCCAATAAGCAAAACCTAATAGCAGTCTTTTTCGATCTAGAAAAAGCGTATGAGCGGGTATGGAAATATAAAGTCCTTAAACAACTGAAAAACTGGAAAATTGATGGAAACATCTTGGCATTCATACAAAATTTTCTGGGAAACAGAACCTTCAGAGTGAGAGCTAATGGAGTACTTTCTGACCTCAAGACACAAGAAAATGGTATTCCACAAGGTTCATCTCTGAGCGCCACCCTTTTTCTGGTTGCCATAAACGATATTTTGGAAAATATTGTAGCTCCGATTAAAGCTAACATTTATGCTGACGACTTAGTTTTATACACTAATGGCAAAAATATGCAATCATCAACCAAACTTCTCCAACATGCCATAGGACATCTAGAAGAATGGTCCAAGCGAACAGGACTTCAATTCTCTGCCAAAAAAACTAAATGTATGGTATTCACTCAAAGTTCCAATGTGCAGAATCCATCCTTAAGCTTGTACAATCAACAACTGGAATTCGTTGATAACATGAAATTTCTCGGACTCATCTTCGATAAAAAACTTCAATGGAAAAAACATATAGAGAAACTCAAACAGTCATCCCAAAATGGTCTTAACCTACTAAAAACTCTAGCTAGCCATTCCTGGGGGGCAGACTACTCAACCCTGATGCACCTGTATAAATCAACAGTGAGATCAAGATTAGACTACGGAGCTATAGTGTACTCAAGTGCCAGAGAAACAATTTTAAAACTATTAGATAGCGTTCATCATGCTGGTATAAGAATAGCATATGGAGCGTTTCGGACTAGTCCAGTGGAAAGCTTGTATGTTGAGTCAGGAGAACTTCCATTACAACTGAGAAGAAACTACCTCAGTATGACCTATGCTTCAAGAATTTCATCCAATCCTAAAAATCCTACTCATAGTCGCATTTTTCCCAAGCATATAAATAAAATATACCAACAAAAGACCCACATTATGCCGCCCATACATACCCGCATCCGCAGAATACCTGTCACTATCAACCTCTCATCTACATATCCCATTTCCTTAAATACTCCTCCTCCATGGTTAATCGATATTAAAAACAATATTGGGAATGCTTCACCATCAGAAGAAAAATTCAACAGTTGACCTCCCTCCAATTATTACTTTTGAAATAATGCCGATAACGGAACGTATTTGGCCATAGTTAAAATCAACCAGTAGGTCCATTCCCGCTACTTTCATTCATTAATTCACACAAAGTTCTCGGTGACCTCGAAACGAAGTGCGGAGCCAATTTCGTTCTTTTACCAAAGGCGGGCGCTCATATTAAAACGAAATTTGAGGATATTATAGCTTTCAACAGAGAGCTTCGACAGCCTAAGCCCAATGAACTGCGCAACCCGATAACCCCGGATGACGTTCGAAGGGCCCTTGTTGGTTCCAAGAACTTTGCTGCTCCAGGCCCAGATGGGCTGAACACTTATTGGTGGAAAAAACTACCAAGTACCCACCGCCATCTGGCCAGAGTTTTCAACTTATGGCTGGACGGAGAGCAGC